TCATAGATGTATATATTGATATTTTGAGTTTATCACATAACGTCAACATTAGTCCAAACAATTGACTCATGACAGGACATAAATGATGAAGACTGAAATGAAATAATGTGTATGAAATATATGTATTACAAAACACAAAATTAGCTATTTTTAAGCAAATCCAACATATATGTGTGTATATTCAAATGCGGCTTATAATGAATCCAGAGCGGCTTATGCCAATCTGGGTCATCTTTGGCGCATTCGTGATGTCAGTCTGGCTGTAAAAGGCCGGATCTACAACGCGTCGGTGAAAGCAGTTTTGCTCTATGCTTGTGAAACCTGGCCTCTCCGAGTTGAGAATATTAGACGACTCTCTGTGTTCGATCATCGTTGTCTCCGAAGGATTGCTGACATACAGTGGCAACACCATGTTAGTAATGCAGAGGTTCGGCATCGTGTGTTCGGGCGCAGAGACGACAAACCAATTGGTGTCACCATCTTGAAACACCGACTTCGGTGGCTTGGACATGTTTTACGAATGTCGTTCCAGAGAATTCCACGTCGTGCATTATTTGCCGACTCTGGAACTGGTTGGAAAAAGCAGAGAGGTGGTCAGTGTATGACATGGTGTCGTGGTATGAAAGAAAGCTACAAAGGGCTAGCTTCTGTTGGTCCTTCACGACTCCTTGGCTGGGGTCCGAGAGATGGTGCAACACAGTGGCTAGAGACGTTATCAGATATGGCTCAGAATAGAAGCCAGTGGCAATCCTGCTGTAACTTTCTTTTACTTTCTTCATAAAGAGTGGCTATAACTTTCCTAACTGAGAGAGTTCTTCTGGTTGTACATTTCAGTTCCCCCCATCATTAATCTTCTCTTTTTTTCCTTCTTTCATATATACGCATCTTTCCCCTTTCTCCTCCTGTTCTCATTATTTTGTGTGGCGCATATGTATCCGGTGCCCTTTGTACCAATATGTATGTGATTAAATAAATATTCAAATGCTGAATCCAAAGAAAGTAGAATAGTATTGAAATGTTTCACTACAACGACATCACACCCATGAATAACTATTGAATAACTACTAACATTACCTAATTAGACCGGATACACTTTATAGGTATAAACCGATTACCAGAAATAACCAACCTATTCTATTTTGAGCTACCCTTTACAGTTGTCCTCCTCAATGTTGGTCTCCAATTACTACAGCCATGTGTTTTCCTTGGCCTGCTTCTTTTCCATTCCGACTAAACATTAAAAATTAGGCTTTGCCTTGCCATACAGTGTAACAGCTTCCGCGAAAACTGACCAATCCACCTCCAGCGTGTTGTCTCAATTTCCTCTTCCATTGGAAGCCAGTTTGCTCACTAATATAGCAGATTATTGCTGATGGTGTTTGGTCAATGGATCCGAAATATCTGACGTAGACGGTATTTTGAAGTTAACGTCCCTCTGGTCCTTTTCTATGAGTTCTCGATAGTAAGCAGAGATGGATCCACTGTCAACTATCACGTGACAAAAATAGACAATCAGAACATCAGCTTGGCACTGAATTCAATCAGCAATAAACAAGCACATTGAAATCAATCCAATTTATCAACCAATCAGGAAAATTATGAAGAAACATAGGAACAAAACTCAAGCTAATGGGAGAGACAACAAAAATAAACAAGTAAACAATGATAGATTTAAGTTCAACAAGAACCAATCAGCATCAAGGTGTACATGACAAGCTGTGAACTACGTGTATAGAAATTCAAACACTTCACTTCTATCCAAAGTTTTGTGCTGATGATGTCGTTCGGAAGAACGATGAAAGGTCACTGAACAAAACATCCAGCTCAGAGAACAAAACTTTATCATAAATTGCAATTAATTGACCGATTACTAATTCATGTAACAACCTGGAATAATAAACAAAGATGGATAGTGGCTAGCAGTGGAATCCAGTGTAACGCGCGTTTCATCCTATTTGGGACTCGTCAGCTGGATGTACCTGCATCTCAGAGTTGATGTTCACTCTGAGACTCAGAAACAGTACCTTTCGCTACAAACGCCATCGCATTATCCACTCAGCTACTGAGTCCTGATAGCCATATAGGACGAAATACGCTTCATGTATTCCACTGCCAAACACTATCCATCTTTGTTTAAAATGCTTGTGAATTAAAGCTATATCGAGGCAATACGCACAGCATGAACATATGAAAATTGGAGACTAACCAGTTTCAGTCCTAAACATCAATGGGAAGATTCGAACAAACAATACGAAGTGAATTTAACCCGGAATAATATTAAATAATTCGGATTAACACTTAAACAGCACATTCGAAATCTTATCATCAATTTTATAAATAGCCTATCAATTATCTAGATGATATGTTTCTGCAAATTATACAATCATTCAAAATTTTGTTTACATTCAACTCATATATTCATATGAACAAGAGGCATACCATGCCACATTAGCACCGAGAGGCAGTTGTAGATTCAAATCTCATAATGGTAGAAGTAGTAAGAGTATAAGCAGTAATCCGAAAGATTAGGGTTTGAAGATGTTATTGAAGTAGTATAATACAGTGAAATAAATTTGGAAAGAGAAAAAGGATACGGACATAAAGAATTCAGAAGATTAGAATTTGGGAGAGCACAAAGAGTGGATTCACCTTCGCCATTGCAAACGATTTTGAGTCATGTCATTCAAGGTCTCTAACCATCGGTTGCTATCATCTCGTGAATCCCAACCAGGTAGTCTAGACTTATCAACATCGCTCAGTCCACTTGTCAGTGAATTCATGGACTTATGCCACGTTTTACTCTGGCCACCGCTATCTTTCTTCAAACCTACTCCTACACCATAAAACATTGCACATCGTGGCAGTCGGTGATTGGGCATACGTAACACGTATCCTAGCTATCTCAACTGAAGAAGTTTCACTACTTCATCAATCTATTTGCCATCCTTATCTAGTATCCGTTTCCTAACAACTGAATTACTTACTCGGTGGTTCCAGGATATACGAGCAACGTTTCGAAGACACCTATGATTGAATAATATATTTGTATAATCTCAGTGAAGAAGAATGAAAAAAAAGGCATGATCAAATAACGATTTTTAAAAAATTTTTTTTCTTTTAAAAACAATCAATAAATAAACATAAAAATCAATAAGTAATAAAACAACTTCTATAATGTTTTATTTCATTGGGGGGTTTGTTTTATCAGAAGGGGAGGGATGTAATTTGATTTATTTCATCTTTCTTTAATAATATATCTTTTATAATGAATTCAATATTTATATTTATATATTTACATATGATCAATGTATACATAGATACTAATAAAATAAACAAATCAATATTCATACAAAAAACATAAACAATAAACAATAATATGCTAAATGATTCAAATCATCATAGGGGTGATAACTTTTGAAGTTGACATGGTAATTAAAAGATTAACATATAAATTTATCATACATCAAAGATTGTACTTAAAATTATTAAAGAATTTCTATAAAAGATCCCCCTTTTTTAAAAAAAAAAAAACAAAACAAGAAAAAAAACCTAAAGATAATAATCCAATAGGAAAAAATAACCCCCCATCCCTAACCTTGACTATAGTCATATTTATATCTAGGTAACAATATTAATCAATATTTAACTAATGAATAATTCATTAATATAATTATCATTGGAATGTTTAATTACTGGATATTCTAATTTTAATTTGTTGAATTAAAGTATTAATTATTCGATAAGGTTTTGTGAAGATTTCAGTATTTTCATAGATGAAAGCATGAGTCAATTGAAACTAGACCATCATAGAAAACATGGAAGCACTTGACGGTTTCCAGGTTTTCCATGATGGTTTAACTTCAATCCAATCAAGCTTTCATCTAATAAAGTATTAACAATATAAAGATACATAAATCTTTATTCAATATTACTTTAATATCTTGATTCATCTTTTAATTATCATAATTTAGATTACATATATGAAAAATATATCTAAATATCCCAGATACTAAATTATCAATATACAATGAATAATCAATTCAAGATAATAAACTAAGAATTTTGACAAAACAACAATCAATAAAAAAAAGAACAATAACAATAACAAATGAAGTACAATATGATAAAATTACAATTTACTGTACACCTAATTGAATAGAATAACAATTTCAATTCATTATAAACAAGTTTCAATAGTGTAAATTAAATAGAAGAAGAAGAAGAAGACAAATATTATCAGAACTATATGATGATGATTTGGATGATGATGATGATGATGATGATGATGATGATGATGATGATGATGATGATGATGATGATGATGATGATGATGATGATGATGATGATGATGATGATGATGTACAAAAGGTCAACTAGACTGGTAATTAAGGGGGGGGTAGGAGGAGACAAGGATAATAATAATAATAATAATAATAATAATAAACTAATATTATGAGAATAGGTTTAAGGTGAGAACAATTTGGTTTTGTGAATACATAACAGAGGGGTTTGAATTTTTTGCATGGTTAAGGTTTCAATAAATATTCTCAATAAGTATATATGTGATTAGATTGTTCTAAATGTATTGTACAAATATTTCATCATATAATTCTGATAAACTTTATCTTCTTATTGCATAATCAAAATTTATCAAAAGTGATTAATTGTTTTAAATTCTTGAAAAGAAGACAATAAAAGTTCAACTAGACTAGAAATGCGGGGGGGGGGCAGAAGACAATCAGATTGTTCATAATGTATTATGTTAATATCTCATCATCATATTAGTTTTGATAATCTTGATCTTTTTTTTACACTATTGTAATTTATTAAAAGAACTAATTAATTTAAATAAACAAGGTAACAAGAAAATAAATAAAATTATTAAAAACTTGGTACTTAATTATTAATTTCTTTTTTTCCTCTTTTAAATGATCCCTGAGATAAATCATAGTTTCCAAGTAAAAGATATATATATATATATATATATACATATATTTCTTTCATATAATAATTGTTCTTGGTAATGAAGCAGATGTAGATCGTATTGATTGTTTATTATTTTGATCATTATTCATTCTGTGTGAATAAATATGATGTTGACGTTCGGATGCTCGACCACGTTTTAAAACATTATTATTATTATTATTATTATTATTATTATTATTATTATTATTCATTATTAATTCTTGTTCAATACAATGATTATGAATGATTGGATCTCGATAATTAGATCGATTTAATGGATTCATATATTCTTCATTATTATTATTATTATTATTATTATTACAACATATTGTGGAATGATTATGAATGATTGGATCTCGATAATTAGATCGATTTAATGGATTCATATATTCTTCATTATTATTATTATTATTATTATTATTACAACATATTGTGGAATGATTATGAATGATTGGATCTCGATAATTAGATCGATTTAATGGATTCATATATTCTTCATTATTATTATTATTATTATTATTATTATTATTATTACAACATATTGTGGAATGATTATGATTAATTTGATCCACATAATTAGATCGATTTAATGGATTCATATATTCTTCATTATTATTATTATTATTATTATTATTACAACATATTGTGGAATGATTATGAATGATTGGATCTCGATAATTAGATCGATTTAATGGATTCATATATTCTTCATTATTATTATTATTATTATTATTATTACAACATATTGTGGAATGATTATGAATGATTGGATCTCGATAATTAGATCGATTTAATGGATTCATATATTCTTCATTATTATTATTATTATTATTATTATTACAACATATTGTGGAATGATTATGATTAATTTGATCCACATAATTAGATCGATTTAATGGATTCATATATTCTTCATTATTATTATTATTATTATTATTATTATTATTATTACAACATATTGTGGAATGATTATGATTAATTTGATCCACATAATTAGATCGATTTAATGGATTCATATATTCTTCATTATTATTATTATTATTATTATATATTGTTGAATTCATTCTATCTATCCATTCACTTTGTGCTAATTGAATAAATTCCATTGGTATATTATTATTATTATTATTATTATTATTGCATAATAAATCTTCATAATTAATATATTGTATAAATTTTATTAATTTTATTGGTAAATTAATTTTTTTTGTTTTTTTATAAAAATTTATTCCACCAATTTGTTTTCTTATTTTATTTCTACATAAAATTTTTAAACTAAATGGTTGATAAATAAAATTTTTACATAAATTATATAATTTAATTAAATTTTTATTAAATTCATTATTATTTTCATTATTATTATTATTATTATTATAACATTTTGTATAAATTTTATGTAAATGTAAATTTTCTATTGATTCATTAAAATCATTAAAATTTGGTAATGAACATTTTAATATAAGTAAATTAATTAATAATAATGATGATTGTTTAATTATTATTGATAAATTATTATTATTACTATTATTAATAATATTATTATTATTAATACTATTATTATTGTTATTATTATTACTATTATTATTAATAATGTTATTATTATTAATACTATTATTATTGTTATTATTATATAAATATATTTTAGAATGACATATTATACATAATAATATATTAAACCAATTACAATATGAATATAAATAATCCATAAATTCAAATTGTGAAAAACCATTTTCAATTAATTTTTTTAATATAATTAATTCAATAAATGATTTATTATTATTATTATTATTATTATCATCATTTTCTGATATATCGGATATAAATGAATGATTATTGGTATATTGATATAAATATTGATTAAAACTAATTGCTAATGAATTAAATATAATAACAGAATCAATACGATGTACATCAACACCTTTTGATAAAATAGTTGATAAATGAGATAAATAAAATATTAATGGATTTGGTTCATTTAAATCATGATAATTTAATTTATATTCACCAATTAATTCATAAATACTAGCAAAAAAATAATCTAATGCTGATTGATATGTATAATGACCATGTGTCCAAAATTTACGATATGGTGATGTATTTGATTTTTTATTTGATGTATATATATATGTCCAACGACGACATATTTGTGGACGATTCATATCTAAACCAAATTTTGATAATAATGGTAAAACATTCCATTGTAAACAATCTATAGCCCATAAAACTGGTGAACATTCTTGATAAAAATTAATAAATGGTATTGTTTCATTTGATTGATGATTAATTAAACATTGATATGATGTATTTAAATGACGTCGTTTAACTGTTAATGTTAAATTATTTAATGGTTGTTTTATTCGTTTTAATACACGTTCAATTGCTGGAAGATTACCTTTTTGTATTGAACGAGCTAGTTTCCTATCAGCTTCATCAAATAAAGCAGAACGGGAATCAATACAAAAACATGTAATCCATATTGGTGTAAATCGATTTTTTTTATTACTACTCATAATCGATTAGCAATAATAAAAAAAAAGGAAAAACTATCTAAATACTCATTATGTTAATAACGAAAATGTATATATATTTTATATTCATAATCATGACAAGGTCAAATGTTCAATAATTGACCAATCATAAATCAGTTAAGATACAAGTTGAAAAAAATATATATTAGTGGTCAACACACATGTAATAACTATCATTATAATCTCCGCAACAACCCCCCTTCTGATAAAAAAAATCCTATAACCTTGAAAAAGTCAAGGTAGGCTATCAATGAAATAACGTAGGATAGACATTGATATAATGAGTGTGTTTTTTTCATTAGATATGTCTATCCTACATATATGTCTATGTTAAAACTTATTTATTAATAATCGAATGAATGAATCATGATCGATAAGGCAAGAGGAACTATTGTAGATAAATACTTTAATAATTGAATTCATTAGTCGATGTAACCTAGACCACTATGGAAAACATGGAAGAACTGGATGGCCATCTCCCTCTAGTATAGGATTTCTCAGTAGTATGTCGGATTAGTGGTCTAAGGGTTAGGCGTTCACGCGTGAGACCGAAGGCCCTGGGTTTGAATCCCACGTGCAAGATCGTCGACATGCATTGCTGAGAAGTCTCATACAATGAAGAAATGGCTGTCCAGTGCTTCCAGGTTTTTCATAGTAGTCTAGCTTTAATTGACTCATGAATTCAACTAATAAAATTACTAAAATCTCCACAAACCCCATTCTGACCATAATTTCAAATAAATACTTATTCATATTTGGGATACATCAAAAGTGATAAGAGCAAAAAAGAACATGTCTTTAGTTAAAATTATTAAGTCGTACTTGGTATTGTTCTTTAATGTAATCCCGAAAAACATTTTACTATATTCTCTCTAGAGAGACTTATTAAAGTATGATTATGACGATTGTTGACGTCTATGATAACAACAGTTTAATGACTTGGTTTCATTCAATATTATTTAGATGAACAGGTGAAAGGTATAAGGTAAACCTTATGCCATTATTATTAATAACATAGGATTATAAAGTATGAATATAATTCAGATTATCATTTATTCCATTTAAAATCAGACTCAGATTAACATTTGACAGGTAAAAATGAAGAAACACATTTCAGATTCAATTCACTTGGTATTGTTTGCTTGTATTATCCCATTGTTGTTTTAGACTGAAATTGATCAGTCTCTTGTTAGCATATGTACATCTTGGTTTCAAGTTCCAGAGTGAACATCAACTCTGAGATACAGGTACATTAAGATGACGAGTCCCAAATAGAATGAAACCCGTGTCCTGAATTACACTGCTAGCCACTATTCAATTTTTCAAATTAGTTAGTTTAAAGTTAAAAATTCTAACACATTATAAAAATAGCCTTTTAGATGATTTTGTTTCAGAGGCGGTAGTAATTCAGCGGTTATAATCTGAGCTATATATATAGAAAAGAATCACATGAAAGCTGTCACCACACCATAACTTTAATTCGTAATTTTTAACAAACAATCAACTAGTTACTTTGTTTTATTGTTCTTAGTTTCTAGTCATTTGTTACTACCACTTATATGTGTTTAATTCATTCTTCATCTTTCTCGTACTCCTTAAGTGAATGATTGTCTTTTACATATTTTGTTTTAATTTTATTAATTTTCTGTTACTTGACAATCATTACACAACCTTATTTTGGTCCTTGAAATTATATACTAATTATCATATTTTCTGACAGAATAAGTAGGATGACAGGTAAGGTAGATAAGTAACATAAGCACTTGGAATTCGGACTACGACATATCGATGAATTAGATTAATATGATGATTTCTTAATGTAATAAAATAATCTCAGCAATATATTAACTAATTGAATACAATATATCAAAACGGGTTAACATCATTTTAAATATAGATGTAAATGTTACGTATATTATGAAATTTTCGTAACACAGTGTAATATGATTAGATTTGGAGATTAACAAATGTGCGATGTTCATCGTAGACAGTCCAGTGTCGATCTACTACGACCAAGCTGATACAAATTGCTATGTCTGTATACTTTCTTTTTAAGTGATATTGTTGAATTCCTTCAACAAACTGTTCAATTTTTAATTCATTCAGAATCTGTTCCTTTTTCAGCACATCATTAAATTTCCATATGCTTGGATGAACGGTACCAATGAATTGGCTAAAGACTCTATCCCACTCCTCCACTCCATTGTTCATTCTAAGAAGTTCTACGACAACAGAATTGTAGACTTTCCATAGTGCGATTTCAAAGACCGGTAAGCAGCATCGAAATTAAAACGTAGCGTCAGTCCTTGAAGTCACTAACTTCTAGTCTGAGCCATGTTGGTAGATGCAGGCCACTTGGTGGGAGTCCATGGGACTATCACAATCAATGGTTGGAGACTCTGTGTGACATGGTTCAGAATTGTTCACAGAGGTGTAGGTGTATACACTCTTTGTTTACCCTTAAACCTTGAGGTTATAACTACTTTATACCTTTATTTCTATCACCTAATTGTTTCTCCCTGTATTATATCCTTAGACATAATCTTTTATATATTATTACCATTGAGATGACTACTTCTATGAATTCGGTGTTCATTTTTTTGTGCTAATGAGGTGTGTTAACTTGGACCGATGCATATATGTACCTGATCCTACATTGAGCTGACTGACAAAATGACTTTTAGGTTGTCTGAAAAATGAATATACTGACTAGCATAAACTGAACTCCCATTGCAAGTAACAATACCTTCATGTATTCAAATGAATGCCAAGTGAAATATAAATCCATTTTCAGGGAGAATTGTTGTCTATTGTTCCCAATTCATTAACATTAAACTTTTTCTTTTTTGAAATCAAGTACACCATTTCCCAGTACAAAATATTAAAAAAATGTAAATAAATTCCTTTTCATTCACTTTATGGTTGAAACTATTTATAAATGAATACTAAAAATAAGTTTTCACAAGCCTTCAAAATTATTTACAGACAAAAAGCGCAACGTCTCCATGGTTCATTGAATCAATAGCAATAAAAAAACAAACAAACACAAACCTGATTTATGTATCCAGAATGAGATAATAATAAATTTATCAACACCTTGGTAAATTATGGTAAACAGAGATGGATAGTGGCTAGCAGTGGAATCCAGGACGCGCGTTTCGTCCTATTTGGGACTCGTCAGTTGGATGTACCTGCATCTCAGAGTTGATGTTCACTCTGGGAAATTGTTTTTGTCAATATCGTTTATTTCGTTCTGTGGTGTTCCCTTAAATATTTTCTATTTCATTTACACCAAAATCATCTCTTCTCTCATAAACTTTAATTCACTTAACTCCTTTACCTTATGTAAACTTTCTCAAATCCTAAATTCATTTTATATTATTTGTATGAATGTTCCTATTGATATTTAGGACTGCAATTTGATCAGTCACTTATTAACATATGTGCACCCTGTACGGATTGACTCGATATTGCCTTAAGTCACAAGCATTATAAGCAAAGATGGATAATGGCTAGCTGAGTGGAATCCATGACGCGTGTTTCGTCTTATTGCAGGCACATCCAGCTGACGAGTCCTAAATGGGACAAAACGCGCGTCCTGGATTCTGTAGCTAGACACCATTTTGCTCAAATCCTGTTCAATTATTACGTAACCCATCCTATTAATTTCTAATTCCAGCAATCTTATACAGACCTATTACAACCTAACTTATCGGTCTACGGACCTAACTAATGCATCAACCAGTCCACTATACTTTTGAATTCCATCTCCAAATGAGCTCTAACCTTTTCTTGAATATATATATATCATTATTGATAGCCTTTGTCACTCTAATTGTTTTCATCACCAATGTTAATTGTTTCCCATTATATCAAACCCCAAAGTTACCTTTCAATACATATAGTTGTAACCAGCTGATACGGAACAACGAAACATAATGAATTCGTATTATTTGACCTCAATTGTTATTCTGGCTTTATCAAATTCTTAAAAGGAGCCAATTGAATGAAACAAACAGGTTAACTGAAGCACTTAATAAATTTAAGCATATACAATCTTGTACAAAGATGATGATGCCATAGATTTATTTTTTAGTTTATCAGTTTACATGTTGATCTTGTTCTGATGAATGTGAGTGATATATTAAATAAAGACCTTACATTCCATTAGATGGACTTTTTGTGTCCATCAACTCGGTTAAAGCGCCGGACATTCGCTCTCACTATCGTAAACAACAACCCCGCCACGAGAAGGCAGTGAGTAAGACTTCTCTGGTAGAGGCTATATACGAATGGCCATGTTAGAGCATTTCGAGAGGGAGAGCGGATTCTCCCCACTCTAGGCCGTACCAGGGCATTTGGGGGCATTAATAATATTTAATCAGGTTATATTTGTTAATATTATAGGAATATAGTACACTTTAGCTTTTAATATCATTACATAAATGCATACATTAGCCTACATTTAACATTATCTATAATTACCATAAATCTACAAGGTTATCAATTAACAAAATGTTAGATTGTTTTAGATAAACATGTATACATTGTTAATCAAAATCAATGATATTCTACTACTTCATTTAACTATATACACCAGCTATGAATATCATCACATTACAGGCTAAACACTAATCGAAAATAGATTTCATAAAGCTTCCTGTATGTTCAGTTCAAAAAGAATCAATAGGAAGTATAGTATGACTCTAAATTCAGGACCTTAAAAAATATCAAAGCATCGAAACGGAAATGTAATTGATTTGGGACCATATCACTTTAATTTTTCAATTGTGCACTACAATGATTCTACGGATTTGAACCAAAAAAATCCGGATATACCAACCAGGGTCAGTCCTGTTATATCTAGAGCTTTGATTCTTACTATGCCGCGTACTACTAGACTACTTGAACGATCGAACCCGCAATGTCGCAAGAGAGAAGACAGAAGACTAGTAAGTAGGAATTTTATTCCCAACACAGTGTCCAATAGAGTACAATAGTCTCATGTATTTATAGTTTCTGGCTGAAAGTAAATCATCATTTCGGACAGCCAATAAGCACATAGGGGATCATTCTTATCCATCCAACAGGAAAGCTATACATCGACATTCTAGAATATTCCCCTAACAGTGATTGGATGAAACGTCTTCGGCTCTTTCTGGGCTTCCCAGAGTTTACCAACGAGCCATCCATACAAATCCAAAAAATCAGTGACTTCATAGATTGATATCACGTTGTTGATCGACCACTCCCTGATTTCTTCACAACTACTATTATTCCGGCCAGCATTGTATCTTGAAAGGAAGACTCGTAACGCATATCCCAGTTTAAAAGAAAAAAACCCAACTAATTATATATAAAATTAAACTTCAGTAATTCTATGAGCACTTCCTTCCTCTTCTGACAGGAAGTGAAAAACTTGAAAATTACCATTTAAACTGTTGGACAACTAGCCAGTAAATTGCCTACTCTGGATTTTAAATTATACTGTTATATAGATGGAATAATTTTATTCAAGAATTCATTCGACCTTTAAGTCAATTGGCACAGACCATTCGTTTATTTATTTCGAGTGTAATTTTAGATTGGATACGAATGAATCTACATAGTCCTATTTGCGCTAAATCACAATTTATCTTAGTCAACACAACGATAGTGTCCACTGGAATGCTCACAGTTCAACAGGACATAAAATATTACGGATAGGCTTATTGTGTTGGAGAGACTCAGAAAATTCCTCGGAAACAGTTCAGAGGAGCTTTGACTTCCCTGGGAAACATTTTATCCAGTCAAAATTGAATAGATATCTCCCGGAAACATCTAGAAACTGGAGAATCACATGTCACATTTCTGATTACCTATCCTGCTACTATATTTAGAAAGGTTCCAAAAGCCCCAAGGCCATCTGAAATGCCATGAGTACCCTAAAATATTACTAGACTAAATAGTTTTTTACACATATTTCGTGCCTTTTCTCTCTTCTACAAGTTGTCGTGTAGAGTTAGTCTAAGGTTATTAGAAGAGGTTAGAAAACTGATTGAAGTATTCAGTCAGAATGTGGTGTGGTCTACTTATATCCATATAAGTAGTATATGATGATGGTTAGACATAGAATGTATTTTGGCAGAAGATCAATAAGGAAAGAACAGGAACGAAGCACAATCGGTATGAAAATGCATGAACAATAGAATTAGAGAAGATGAACTGAGATTTACAGAAGAAACAGTGAACATTGAGACAATTGGTTATTAATTTGCAAATTGATTGTTTACTGTATGGTTATCAGGATTAAGTAAGATAGTTTGTAATTTTTGCTTAAATACATTGGATTGTCCCAACCCGTGTTCCTGTTCACTACAAGAAGACGTATCAGTTGTCAGTGTACAAGCAATCGGAATGTCCGAGCCAAGTCTATTTATAAGTTTGAAAATTAAAAATAAATTATGAACCTTTATTCAAAGAAAATAAAACAAAACAATTCATTGATTTATTAAATCCATAAACAACAAAGTATACGATCAAACAGGTATTTGAGAATACAATAAACAAAAGTAACCGGTTTTCAGTATGAGGTCGTGAACGTTGTAGAATTTCATTGAAATCAAAAACCAATCTAAATTAGATTACCACTGGATTCAAATCGTGCCTATGGAATAATAGATGTTCACCATTGAGGAGTCTCATACTAGGACGAAACGGCGTTCCAGTACTTTCCAATTTTTAATGATGATCTAACTTAGATCGATTCATGATTTCAATGAAAATTAGACAAATTATTTACAAAATAAATGAACAATAATTAATAACTTTGTTTTGTTTTCGGGGAAAAATCGACAGTTGGGTAAATTAAAATTGTGAGAAAAGTTAGGCATAGATCAATGATCATTTTAAGTATTATTATTATTAGTAGTAGTAGGTAGTACTGGATTGATCATGTACATCGAATTCCGTCTAATGAGACTGTTTCCTCTACGAGCATGAGAGTTATATTCATTGTATTCTGTGAAAAGTAGACAGAAAGAAAGAATACGGTAAAAATGAAAAGAAGGTATGCTTCTGTATTGTTGCAATAAAATAAAACTAACACTTACATTGTTGGGGATATCAAATCCCTAGAACTTACTTGGTAAATGGCTTAATCTTGTAATTTGATTTTGAAAATTTGAATTTCCCACTTGTAAAATATCGTAAACGCTATTGGTCCATTGTATCTATGAGTGTGTTATTTTGTAATGCTGCCCAAGGTCAATTTATTGCTGTATATATACGTTTGATTTTTCCCCTTATGATTGCTGTGCTTCTGGCTGCTACGGAATATATTATCCCCACTTCCAACTTGGACTTCTTACTCTAGTTAGCTGGGTCCGGGTCGCGTCAGAATAGTAGCTAACTTATCGGTCTCTGGTTACAAGTCTTTGTTCCGTTCGCTAACTAGTGAATTCGAAACGCTTCAGATATAACATACACATATGTACAAAGCAATGACAATTACTGACAATTTTGTGATTTATTTCATGAAATGACTTTAGTTATGTAATCATTAAAAGTGAAACGTTTCTGCTTCTGGGTGTACGTACACTTATAATCATTGTTAGTATGGAAGGTTTGTGAAGATCACTGTATAGACTGATTTGAAAAAAAACTTGGATTTGATCCTCGGTGAGATAATGTAATAAGCATTATCGACGAATTCTATACTAGGATAAAACAGTTGTCCAATGTTGCTTGGTTTTCAAATAATTATCTAGCTAAGATCAGTCCATGATGTAAACTTTGAAACGTTAATAATCTCTGTAAAATCCTTACACAAAAGTTTAATTGTTTTAAACTTATATTTAAAAAAATATGCTACGAACATTTATTTATTTATTTAAAAAAATAAATATTGATACAAGGGGGCACCAGATATATATGTGCCGCACAAATCTCATTTGATTTGTGTTAGGGCTATGACACTGTTCGGGTGCCCAAACTGAAGCAGGTGGTTTTCTTAGGAGGCCACACCCCGAGCCATTGACCTACATGCCTGATCCACAAGACAGTGGAGCATCGTGAGGAGATGCAGTCCCATGGTAGACAGTGACCAACGATTGATTCATACGCCATTTCTTCCCTCAGAATCCTGTTGCCAATGTGCACCATTGGTTTGGAATCAGTGTTTTCCAACTCTCCTAGGTGAACTTTCCGTATTCACCAAACAGGTTAAAGCGCCGGACATTCGCTTTTCGTCTTCTCAATTTCGTGAACAACACCGGTGCCACGAGAAGGCAGTGAGTAGGACTTCCCTGGCACAGGCTATATACGCGTGGCCCTTTGAGAGCATTTCGAGAGGGAGAGCGGACTCTCCTTCCTCTCGGTCATACCAGGGCAACGGACATAATTACTAATATATTTTGTTAACAAAAACGTTTCGCATGAACAGTTATTCCAACTTGGGACATATAACCACAATAATTTGCATATAGTATATATAAGATATTGTTATGCTCCGATAAGGATAATGAATGGTAACTTTGGGATCTATCTATGAACCAATACTGTGCATATATTTGTTATTGTATAATCGCTAAATAACTAAACTATTCATATTCGTGTCCCCCTTATTATAAGCTTTATTTTGACCTACAGACTAATATTATACGATTTACCATTCTTGAGTTATCCCTAGTCCACAAATGACTGTTCCCCATATTCACAGCCATATTTAGCCGAATCTTGTACAAATGTTGTTTCCTCTTTTATGGTACGATGTGGTCAGTTTGATTGGTATATAAACTCATTATGTTTGAAATATAATAATTCATACCTCAGAGGCTGTTCTGGACTCAACTGGCTGGGCAAGGCAGAAACAGGACCGACAAGTACTCTAGACTGCTCGTACGGTTTTCGTGTATTACTGGTCCGATCTATAATTCGCTGCTCTCTAATTGGTGGTCTTATCACGTCATACGTTAACAGAGTATCCACTCGACCACAAGTTATAACAGATATGTAACAAAACAGTGAATAATGACCACAAATAACATTGTATTATGATATAGAATAAACGAATTGAAACTCACTTATATTGTGAATCAATAGGCCAAATTGGAGGTTTACGATTCATAATAGTCTGTAAGAACCAATCAGTAGATACTGTAAGTAATGATGATAAAGCGCGTGAAATTGGACTGATTTGTTTAAATTCTTTTGAATTTTTTGAAAGTCGAGAAGTTTTACAAGATGGCTTCGAATTCAACAATAACATGGAATGATATTCTTCTTTAGTTGTGATAATAACTGATTTAATAGGCTAATTAATTGCAAGAGGAAAAAAGAGGAAAAAAGAGATTACCATGGGAAAAGAAAGTCAGATCATAACGAGAGATAGAAATATCAAAGAATATTTATTGTAGACTGTGAAATGAATCTTTGTTAAATAGCTATCAGTTGTTCATTATGTCTACCTGAGGTTCATAGGCTCCCTTGTTAGTACTTACATCATACTAATACAAAATACGTTTACAAAAACTATTATCATGAGTAATCATTTTATGCACATGATAGTCTACCTTTATGAAGGGTTATTTCTTAACCAGATAACAGAATTCCAAATCAGTAGTTCAATTATTAGGTGATAATCATGAAACTATAACGTTCTATCTCATATCCTAAGACATATAATGATGGGGAATCCTGGTAGGCGGTCTATGCTCCTCCCCGATGGATAACAATATTAAGTAAGTAAGTAATATGATGTCATAGGTAGGGGGTGTTGGATTAAGATAATACAGTTGTTTAATGGTTATTGTATTTGAGTAATGAAATCATCATACGAATTGATCACATAATATTACATTGGTTTTTATTAAATTTTATCGATTAAGTTTCTATTTCATCAGTGTAAAGGTATAAGTAAATTTCATAGTTGAAATCATGAGTCAATTGAAGCTAGACCACCATAGAAAACCTGGAAGTACTGGAGAGCACTGAAAATCACATGTTTGGAAATTGATCAATTAAAAACAATTAGAAGTCAGTGATAAGCAACATAGAAATTGCCGTATACGTGTATCAGTTGACTAGATGAAAATTATCAAGACAAAACCCAAATTAATAGAAGTAGTGACTGTATTGTTGATATTAAAACACATTAGGCATAGATAATATGACTTCAGAACGATTCGTAGAATAGGAGATAATTTTAATATCAATATCTAGAAAGGGAATAAAAAGCAAATGGGTTAGTGCCATTGAAGCCGATTTTAAGTCATATCAACAAATTTCGCCAACCATTTGGTTACGATCATCTCAGACGCTAACCTGGTAGTCTGAACTTACTAGCATAGAAGAGATCAAAATTCAATGACTTCATTTACTGATCAAATCTCTTAATTTGACTATCTCTATTTTTCTTCCAATCTACTCTTACAGCAGACAATATCGCTCGTCTATAGAAGCGGTGTTTGGATATATGTAACACTTGTCCTAATCACTTCAGAATTGATAACTTGATGAATACAATATTCCTGAGCAACGCTTAAAAAGAGTCTTGAACAAATTACTATTCTCTACTTCTTAAAGAACCGATTTCACAATCATAATTCAAACACTTCACTTCTACCCGAAGTTTGTGCTGATGATATCGTTCAGAAGGACGATGGAAGCTCCACGGTCAAACCATCCAGCTCAGAGAACAAACCTACATCAAATTCACCAACCTGAGCTACAAATCTTCTCCACCATCACAGAACGCATTGCTACGCAATATACTTATCCATAACGATAATAATAACAAAAAAACGAGAGAAATCTTACTGAATCATCTAAATTCGTCATGACATTACATAAATCTTCATCAGACATCCAATAACCACCAGCAAATTCTGTAAGTTTCTGTAAATCCATAGAAGATGGTAAAACATTTGGTGTTGAACAAAAAGACCAACCACATAAGAATTTATTTGTTTCTTCAAATTGATTTTTCTGTTCATTTTCAGATAATCTCATAAATGAGGAAAGACGTGTAGATTGTCTACTTGAAACTGTAGTCTGTATAGATTGTGTATTATAATAATGTAATTTGAAATTAAGTGGATCTGATCACACGGTTTTATTGAAGGAAATCCATGTCGAAATTACGCAAAAAAAAACAACAAATAAATTATAGATCAGAAGGGGTTTTGTGGATATTTCAGTATTCTTCATAGTTGAAATCATGAGTCAATTGTAGGTAGACCACCATGGAAAACCTGGAAGCACTGGACGGCTGTTTCGTCCTATTATGGGACTCCTCAGCAGTGCGCATTCACTCATGACTCATGATTTCAACTATGAAAATAAAGAAATTACAAATAATTTTTAAAACAGAACAATCAATAATCTAGAAACAAAAATAATGTTAACAAGTCAGTTGAAGTTATGGCACGTATAGGAATAGTACAAGTGGATTAGATTAGTCACCTAACTTCAACAACTGGTGACATAATCATGTTTTGATTCATTCTTAGGTCAACCATAAATATACACATTGATTATAAATACTTTCAGAAGGGGTTTTGTCGAGATCTTAGTATTTTCATAGTTGAAATCGTGAGTAAATTGAAGCCAGACTACCCTGAAAAACCTGGAAGTACTGGCGAACGGTTGCTCAGATTTCGTGGATTGGTTGAAGTTAGACATTAACACCGTTGGATGCCGGCCAGCTCAGTGGTCTATCGGTTAAGTGCTGTGGCGCGAGATTGGTAGATCATGGGTTCGAAACTCGTGAGGCGGGATCGTGGATGTGCACTGCTGATTTTTTATTCATTTAAACACATAAATATTGGTACAATGGAGCACCAGATACATATGCGCCTCACAAATCGAATGAGATTTGTGTGAGGGCTGTGATACTGCCCTGGTGCCCAAACTGAAGTAGGTGGTTTGCTTAAGGGGCCACACCTGGAGCCTTTGACCTGAACGTCTGATCCACAAGGCAGTGGAGCATCGTGAGGAAATGCAGTCCCGTGGTAGCCGGTTGATATGTCTGAAGCGTTACGAATTCACTAGTAACGAACGGAACAAAGACACGTGACCAGAGACCGATAACTAGCTATACTGACGCGACCCAGACCCAGCTAACTAGAGTAAGAAGTCCAAGTTGGAGCGGGGAAGTTATATTCCGTAGCAGCCAGAAGCACAGTAATCAAATAAGGGGAAAAGTCAAGCGTATTTATACAGCAACAATTTGTCCTTGGGCATCATTAGTAAATAGCACACATAAAGAAACAATGGACCAATAGCGTTTAAGATAGTTTACAAGTGGGAAATATGACGTGAAGGTAAAAGAGCGCTTTTTGGCGCGGAAACAGCTAAATTCAAATTTTCAAAATAAAATTACAAGATTAAGCCATTTACCAAGTAAGTTCTAGGGATTTAACATCCCTAACACCTCCCCCTTTAATAACGCACACTCTTCGGGTCCACTTGCATTCTGACTGTCTTTCGCCGTTGGCGCAGTGACCATCTTCGGGACCGTAGGTCGACCTTTTGTGTTTCTTCATGCGTTGGGACTGCCGGCAGATTAAATGTATCCAATAGTACGTCCAGCGGAATCTTTACTCCGGTCGATGGGCGCTCTAGCGTTAATCGCTTGCGTAGTTGATTTCGATGTCTGGTCCACCTGTCTGCTCCCACCTCAACCTCGTATATGACTTCTCCTATCCTTCTTACCACACGTGCTTCGATCCAAGGATCACGATTTGCTCTGTAGTCCCTAGCGAATACTGGGCATCCAACGTTGTACGTGGGTAGCTTCCGGGACGTGGTTTGTAATAGTGGTGGTGTGGTTTTCGGCAGCATCAAGTTGTGAATGGTCCTCAACCGTCTTCCCATGAGGATCTCTGCGGGCGACTTCTGCTCCGGCAGCGTGTCGTTGGGGGTCGTTCTGTAGGCGAATAAAAAATTATGCAGTGTTTCCACTGGCGTCCCCTCCCCTTTTGACTTAATCAGAGCCCTCTTGAATGTATCCACGAACCTTTCCGCTTGCCCATTCGATTGTGGGTGATAAGGTGGGGCGCGAAGATGCCTGATGGTTAGGCGTTTGCAGAATTCTTGGAACTGCGCCGAGGTGAACTGCGAACCGTTGTCAGATACAATCACTTCCGGTAATCCGTTTCGTGCGAACAACTCAGTCAGATGTTTCAGAGTCTGGGTGGTCGTTGGTGGATTGACGGGAACAATCTCCGGCCATTTCGAGAAGGCGTCGACCACGACAAGGTAAGTGGTTCCGTTGATTGGACCGGCAAAGTCGACATGTATCCTAGACCAGGGATGCTCAGGCTGTGGCCATGGAACCGGCGGCACCTTTGCATTGAACTTTGCAGCTTGTTGACACTGAGCACATTTGTTCACTAGATCCACGATATGCTGGTCCATGAGGGGCCAGTAAGCATAGCTTCTGGCGATGGATTTCATACGCTTTATGCCTGGATGACCAATGTGGAATTGCTTCAGCACCCTCGGTCGCAGGGATTCTGGCACCACCACTCTATCTCCAAACATCAAGCATTCACTTACAACACATAACGAGTCACGACGATGGTAAAGCTGCTTCATGTCACCGTCAAGTTTAGTTGATGGCCAGCCATGGGTGACGTAGTTCATCGTTTTCTTAATGATGGGGTCGTTTCTGGAAGCCGTTTGTATCTCAGATTCTGAGACTGGCAAAGCACGAACAGCCGTTATCAGGTAGCATTGTGCGTGGTCTTCTGTCGAAAGAGAAGCAATAACGGCATCTTCGTCGGTCGTAGAGTGTTCGCTGATGAGTCGTGACAATGCGTCTGCCTGACCAAAATGTTGCGTGCGTCGATACTGAATGTCAAAATCATAACCCAAGAGGATCAAGGCCCATCGTTGAAGACGGTTTGCAGAGTGGGCCGGGACGCCAGACTTCGAACCAAAAATTGCAAGGAGAGGCTTGTGATCCGTTAGAAGAGTAAATCTCCGACCATATAGAAACTTGTGAAAACGACGCACTGCGAATACTAGGGCAAGAGCCTCCTTCTCTATCTGGCCATACTTCTTTTCTGCTGGGGTTAATGTTCGGGATGCATGCATGATAGCTTTCTCTGTCGCGTCGGGGAACTGGTGTGAAATAACGGCACCGAGCCCAAAGGCTGAAGCGTCTGCGGCCACGATGATTGGCAAAGACGGGTCGTAGTGCGTCAATAGTAGTTCTGAACTAATAATTGTCTTTAGCTTACAAAAGGCATTTTCACACTCCTTTGTCCAGTTCCAGCTGATATCCTTATTCAGGAGATAATCCAGTGGGGCGCGTATGTCATGCATCGATGGAACGAAGGCTGAGTAATAACTAACCAATCCCAGGAATGATCGTAGAGTAGAGATATTGGTAGGTGTGGGCATAGTTCTTATAGCTCGAATGTTCTCGAGATCTGGTCTGCGACCTGCAGCATCAAAGATGAACCCCAAATACTTCACGGATTTCAAGAAAAGCTGGCACTTTTCCGGGCGTAACCGGAACCCGTTGTCGCTGACGCGTTGGAGCACGGCTGTTGTGCGTTCCCGTAGCTGTTCCGACGTTGTGGCAACAATGAGGATGTCATCCAGATAAGTCGCGACCCCCGGGATACCTGATAGAATGGTATCCATTAGCTGCTGGAAAATAGATGGGGCGGTCTTGACTCCAAACGGCAGTCGATTATATTGGAACAGTCCACGATGAGTATTAATAGTGAGTAGCTCTCTTGATTCTTCAGCCACTTCTACTTGTAGGTAGGCATCAGCAAGATCCAACTTCGCAAAGTACTTTCCGCCATTCAGCATAGTGAACAAATCTGCCGGAACTGGCAGCGGATAATGATGCTGTTCTAGGGCTGCGTTGAGACCTGTGGAAAAATCTGCACATATTCGGATTGTACCATTAGCCTTCTTGATAACAACAATGGGTGCTGCCCATGCGGAATAAGAGACAGGAGTAATAACTCCTTCACGTTGAAGGCGATTAAGTTCTTCCTCAACTTTCTGCAATGCAGCATATGGTACTGGTCTCTTCGGACGAAAAACAGGTTTGACCCCAGGTTTCAATCGAAGCGTTGCTTTCATGGCTGAGCACCGACCCAAAACAGGCTGGAAGACGGTCGAAAACTTCGTAACTAGTTCCTGTGAATAGGCTTTCGGGTCATGGGGTTGCTTTACTAGTTGATACACAGTGTTTAACGGGACGTCTGCTAAATGCAGTTGGTCGAACCAATCTAATCCAAGTAAATTAAGATCAACCGGTGCAATGTAACATACCCCAGCGAACGTCGAATCGCGGAAAGACACTTCACAATGTAGTTGACCTAACAAACGTAAGTAACTACCGCATGCTGTACGAGGTTTTTGTGTTGTTGACACCATACGTGGTCTGCCCATTTTAATCCAAGATTTTCGTGAAAGAATTGTCACGTCAGATGCTGTGTCTATTTGTAATTTAAATGGGTGCCCGTTAATATTAATGGTAATAAATTTTCTCTCACCTGGAGTTGAGTTCTGACAGGATGATACAAGACTCAACGAATTTGTACGCGGCTTGGGAGCAGACTTTTTAGTACTTTTGGGGCGATTCGACTTTTTATTTTCGCAAAACCCATCTTTGTGGCCCACAGCTTTACACTTCCTGCAACGATGTTGTTTGTACGGGCAGCTTCGAACATAATGCCATGCACCACAGTGCCAGCATGGAGCAGGAGGATTCGTCTTTGCTTGTTGAACTGAGTTAGAGTGAGACGAACTAGGTATAGCTGGAGCGGGTTTAACAGGTTTCGTTTGTTGTTGGACTACATGTACTTCACGGCGATCAGAAACACCACGTTGAACCATGGTAGTGTCATTCTGCAGATTAACTAGACGTTGATATTCGTTAGCAATATCATTTAGAGTAAGCTTAGGGTCTTGATCCAATCGACTGAGTAACCGTGTTCTAATGTCACCGAACTTTTGCGATTGGAGGCTGCAGATGAGAATGAGGGCTTTAAACTGATCTTCAGTTAGCGACTTCAACCGAAAGCGTTCGCATTCGCGGTTGACAATGCCCACATGCGTCAGAAAATCGGTGTCTTCGTTCATAGTCAGCTTCAAACATCGATAGCGTGTGTTGAACAGTGAGGAATTATCTCCGAATTGTTGGCTCAATGACTGAACAGTGTCTGAGAATGAGCGATCGCGTGGGTTTAGAGGCAAAATCAGGTTACAATATTTATCAAGTTCACTAGGACCCAGCTTTCGAAGCAGCAAACGGACTTTCCAAGCATCATCTTGATTGGCAAAATCAAATTTGAATAAATCTTCATACCGTCGGAACCACATATCAAACGTAACATTCGATTCAGGATCGTAATGAAACTCAGAAATACTGCTGGCAATACCATCAACTGAAGGAGCAGTAGTCGTAGGATTAGAGCTGCTTGATTGGCTATTGGTCGTAATTTTTGTTTCTGTTAGCATCTTGATAAGTGTCATCTGCTGTTCGAGCAATAATTCCACTTTTGCAGGATCCATATTTCCAAATCACCGTCGCCAATTGATATGTCTGAAGCGTTACGAATTCACTAGTAACGAACGGAACAAAGACACGTGACCAGAGACCGATAACTAGCTATACTGACGCGACCCAGACCCAGCTAACTAGAGTAAGAAGTCCAAGTTGGAGCGGGGAAGTTATATTCCGTAGCAGCCAGAAGCACAGTAATCAAATAAGGGGAAAAGTCAAGCGTATTTATACAGCAACAATTTGTCCTTGGGCATCATTAGTAAATAGCACACATAAAGAAACAATGGACCAATAGCGTTTAAGATAGTTTACAAGTGGGAAATATGACGTGAAGGTAAAAGAGCGCTTTTTGGCGCGAAAACAGCTAAATTCAAATTTTCAAAATAAAATTACAAGATTAAGCCATTTACCAAGTAAGTTCTAGGGATTTAACATCCCTAACACCGGTGATCAACGGTTGATGCGTACGCCATTTTTTCCCTCAGGATACTGGAGCCAGCCCATGTGCACCACTGGTTTGGAATGAGGGTTTTCCAACTCCCCTAGGTGGATCCTCAACATCCACCAACCCGGTTATAGCGCCGGATATTCGCTTTTCGTCCTCTCAATTTCGTAAACAACACCCCCGCTACGAGAAGGCAGTGAGTAGGACTTCTCTGGCAGAGGCTATATATTCACTGGCCATATGAGAGCATTTGGAGAGGGAGAGCGAACTCTCCCCAATCTCGGCCGTACCATGGAATTTGGGGGCCCGAGGAGTCCCATAATAGGATGAAACAGCTGTCCAGTGCTTCCAGGTTTTCCATCGTGATCTACCTACAATTGACTCATGATTTCAACTATAAATACTTTATTTGGGCTTTTTAATAATGCAGACTCCTATACTATTTTAATCTAATACTTATGGATCGTTGGGCAGGAGTCAAGTATTAGGAAAGTATATAGCAGCTGAATAGAACCATAGAAATGATACTACTTATGTATGCTGAGATCAGTGAATACACATTGTTTGATTGACAATTGTTAATTTTTTAACGAAGATGTATAAGAGATAAAAGTGTACGTTGATTAGGAACGCTATCAAACATACAGGGGAGAAATCGAAATAGTACGCATGTAATTTAAAGATAGTTGATTGTTATTCTGAACCAAGTGAAGAACATGTATACTGTCGTAACTCAACTTTAAATGTTACTTTCATGTGACGGTTGAGTTTGTCTAACTTAATGACCGTGTGAAGTTATATTGACTAGAACAATCGTCTATTGAGGTTCTATCATCACACACATGTCTGTTAGAAAGTATTAAGACCAGAAAAAGTAAATCTAACATTTTACAAAAAAATCATACTGTCAAAAGTACAGGAATGTGATAGCACTAACGATTCCTTCAAAAAATCATAATCTTCAAAGATGCTGTCTTTTCGTCAAAAAAGAATGGAGGAACTAGACAAGGTCGATCATTGAAATAGCAAACCTCAATCTTCTCCATGAACCTTAGTATCGGTGATAAAGCCTTAAGAGCAAGGAGATAGTGCATCAAAAAACACTAATAGAAAAGTCATATGTGATAGGCTTCCACTAATTGTATTTTGGGCTCTGAAGTGACGATCTGAGGTAGCTGAGACTACTCTTAACTTAGTCTCCTATTTGGATATCTCAAAAAGAATTATTCTGTCACGACGTTTGAGCAGTCAGAAAGTAACAACTACTCTTGAAAGCAACTAAGCTCACTTCATTCACAATCAAAAGCATCGTAGAATTGATTTGAGAAATAAACATAGAATCATACAATTTTGTGTCATCAGTCATATTGTTGATTGGTTTTTCAATCAGATACAATGATAATCTAAGAGCATTTCAGACGGGTCAAGTCACTAATGTAATGTTTATGTATAACTATTAATATTAAAATATATGCAAATTCGATTGATGAATTCTGAATATGGTGAAAATTCACATCCAGAGTCTCACAATGGTAGCTACTTTCTAAAATTAAACTGTGAAACAACAAATCATCATAGCCACATGTAATGAGAAATCTGGGCAAAAAAATATAAAGAAAAAAGCAAGGAATTATTACTCACCGGGATTCGAACCTTTACGAGATTGTTTACATGCTTTCAACCATTCTACTGAAATAATTGGTATACCCCGTGCTCTAGCATATAGTACTTTTAAGGTACGTTTAATTTGATCAGTAATTAAATAATCAGCAAGTGTAGGATCTTCCGTTTCAAATGCATTCAATTTCTTTAGAATGTTTGAATAACTTGAAGATTCAACACCACTGAATATTAATTGAATGGAATTAGTCTGTGTAGAATAGAATATAAAATTATTATTATCAACAAAATGTTTCTTCTTTGTAAGAGTTAAGAACGAATCGATGTTTAAAGCGAGGATCGATTAATAAGAAATAACGGTGAGACTTTAATTTAGGGACGACCCTCGAGTGGAGTTAATAGCCTTGTAAAGGCTGGTATTATATCAACTCAATATCAGTTATTCTAGATTTTGGACAGGCCAATTTATCAATTCTTCTCTAGCCACATTATTACTTTGTCACTCATTCGCTTAGTAACTGTTTTTATATGATCGTATACGTGCTGAATGCTTACCCCATTTATTAAGTTTCTGCTGATTATTTTTATCTGAGTATAAATATTCAGTGATGATTGATAAAATGGGATTGGCTCACTTTCCCCCTCTGGTGCGCAACACTTAATTTCGTTTTTCTTCGCTTTCTTCACTTCGTATCTCTGATCGCCCGTCTGGATCAATGAGTGTGTAAAATATACTTATTCAAAATTTATTCTGGTATTCGAATTATTTTATTCCGTTTTTCTATATTGTGAATTAAGTCGATAAAAATATATGAGGATTGGCAGCATGCATATTTCGATAACAATCAGGATATGATTTATCTGGTGTCAGACATAGGGTCACTAATACCTCACTTACTGTGATGACGTAAGGTACAGCAAATTAGACCAATACAAATTTATATAAGCTACTACATTGATGATAAGTTGTAGACTAAAAGCTTGTTAAGAAGAATGGGATAATCGATAGTGTACTGACACTGGGAACTTAAGAGTTTTTGATGACAGAATTCATAATTAAACGGTAGGAAACTACATCACCCACTATGATCGAAATAAATGATTCATATTGCAGAGGCTGTTATTGGTGTTCTGCACTTAACTGGCTGGGTTAGGCAGATAGCAGGACCGACAAGTACTCTAGACTACTCGTACGGTTTCCGTGTGTCATTGATCTGATCGATAATCCACTGTCCTCTTATTGGCGGTATTATCACGTCATATATTAAACAGGGAACTCGGCCACACAATATAAAAATTACACATTATCCTATTAAAATATTAGTTATCAATCAAAATGAAAACTCATTAATCCCGAAGAACTTCCTAATATGCTTAAACGGTATCTCGTAATATTTTAGTCAACAAAGATAACTACTTAAGTTAGAACAAGTAGCATATTTTATATTGCAAGTAAAACTTACGGTGTTGGTTTTTGATGATCCAGTAGATGTTGAGGAAGTATTATTGAAATCAGTATTTGATATTTTAAGATTTTTTCCTTTAGATTCATTTGTAGATGTTGTCATCCGTCGTTTTTGTTGGTTTTTTGTGGGATTTTCTTGATTTAAATTGATTAAAGCACTACTCCTAATCCTTCTACTACTACTACTACTACTACAGCTATCTTCTTGAATACTCACAACAGGTCGGATATGCTGCTGCAACGTTGAAGCAACCGCTAGTGGAGCTTTATTACAAATTCCATCAGATTGTACATTAAGTCGTGTAGACCGTCGAGTAGGTAATTTCGAAGAGTTATTATTCACTTCAAGTTTTGACTTTCTAGAATTATGTCTAATTGTTTTATCTGTAGGCAATGATAAATTATCTTTTTTAGGTATAGATGATAATGTTCTCCTAGTTCTACCTACCTTATTATTGTTATTAGCATTTTTGTGCACCAGATACTCTTTACTGTCATCATCAACATCATTATTGGTAATTGAACTAGTAGTAAGTGATGTGAATGCATTTTTTCTAGTTGTACATGAATTTCTCAGGTTTCTTTTAGGTTTCTTTAAAACAGGTGATGTATATTCATCAGACAACGATGTTATTGGTAAAGTAGAAGTAGGAAGCAGTGGACTAAACTGTTGTTGTTCATTGCTACTTTTCGCTTGGATACAAATTTTAGCATTCAACGAATTAGGTGTAAGATCAGTAAATGATGGTAGAGATAGGAGTTCGCCAATATTTAATGTATTCTTCACTAAAGGATCCTAAATTTGGAGAGGGAGGATAGTTGATAGATTTTGAAGGAGACAAAAACAAATAATGTTTTCTCATCAAACGACGATAGGAAAATATAAAAAAATGTAGAGACCTTTGTAATATAAAGTTCAGTGAATTTATCAAATTTATAACATATATGTAAGTTTACATATCCGGTTTTGAAGTATACCTTTACATGAATAAACGTTGATGATTCTGTCCGTTGGAAAAAAACGAAGACAAGGAATTATGATATTGATATGTGTGCCAAAATGATAATGATTGATTGTCTGCTTAGTCAGCCATGTGTCAGATGAGTTATATATTCCCCTATCCTTATTATTTATTATTATTGAATGATTGTCCATTCGTTGTTAGATTGTGTCGGGTTTTGGTGTGGAAATATATTTACGTTCTTGTCAGGCTAATCACGTGTTCTTGATCTGAGTTATGTTGAAGTTCTGTAGAGTAGACACTGGGAGGGAATCCAGTGTAGATATTCATCTAAAGTAAATTAACGTCTCATTCGTGTAAACAAGGAAAACGGACCGTTATAATAGATCTATAACATACTAAAAAATAGATATGTAGGTTGACTACTAAGCTATCAAAATGGTTGAACACTTCTGAGGTTGGGAAAAAATTAAGTTAGTCTTCAGATATGTAACAAAATGGAAAAAATTTGCCGAAACTAATCATATCTGTGTATTTGTGTGTAGGTAATTGATAATGTCCGCAAATACCAACATGTCATAGAGGACCAAAAGAGAAAGCTACAACAGACACTCACACCAGAACACTTCGAAACCTTGTCAACAGCCATCGAAACATTATGCAAACGACACAGAGAAAAAAGAAGAAATATCCTTAAAAAGAAAATAATCAAAATCTCAAAACCAACTATAGAAGAAAACACAAACAACAGCGTGGTCAACCTATCAAAGCAACCACTAACAAACACAGAAGAACAGCTACTCCGAAAAGGATTAAATTACAATACAAGCGATGCCCCAAAACTAGCATTCTACGCAGCACTAGAGTCATCACTCAAAACGTCCGGAATAAGTGAGGAAACGCAACAGGAAATAAGACAATCTATAATACCACTAACTCAACGGATGAAGGGCAACAACCAACTGACGTCACAAGAACAAACAGCTTTGAAGAAACTCAGAACCAGAAAAGATATTGTAATCGTTCCAGCAGACAAAGGACGCACTACGGTGATTATGGACAAGGAAGAATACATCAAGAAAGCCGAGGAAATACTCGAGGACAAAAGTACATACAAACCGATGGACATAAATCCAGTCAAAAAACTAGACAATCGCATTTCAAAAACTTTAAACAAACTCGTCAAAGCAGGAGAAATAACGAAGCAAGATCAATGGAGAATGAAATCTAATGGACCAGTACTCCCTCGGTTCTACGGCAGACCAAAGATACACAAACCAAACATCCCACTACGTCCAATTGTAGCACTACCAGGAACACCAACGTACAATTTATCAAGAGAAATCTCAAGAATACTGAAACATTTAGTAGATTCGTCGAACCACTCCATCAAATCAGCCACACAATTCCTTGATCAGATTAGGAACATTCAAATCAACGACGACGAACTAATGATATCCTTCGATGTGACAGCACTATTCACTTCAATTGAACCAAACCTAGCAAAAGAAACTCTGTCCTTGCTCCTAACCAACGACGAAAACCTCGCGAAATACACGAAACTTCAAAGTCAAAGCCTACTTGAACTCATAGATCTATGTCTAACAACATATTTCCAATTCAATAACAAAATCTACAAACAAACAAAAGGGACACCAATGGGATCACCAATATCAGGACTCATCGCGGAAGCAGTAATGCAACGACTAGAAACCACAATTCTACCAGTGATCAAACCAAAAATTTGGATTCGTTATGTAGACGACACATTCGTCATCGTCAAAAAGGAGGAACTAGAAAACACCTACGAGCAGATCAACAACGTCTTCAACGACATCAAGTTCACAATGGAACAAGAGTCGGACAACAAGTTGCCATTCTTAGATGTATTAATCACCAGAACGGACACAGGAAAACTAGAGACTCAAGTGTACAGGAAGCCGACCCACACCGATCAAATTCTCAACTACAATAGCAACAACCCAAGAACTCACAAAATCAACTGTGTACAAACTTTGTTCAAGAGGGCGAGAACACACTGCAATACAATCACAGCACGAAAAAATGAAGAAAAACACCTGAAAACCATTCTTCAAAAGAACGGCTATCCAATCAATTTCATCAAAAAATACCAGTCGCACACACCATCAGAAATGAAGTCAAGTATAAAAATCAACAAAAGGATCACCCTACCATACATAAAGGGCATATCGGAAACGACAACAAGGCTGCTGAAAACCTTCGGAATAGGTGTAGCCCACAAACCAACAAAGTCCCTCCACTCAATCTTATGCAAACCAAAAGATGAAATGGCAAAAGAAGACAAAACAAACATCATCTACAAGATAAATTGTACCAACTGCAACAAACACTATATTGGACAAAGCGGACGCCCCCTGCATCTTCGCCTACATGAACACCAATTAGCAGTCAAACGCCACGACATTTCTTCACTCATATCAATACACGTGGACAACTACGGACATACATTCGACTGGGAAAATGTGCAGATTTTGGACAGAGGCAATTCCAAAAATACCAGAGAATTTTTAGAAGCTTGGCACTCAGGTCAATCTGCAATAAACAAACATATTGAAATCAATCCAATCTATCAACCAATCAAGAAAATTATGCAGGAGCATAGGAACAAAAATCAAAACAATAGGAGAGACAATCAAAACAAAGAAATAAACAATGACAGATTTAAGGTCAATAAGAACCAATCAACATCGAGGTGCAGAGGACAAGCTGTGAATCACATGTGGAGAAATTCAAACACTTCACTTCTACCCGAAGTTTGTGCTGATGATGTCGTTCAGAAGGACGATGAAAGCTCCACGACCAAACCATCCAGCTCAGAGAACAAACCAACATAAAAATAATGTCTAGAACCCTAAACCGAAGCAATTGGTTTTTTAGAGGAACCACTTCCCCAGATTTGGATAGAAGGGGTTTATGCTACAAGATAGTCAAGCAACTTTATGAAGTGAAATCCTGAAGTACTCGGCGATTAAATTAGGTTAATACGTCAGTCGTCGAGTCATGATCCTAGATTTCAAGTACATTACTGGTTTAGAATAAAACTCTCCAACTCTCCTGAAGGACGTCCCACATTCAAAAATTCGATTTAAGAGTCTAATATTCCTTTCGTCTTCTCACTCAAGTAAAACCAGGCGCATAAAGTCAAAGGGATGAGTAAAATTTTCTTGATAGCACGTCCACATGATCCTTCATATCCAGCGATCCGGTTAAGACGCCGGATATTCGCTTATCGTCCTCTCAATTTCGTAAACAATTTCTCCGTTTTCTAAGCCAAGATCATATATAGTATCCGTTCTTTGATATGTAGTTTCTGCAACGGTCTCTAAACTGACATCAATGAAATTACCTGTATTTTTCGCCTGCGGACAGGTGCCGTGAGCTTGTTCAACACCCATCCACGGGTCGGCCTCGTATTACATAATCAATTTAGGGTAACATGTGAGCTGGTCATTGTACAGATGATCAGACAATTATTATTGTTATTATTACCTTTATTATTATTACTATCATTTATCATGTATAAAAATTAATTCTACTACTTTCATGACTTTTGTTAAACTCCAATACATTTCACAGTTGATATATCAACAATTTAAGTCTACAGAGATGCATTTCTGATGTATAAGTAATTAGTTTTTAACCACATGTTTACTTACTATCTTATCAAACTGTGTAAATGGTGTTAAGATTCGCTGATTAACTTATATAACCTCAGCTCATATACATCATTTACAGTTTATGAAAATATCAAAGATGAATTAACAACAAAGCTATTAAAATACGGTAACGGTAGCTATTGAACTCAGAATTTAAAATTTTTAGCCAAGTTCTATTTTTACAAAGAAAATATGATAACTACGCTATGAAAAGCTCTGAAATTCCTTAACCAGAGTAACAATTAATATAGATACATGGAATGTACGGACAATGTGGGAGACCGGGAGGACCCATCAAATAGCTACAGAAATGAGGATACAACTTGACAGTGTTCGGAATAAGTGGAACACATTGAACCCAAGCTGGATAGCAAAGGATAGATTTGGGAGATATGCTGTTGTACGCTGGTCACTAAGAAGAGAATGCTCCGCACACTCACGAAGTTGCTCCCATGCTGTTTAAAGAATCCAGAAAAGCACTTATACGATCGGAATCTTATGGATCCAGGATCATCAAAAACAAAGAAGAAGGGAATCACAATGAATGTCATCTAATGTTATAGACCCATAATTGATAGCAATGACAACGATAAATATTAATTTTACAAGAGTCTACAAACGATCTTAGAGAAGTATCCAAGAAAGGACCATGTCATTCTGATGGGAGATTTAAATGCTAAAGTTGGAGTGAACAACACAGGATATGGACGACATGAACTGATTAGGAGAAAGAAACGAGGATGGTGTGAGATTTGCAAATTTATATTCAACAAAATGGTTATAGGTGGCACAATATTCACACATAAACACATATACTAAGCTACATTGTTCTCACCGAATCACACTACACAGAACAACATCGATCATATTTGCATCACCAAAAATTTCAGAAGGACAATTAAAGAGGTGAGAATCAGGAGAGGAGCTGACATAGCTTCAGATCAACACCTTCTTAAGATTGCCGAGAAAATGAAGAAACACCATTACAGAGGTTTAATACAGCCTTTCGATAACATACTGACAGACTCAACGAATTCAAAATAACTCTCAGTAATAGGTTCCAAGACTTACAAGGTCTACTGGAAGAAGAAGAAACTATGATGAAGGACAACTGAGAAGCGATCAAAGTAGCATTTACTTTATCGTGTCAGGAGGTGATAGGCCGCAAACAACATCATCATATGGAATGAATCTCTATGGAAGCCCTGGACAATATTTAAAAACGGAACAAGAAGACAGCAATGAACAACAGCTGAACAAGAGCAGAAAAAGCCAAGGTACAAGATAAATACGCAGAAACAAATAACACAATTAGGAGAAACATGAGAGCCGACAAGCAGATATACGTGGAAGATCTAGCAATGGCAGCAGAAAAGGCTGAAATAGAAAGAAATATCACACAATTAGATGATATAATGAAGGAATGCAGACCCACCTATAGATGTCACCCCACCAACAATCGAAAGAATCAGTATGGATATCAGATAAATCAAGAGTGGGAAACAGTAAGACCTGACAATATAACAGTTGAAACTCTGAAGTCAGACATAGAAGCAACTGCAAACGTGCCCCACGTTTCATTCGGGAGGATCTGAGATGAGGAACAAATGCAGATAAACTGGAAAGAAGGACATTTCATCAAGACACCAAAGAAAGGAGATCTGAGCAAATGTGAGAACTACCGAGGCATTACACTACTATCGGTACCAGGAAAAGTTTTCAACAGTGTTGTTGACCGAATCGCGACATTATGGATCATTGTTGAACAATAAATTGAATAGAGTTAGTCATTATACATCAACTTCCTTGACGACGAGAAGGCGTTTGACAGTGTAGACAGGAGAACATTATGGAAACTTCTTCGACACTATGAAGTTCCTCAGAAGATTGTCAACATTATCCAGAACTCATACGACGGACTACAGTGCAAGGTCGTGCATGGAGGACAGATGACAGATGCATTTCCAGTAGGGATCAGAGTCAGGCAAGGCTGTCTACTCTCCCACTTCCTCTTTCTTCATGTGATTGACTGGATTATGTAGACTACGACATCTGAGGGGACGCACGGAATACAATGGACATCTCAGAATCAATTAGATGATTCGGACTTCGCAGATGACCTAGCCCTCTTATCTCATACACATCAACAAATCCAGGTCAGAAGAAACAGTGTGACAGCAGTAGACCTCAACATACACAAGGGAAATAGCAACATCCTCAAACATAATACACAGAATACTAACCCAGTTACACTTGATTGAAAAACTCTGGAAGAGGTGGTGACGTTCACCTACCTGAACAGCAACACTGATGAACGAATAGGATCCGATGCAGACGTAAAGGCGAGGATTGGCAAAGCAAGAGCCGCATTTCTACGACTCAACAATATATGAAATTCAAAACAACTGGCAACCAATATCAAAGTCACAATCTTCAATACGAACGTCAAGACAGTTCTACTGTATGGAGCTGAAACTTCGATAACTATCACAACCATCATCAAAACAGTAAAAGTATTTATAAACAATTTCCTACGAAAGATACTCAATATCCATTGGTTGGAAACCATCAGCAGCAGCTTACTGTGGGAGAGAACAAACTGGCTTCCAGTTGACGAGGAAATTAGGAAAAGATTTCGGAAGTGAATAGGATATATATTGAGGAAATTACCAAAATGCATTATGAGACAAGCTCTAACTTTGAATCCTGAACGGAAACGGAAAAAAAAGACCAAAGAACACTGGGCCGAGAATTAGAAGCAAACATGAATAGGATGAATATAAACTGGCAAGAGTATGAAAAATCGCCAAGGTCGGAGTTGGATTGACAATGTTCGTGAGCGGCCTATGCTCCTCAATGAAGGGTGTAAGTAATTACAGATACGTAAAAGACATAGTTTATATTGTAACTTACATTTTCCGGTGATTCATCAAAACCAGCTAATTTGACAGCAGATTCTAAAATACAAGATTTATTTCTATGGATATCGTTGTTGGTGGTTTTGATTGATGAATTATTTGTTTTCGATGGAGAAACATTTGATTCATTTTTCGTTTGTTCTAATTTTTCATCAAATAATTGAGAAGGTTCTTCGCTTAGAATACTTCCTGATAAATGTAATGGACTAGGAATATGTGGTGCACGACGTCGATTATAATTTGATTGATTATTAACTTTTTTACTATTGCAATTGATATCATTATCATGATTTATAAGAGACCATGAACATTTCCAATCTTGTAGTTCTGTATCTGAATTAGGACTATCTAAATGAATTGATGAAATAACTGATGTGGAGTTTTGTTTATTTTTTCGACTACGAAACTTTACAGTACCTAAAGAACCTGGTAAAATACAATTAGTGACACGTTCAGAGGGTCTATTTCGAGTTGATCTGGTGGAACGAAATAATGAACAATGTTCAATGTAACGACGAAGTTTACAATCGTTATCATCAGGTGTTAATTGAATTCGCTGGAATAGAAAACAGAACAAAATTCGAATTGTTAGCATTCATGATCTTTGACAAGAAATAAATATATTAGGCGAAACCATTTAAATTGGATCCTAGGTCAGCAGTTTATTATAATAATTATTAGCTTTATTCTTTATTACCAGTCAGTCAGTCACAACATAGAACTTCGTACGTACGTACATCAGTTGAAGTTACCATACCATAATAATATTCTTTATTATATTTTTGGTACAACATAGAATTCTCAGCACAAAGTATTTCAGCGAGTTTCCGTTCTTTATTTCTTGATCGATATTGACCATTAATACTAAGTGATTGCCAGTTAAATGTTAGCATTTCAGAAGTCGACATCCGAATAATATTCATTCTTTTCAATGCACATTGCCAACCGACACCATGTTTCCGATTGCAAATTTTTGTAACTTGTACAGCGAAAAGTCATAAACTTTTTACAAACGCACCTGAATAGGTTAGGGTTTGCATGCGAAACCAAGAGTCCCCGGGACCCCGGCCTGCGGGTTTATGAATGTGCACTGTTGACGAAACGGTCATCTAGTGGTTCCAGGTATTCCATGATTGTCCAGCTTAATCGGTTCATGATTTAAATGAAATTTAACAATCTCCACAACCCTATATTCATTACAAACACTCTAACAGTCTTTAACATTCATTTCAGATCAGTTTGGATATACAACCATAACCATAGTAATCAACACCATGAGATTATTGGAAGCCGACCATAGGTGGTACTTTGCTGTGGCGTTCGAGGTGACCTTATCGACTTATGTTGTCTGGATTACTTTTTTCCATATCCTAGCACATCAAGTAGGTCGGCTGGTGAGTGGTAAGACGGAAAGCAGAAAAATTAGGATTCCAGGGAAAAGTTTCATTGACTTCTGTGCTGGAGTGTAACAGCAGTAGGACATTTCCCTCAGACAACCAGGATCTCTAGAGATCCTGGGTGAAATCCAAGACTACGAACATCAAACAAGTTATCATATGAATTTCAGTTACCAGACGTAAAGTCTCCAGATTACGCAGCTGATACATCAAAAACTAGCAAAAAGGTCCTGTGCGACCTATCTCAAACAGGCGTCCAGTGGGATTCGAAGTCACGGCCACATATCACTAATAACAGTTTTATTTTCAGGTTTATCAAGAAGAAATGTCCTTTCATGAGGTGAGTGACGGCTGCTTCCTCCACCCTACTACCAACATTTAAGATCCGGTACAAATGTTGGTACATTTCAGACTAGCACAGAAGAATCCAAATTTAAATAAAGCATCAACATAATATTTTAGAAATTACAGTTGAAAAACAACGAATCAAACCTAACAGAGATAAAGTATAAACTGGCGATAAGCTTAATAGAGGAATATTAGATGTGAGAACGTTATACAATGGTGACTGATTTTGAATAATACCGACAATACACCATTACAATAGCGCAGACCCAAGCAAAGTAGTCTATTTATTTTTATTTATTTGAACACATAAATATTGGTACAAGGAAGCATCAGATAAATATGCGCCTCACAAATCTCATTCGATTTGTGTGATGGTTGTGATACTGCCCAGGTGCCCTGACTGAAGAATGTGGTTTTCTTAGGGGGCCACACATGGAGCCTTTGACCTGAAGGTCTAGTATACAAAGCAGTGGAGCATCGTGAGGAGATGCAGTACCATGGTAGCCGGTGACCAACGATTGGTTCATACACCATTTGTTCCTTCAGGATCCTGAAGCTCATGTGCACCATTGGTTTGAAATCAGGGTATTCCAACTCCCCTAGGTGGATGCTTCATATCCACCAACCCGGTTAAAGAGCCGGACATTCGCTTTTCGTCCTCTCAATTTCGTAAACAACAGTAATGCCACGAGAAGGCAGTGAGTAGGACTTCTCTGGCAGAGGCTATATATTCGCGTGGCCATGTGAGAGCATTTGGAGAGGGAGAGCGGACTCTCCCCACTCTCCGCACCAGGGCATTTGGGGACGAGAGTAGTCTCAACATTCTATAATATGGCTTAGTCAGATCATCAGTTGTTAATGATAGCATGGATATAGTGATTTTCTCCCATAGAAAAATAACGAAATATTTGTAATCAATTGACCGTCTAGCACAGACAATACAACATCTCACCTATAATTATCTATTTCAATTACACATTTTATTGATTATATAATTAAACTTCACTATCACAAAATGAAGAGATATGAAAAAAGGGTATAAAAACTAACCTCGCTAGTAAAATCACTCTTAGACGAAAGTGTTGACTGAGGTATATCAGTTTTTGCCAGTTCTGAAATAGTTAATCGTTGTTGTTGTTCAACGTGTAAAGGACTTTCAACAGATTTCTCCATACTTAGTTGATCTTTAGACTTCAAATTACGCCGTTTTTGTTTTGTGATATTATTTACTTTATAATCGGTACCCGATAGATTACATTCTGATGAAGCAAAACGACTGGATTCGGTATTTTTCTTCCTAATATTGTAGTTATTACGATTATTATATTGAACTTTTTCAGATAAAATCTCAGTATGAACTATATCCGATCCCCATTCTTGAGAGAAAACAATATCAGCCTTCTTTTCTGAAGAATTATGCTTTATTGTAAAAGATAATGAACGTGATTAGTGAGAACTATTCCACATATATACCAATTGAGCTCACTATATTTTTAAAAGAAAACTATATATATTACTACCGTATATTACATAAGTAGTTTTAGATATTCTTGTGAATTAACCATGGTTATTAATTCAGTCGTAGTCATTTAAAAATATTATCGGGAGCACAGTTTATTTCAATCAATTTTAACCAAAACTATTTCAATAACTAAACAACTATCATGTACAGAAAACATTGACAAATTGATTATCGTTGGAAGCGTGAGTCAATTGAAGCTAAACCACCATGGAAAATCTGGAAACACTGGACGGCCGTTTCGTCCTATTATGGGACTCCTCAGCAGTGCGCATCCACGAACCCGCTCTCACGAGCGAGATTCGAATCCAGGACCTACCAGTCTCGAGCCGAAGCCCTTAACCGATAGACCACTAAGCTGGCATCCAACGGTGTTAATGTCTAACTTCAACTGATCCACGAAGTTGAGCAATCATTCACCAATTGTCTTCAGTGAGTTCCTATCTCACAACAGACGTGGTTTTGAACTCCACTGGTCACTGCGTCTCATTGATTATCAACCAGTATCACGAACAATGTGTATTGTAAGCAGGGATGGTTAGTGGTTAGCACTGGAATACAAAATGCGCATTTAGTCCTCCTTGGAACTTGTCATCTGGATGTAACTACATCCTAGAGTGGACGTTCACTCCGTGACTCTAACCCAGTACCGTTTACAGGTACATCCGGCTAACAAGTTCCAAATAAAATGAAAATCACGTCCTGAATTCCACCATACAGCCAACATGCATCTCTACTTATAACACTTGTGATTTAAGGCAATGCGCACAGGATGCACAAATGTCAATAAGAGACTGATCAATTCCCGTCTTAAACATCAATGGGAACATTCAAACAATCAATAGAAAGATGGATGAGTACGTTTCAGTTCTCAAGACTATTCAGCAGTACAGTAACTCGGAAAGTCGAATAATCACAGTTACAACCATAAAACTAAAAATTTGCACAAGGTAGGTACGAAAAATATGAGGCGGCGTCTTAACGTCTACAGTAATTAACTTTAAAATTAGTGTGCCACAAATCTGAACATCGACCCGTCCATTTTTACTTAGGTAGTAGAGACGCTTTATTAACCTTCGTAGAACTAGTGTGGCTTACATAAATCTATACCAAGTGAACAAGAGTTCGAATCTGAGATCTACGGGTTGGAGAAGTTGTGCGCGATGGCATTTGAAACGAATGGTACTGGGTCCGAGTCCCAGAGTGAACATAAACTCTGAGATACAGGTATATACAGCTGATGAGTCTCGAGTAGGACAAAATGAGCGTCTTGGATTCCACTGCTAGCCACTATCCATCTTTGCTCAGAATGCTTGTGACTTGAGGCAATCCACACAGGATGCACATACGCCAACAAGAGACTAATTAATCGCATTCCTAAACAACAATGGGCAGATACAAGTAGACGACATCAAGTGAATTGAAACAAATAGTAGCTATGATAATAATAAAATTTATAAAACTAACTCCATCGGTTTTAGAAGATGAATCATTGTGAATATTTTGATCTTTGTTAGATATACTACTATTATTAAGAAATTGATCATCTTGATTCTGTATGCCACAATTAAAATTTTGAAGATTTTCTAATGGCTGTAAAGTTACCGTGATATTCTTACAAACAATGTCATGACTGTTAACAGTGATCAAGTCACAATGTTCTTTCTTGGTGTCGATAATGGTAGTAGTAGGAGTAGTTGTTGTTGTACATGAGTTAGTTGATTCTACCTGAAAAATATTCAAAACAATAACAAGAGAAAAAGAGAACTAGACAAACGTAAAATTGGTCAACAATCAGTGACGATTATTTATTGATAAATATCTCATTCCTATAGGAAGTTAGTTGACGTTTCAATAGCTCAGTGATAATATCTCTCAGACAGTAAAACTGAGTAACTTGGGTTCAATTCCACCAGAGTATCAGTTTCTTGAAAACTGATGTTATACCTTACTAATGAGTATCAAGTAGGACAAAACAGGCGTCAACTCTAATGAATAAATAATTGCATATTATATAATGAGCTAACTTTACTAGACTTCTTATTAAGCAGCTACAACGTAGAACGAGGCACATATATGCATCGGTCCAAGTTTCCACACCACATAAGCACGATAAAATGATCACGAAATTCATAGAAGTAGTTACTTCAATGGCAGTAATATGTATAAAAAGAGGACATATGAGAATATGATACAGAGAGAAATAATTAGTTGGTAGAAAGAAAGGTGTAAATTAATTTGAATCTTATGGTTTAAGGGCAGACAAAGAGTGTATACACTTACACCATTGTGATCAATTCTGAATCATATCACCCGGAGTCTCCAACCATTGGTTTCGATAGTCACGCGGACCCCAACCAAGTGGTCTGCATCTACCAACATGGTCCACACTAGAAGGTAGTGACTTTAAGGACTGATGCCACGTTTTGGTTTGGTCGCCCCTAGCTTTCTTCCAACCGTCTTCAACACTGGTCAGAGTTGCGTGCCGTGGTAGTCGGTGGTTGGGCATGCGTAATATGTGGCCCAACCATCTCAGTCGATGAAGATTCATGACCTCATCAACTGATTTACCATCATTCCCTAATACCCTGCGTCTAACTTTACTATTACTTACCCGGTCGAGGTCATATTTCGACGATATCTGTGGTCAAATGATAGATCAATTCCTGAAAATTCAGTCTCATGTATGAATAAAAATATCAACCAGATAATGTCGGCGGTTCATAATGAAAAAATATGCCACTGAACTGCACAAATCTCAGCAAAAGAACTTATATTAAAGGAAAACATAAAGCATCCTACCTGCATCTTTTCTTCTTTTTCTGGACAAATGCCGTTGAATATTCGTGATTTTCTTGAACTGTAATTATCATCAACTACAATCTGTAAGGAATCATTACTTATTACTGATTGATTCACAGGTTGAACTGTAGATTCACGAGCGAAATTTGGAGCGAACTCATTATTATTATTATTAATTAAATCAACATTTGACTTGTTCAGAATTATTTCATCTTTTCCAAGACCGCTGGTTTCACCTAAGCTAGAAAACATAATTATATAGCATTATGTGATAAGTAGAAACGTTCAATCTATTAAGAAAATAAGTGAATAGCAAGGTAATAAACACGAGTCATATACGAAGGGAGTAGACTCGATTGATAGTGCGCATTTATTATGGAGGAAAGTTAGGTTGAAACTTACGATCACACAAGTGGTAGACTAGAAGATACAAGATAATACGATAGATAATAGACTGAACACTAGATCACTTAATTAGTATACTAGATAATAATAGATCACGATACTGCGCGTCAAGTTAACTCAGATACACAAATTCCAACTAAGAATTGGGACAGAATGATACTTCATTGACACAAATTGCAAACGGTCAATGGAATGAAAGAGATGTCTAGTTTGTATGTCTCCAACTAACAATACCATTCTAACCCTAACCTTAACTTGTCTAACCATATTTAATACTTTGTTTACTGCGAAACGTTTCGCTCTGAGCAGTCCGAAATAAAAAAAACAGAAGCCAGTTTTTAAAAAAATAATAAAATAAATACCTTTTAGCTGCATTGCTTGTCATTAGATCACTCTCTTCAATAGTAAATACTGACTCTTCAGTAGACAAACAAGTAGACGAACGAATAGTCAATTCGAAATGATTATCCATTGATTGAACAATACAACCTGGATCAGAGTCTCGTGCAAGTAGGACATTTACTCGATTGTATGTTAAAGGAGTTGAAGATGTTTTGTTTGTTAAGACCATAGGAGTAGCAGGAATAACATCATTAGATGAAAGATTATTTTTAATTGATTTACTCAATAATTGCAAAGGAGTAGCATCAATGATATAACCTTTAGATTTACTGACAGATTCTGTGGTTAATAAATCTTTAAAAATAATAATAACAAAACAGAATTTGGTCTTACATTGCATTCATTATTTGAAATATGAGCGAAAAATCGTAAGATATCTCTGTAATGATAACCATTATTTGAGACATAGTCCAGTTAGATAGTAGTAAACAAAATTATCTCTTTTCATTAGGATGAAAGGTTTATGGAGAGTGTTCAATTTGACTAAAGTTTATATTACAACTAAACGACCTGTAGCTCTTCTAGAGTTACTGCCGGTCCCAAGCCCGGGTAAAGGAGGAGGGTTGGGCATGGGGTTAGCGACCCCATCCCGTAGAAAAGCTAACTCGCTAAAAAAACGCTAACCAGAAAAAACAATTCAAACCATTTAAACTCTGCCCTGGGAGTTGAAGGAATAATGACGTCTCATGATGAAAGCCGAAATTCTTCGGAAGTCACGAGACCGATGCACCTTCTAACAACCAGAGCAACACTCTTTATAGGTACATGGAACGTCCGGACACTGTGGGAGACAGGAAAGACCAGCCAAATAGCAATGGAAATGAGGAGATACAACTTGGCAGTACTCGGAATCAGCGAAACCCATTGGACACAAACTGGACAACAAAGGCTAGGTACAGGAGAGATGCTGCTGTACTCCGGTCACGAAGGGGAAAATGCTCCACACACTCAGGGAGTTGCTCTAATGCTGTTCAAAGAAGCACGAAATGCACTTGTGGGATGGGAATCTCATGGACCCAGGATAATCAAAGCATCATTCAGAACAAAGAAGCAAGGGATCACAATGAACGTTATCCAATGTTATGCACCCACCAATGATAGCAACGACGATGATAAAGATCAGTTCTATGAAAGGCTGCAATCAATTGTAGCAAAGAGCTCACGAAAGGACCTCACCATCCTGATGGGAGATCTAAATGCTAAAGTTGGAGTGGACAACACAGGATATGAAGATATAATCGGACGACATGGACTAGGAGAAAGAAATGAAAATGGGGAGAGACTTGCAAACCTATGTGCTTTCAACAAATTGGTTATAGGCGGCACAATATTCCCACACAAACGCATACAAAAAGCTACATGGATCTCATCGGACCACACCACAGAGAACCAGATAGATCACATCTGTATCAACAAAAAATTCCGAACATCAATGGAAGATGTGAGAACCCGGAGAGGAGCTGACATAGCTTCAGATCACCACCTGCTTGTGGCCAAGATGAGACTGAAGCTTAAGAAAGACTGGACAACTGGACAAACAGCACTACAAAGGTTTAATACAGCCTTCCTTCGAGATGCTGACAAGCTCCATGAATTCAAGATAACTCTCAACAACAGGTTCCAAGCTCTACAGGATCTACTGAAAGAACAAGAAACTACTTTGGAGGACAACTGGAAAGAGATCAAAGAAGCACTAACTTCAACGTGTCAGGAGGTTCTTGGTCCTAAGAAGCATCATCACAAGGAATGGATCTCTCTGGGAACCCTGGACAAAATTCAAGAAAGGAAGAACAAGAGACTAGCAATTAACAACAGCTGAACACGAGCAGAGAAAGTCAAAGCACAGGCAGACTACGCAGAAGCAAACAGGGAAGTGAAGAAAAGCATTAAAGCCGACAAGCAGAAATATATGGGAGAACTAGCAACGACGGCGGAAAAAGCTGCAAGAGAAGGCAATATGAAACAACTATATGATACAACGAAGAAATTGGCAGGGAGATATAGCAAACCAGAGAGACCAGTCAAGGACAAAGAAGGAAAGGCAATCACTGAGATTCAAGAACAGAGGAAAAGATGGGCAGAATACTTCGAGGAACTGCTGAACAGACCAGCCCCATTGAATCCACCGAGCATCAAAGCAGCCCACACTGACCTTCCAATAGATGTCACTCCACCAACGATCGAAGAAGTCAAGATGGCCATCAGACAAATCAAAAGTGGGAAGGCAGCAGGACCTGACAATATACCAGCAGAAGCACTGAAATCAGACATTGAAATAACTGAAAACATGCTTCACCTTCTATTCAAAAAGATTTGGGAAGGGGAACAAGTGCCAACGGACTGGAAAGAAGGATATCTCATCAAGATACCAAAGAAAGGAGATCTGAGCAAATGTGAGAACCACAGAGGTATCAGTTTGTTATCAGTACCAGGAAAAGTTTTCAACAGAGTGCTGCTGAATCGGATGAAAGACGCAGTAGACGCCGAACTAAGGGATCATCAGGCTGGATTCCGTAAGGATCGGTCGTGCACAGACCAGATTGCGACACTACGGATCATCGTTGAACAATCAGTTGAGTGGAACTCATCACTATACGTCAACTTCATTGACTATGAGAAGGCGTTTGACAGCGTGGACAGGAGAACATTATGGAAACTTCTTCGACACTATGGAGTTCCTGAAAAGATTGTCAACATTATCCAAAACTCATACGATGGACTACAGTGCAAAGTGGTGCATGGAGGACGGCTGACAGATGCATTTCCAGTAAGGACCGGAGTCAGACAAGGCTGTCTACTCTCCCCATTCCTCTTCCTTCTAGTGATTGACTGGATTATGAAGAATTCGACATCTGGAGGGAAATACGGAATACAATGGACAGCTCAGAATCAATTAGATGATTTGGACTTCTCAGATGACCTAGCCCTCCTCTCTCATACACACGAACAAATGCAGATGAAGACAGCAAATGTAGCAGCAGCCTCCGCATCGATAGGTCTCCACATTCACAAAGGAAAAAGCAAGATTCTCAAATGCAACACGGAGAACACCAACCCAATCACACTTGACGGCGAAACTCTGGAAGAGGTGGAAACATTCAAGTACCTGGGGAGCATCGTTGATAAACAAGGAGGATCGGATGCAGATGTAAAGGCGAGGATTGGCAAACCAAGGGCAGCATTTCTACAATTGAAGAACATATGGAACTCAAAACAACTCTCAACCAATTTCAAGGTCAGAATCTTTAATACGAACGTCAACACAGTCCTACTGTATGGAGCTGAAACGTGGAGAACTACTACGGCCATCATCAGGAAGGTACAAGTATTTATAAACAGTTGTCTACGCAAAATACTCAACATCCACTGGCCGGATACTATCAGCAACAGCGTTTTATGGGAGAGGACAAACCAGCAGGTTCCAGCTGAAGAGGAAATTAGGAAAAGACGTTGGAAGTGGATCGGACATACATTAAAGAAATCATCAATGTGCATCACGACTCAATCCCTAACTTGGAATCCGGAAGGGAAGTGGAAAAGAGGAAGGCCAAAGAACACACTACGCCGGGAAATAGAAGCCGATATGAAAAGGCTGAATAGTAACTGGAAAGAACTGGAAAGGAAGGCTCAGGACAGAGTTGGATGGAGAATGCTGGTGAGCGGCCTATGCTCCTCCACAAGGGGTAACAGGCGTAAGTAAGTAAAACGACCATTGAAAATCAGAGAGCACTGGGTAGCTATATTTGTTCTAGCATGCGACTTCTCATCGGTGCACATACCATTACCCTACCGGAAGTAGGAATTCAAAGCTTTAGGCCTTGTATAGGGCGAAATTCTAATAGATGTATAGCTAAAGTCTTTCCGTGATATGAAAACATACTTTTCACTTGACTAATCATTTGAATGGCACTCTGTTGAGGTCTACGGAATGCCTTGTGGAAGCTTCTTTAAACAGAACATTATACATGAGTTATGATGGTAGATTACTTTAAAATTATTTGGTAAATTCAACTCCAGTTAACATAAAGTAAGAAATAGACAAGTATTCTATTAAATAGCTTCCTTATAGTAAGTTGAAACAAGATTACTACATGTAGTAAGTTGACATTTATATGCTAGACAACAATTAATAAAACAAGCAGCCTCAATAATAGAAAAGGAGTTATGTCGGGGATGGTAGAAAACAAATATGCTGCTGGAAGTAAATATCAATAAGTTTGACGGCTTAGCATTTCAATGACTTTTACATTAAAGCATGATGTCTGTCAACGTCACAGTTAACTTTTAACAGCATAATGGCTAGTTCGATGATGCATATAAACAAGGTTAAAGATTTGATAAGTGCTTTACAGCAAGCAGAGAAATATATTTCGAATTCAGTGACTTCAAGAACTTAAGAGTATTTATAATCTATGTATATGTACAAAAGTGTACCATGCAACAAATTATTAATTTACATTAGAAAAGTTGGAAAGACTACGTAATAAGCTTCTTAGGAAGTGGAGAGTGGTGCTGCAGTCAGTCAGTCACAACGTAGAACTTCGTACGTACGTACATCAGTTCAAGTTGCCAAACCATATTGACACAGAAATGCAGTTGTTGATTCAAATCCCATAGTGGTAGAAGTATTAAGAGTATAAGCAGTAATCCGAAAGATTAGGGGTTGAAGATGTTATCCAAGGAGTATAATCCAGTGAAATAAATTTGGAAAGAGAAAAGAGATAGAGACATGAAGAATTCAGAAGATTAGAATTTGGGAGAACACAAAGAGTGGATGCACCTTCGCTATTACAAACGATTTTGAGTCATGTCATTCAAGGTCTCTAACCATCGATTGCTATCATCTCGCACATCCCAACCAGGTAGTATACACCTACCAACATGGCTCAGTCCAATTTTCAGTGACTTCATGGATTTGTGCCACGTTTTGGTCTGGCCGCACCTAGCTTTCTTTCAACCTACTCCTACACCATGAAACATTGCACGTCGGGGCAGTCGGTGGTTGGGCATACATAACACGTGTCTCAATCATCTCAACTGTTGAGTGGTGCTGCATTATAAGGCATAACCATATCTGATAGTAAAACCATGTACGAAATAAATAAGTACGGGAGTGTGTAACTGATTCAACTAAAAATAACTGTTTAGTCAGTGAAGGGGGGCACCTTCGTAAAATCGATGATTTTCTACAAACAAGTCAAGTGTTAATTATTTTAATGTAGGCTCTTTTTATCACTTGATCTTTCCATGTTTTATTACAATTCAGGAAATTGTTTCATTTTATTTATCATTAAATAGAAGTTAGGTAATTTCGACATACTTTGTAATGCTTAGATTCACCAATGTTTATCCTCATACACAACAAAGTGTATTTCCGCTTGAATGTATGAACTTAAAGTGAACTACTTCAACTATATAGCTGTACCACATAGACTATATGTTATATAACAAAAATGATATAACAGTAGAAGTAATCTTAGAATCAATAAGGTTGAAGGCAAATATCCATTAATCAGTGTAACAAAAACCTCATACAGTAAATTTTCTGAATTTCTACAATTGGAATCAAACGTATGAAAAGAATCCGAGCATAGAATAATATTATTATTTAGTTAGAAAAACGTTAACTCTAAAACTGTAAAAGAAAAAGTAGAAATGGTAGGTATTACAAACTGTCTTGGAAAATCGTTTAACGTATGAGTAACTGTGTTACGTCAGTCAGTCTCTGATGATACATTTGCTTCATGAACGGATCGCCACAGTAATGCCAGTTAGCCAAACCTTTCTATATACTTGGTAAGTCGCTAGCAAAGGTAGATAGTACATGCGTTTAATCCTATTTGAGACTCCTCAACCGGATATACCTGTATTCCAGTGTTAGAAATTGCCACTGAGACTCAAACTCAGCATAAATCTTACTCCAAATGCTAACACATTATCCGATAATCTACTGAGCCCAGAGAGTCAGTTCGACAGGTATGAAAGTAACAGCGAAAGTATGTGACATTTTATATTATAAATGAAAAAAAAATATAATGATATTTTAAACAGAAACAAACTAATTTGCTATACAAGTGAACAGTCAAAAGATGATAAACAACAAATTAGCCTACTTTGGTTTGATTCACTTTCTAAATGAACATCATCTTTATTATGTACACGAGGTTTACAATTTTCAACTGACGACGGACTTTCGTGCATTTCAGTTTTTTTAACGTCTGAATCTGTACTACTTGATAAAGAAGGTGAATAGCTATTAATGAAATGATCCGGATTTGGCAATAAATCATGTGAAACTTCACCAGTATTTACAACAATTTCAGCTAAAACACGTTCACTAAAAACTGAACAATCACTATCATTGTTATTATCATTATCATCATTTTGTTTGGTTGAAAAATTCGATTGAGCAGATAATTGATTTTCTGTTTGAGAATGATAAAGATGACAAGATGTATCCTGATTGGTTTTCTAAAAATCAACAATTCAAACAATATTAGTTCACATTACGAATTGATATTAACTGTAGGGACTGTGAAGTAACTATTAAAAACTAGGGGAAAAATTGAATAACTGTTCCAATCTAATTTCATTTAGTATTGTTTGTTTGAATCATCCCATAGATATGTTAGGACTGCAACTGGTCAGTCTCTAATTAGCATATGTGCATACTGTGTAGATTGCCTCGATATGGCCTTAATTCACAAGGATTCTGAGAAAAGATAGATAGTAGCTAGCAGTGGAATCCAGGACTCGCGTTTCGTCCTATTTGGGGCTCGTCAGCTGGGTGTACCTGCATCTCAGAGTTGATGCTCACTCTGGGACTCGAACTCAGTACCTTTCACTTCAAACACCATCGCGTTATCCACTCGGCCACTGAGTCCATCTTTGCTTACAATGCTTGTGAATTAAGGCTATGTCGAGGCAATACGCACAGCATGCACATATTCCAATTAGAGATTGACCAGTTCCAGTCCTAACACATCGATGGGAAGATTCAAACAAACAATACTAAATGAAATTAAACTTCTCCCCATCGCACAAGCAAGTGGCTATCAGGACTCAGTGGTCGAGTGGATAACCCGATGTTGTTTGAAGTGAAAGGTACTGAGTTCGAGTCCCAAAGTGAGCATCAACTCTGAGATGCAGGTACACCCAGCTGACGAGCCCCAAATAGGACGGAACGAGCGTCCTGGATTCCATTGCTAGCCACTATCCATCTTCGCTTACAATATTCCCAATCTAGTTTGAAACTTATCGAAAAAACACTTTCATGAACCAACACTAAGCATCATTACCATCTAACAACTGCAAAGAATTTTTTTCAGAACTATGGAATAACTAATAGCAATGTATAACGCTAACAAAATAACAAAAATAAATTTAAGTGGACTATTCAACAATCACGAACTAGCTTGTAGAGCAAATTAATAGTGTTTGATCCGTGTCAGGTATGAGACAGATACACAACATGAGCAACGAATGTAGATTGCTCAATATGGTGAATTAGTTGACACTGTGCCTCCAAATGTCCTGGTACGCCCGAGATTGGGGAGAGTCCGCTCTCCCTCTCGAAATGCTCTCATATGGCCACGCGTATATAGCCTCTGTCAGGGAAGTCCTACTCACTGCCTTCTCATGGCATTACTGTTGTTTACAAAATTGAGAGGACGAAAAGAGAATGCCCGGCGCTATAACCGGGTTGGTGGACACGGAAAGTTCACCTAGGGGAGTTTTTTCTTTTTCCAGTAGACCTTGTAAGTCTTGGAACCTATTACTGAGAGTTATTTTGAATTCGTTGAGTCTGTCAGTATGTTATCGAAAGGCTGTATTAAACCTCTGTAATGGTGTTTCTTCATTTTCTCGGCAATCTTAAGAAGATGGTGATCTGAAGCTATGTCAGCTCCTCTCCTGATTCTCACCTCTTTAATTGTCCTTCTGAAATTTTTGGTGATGCAAATATGATCGATGTTGTTCTGTGTAGTGTGATTCGGTGAGAACAATGTAGCTTAGTATATGTGTTTATGTGTGAATATTGTGCCACCTATAACCATTTTGTTGAATATAAATTTGCAAATCTCACACCATCCTCGTTTCTTTCTCCTAATCAGTTCATGTCGTCCATATCCTGTGTTGTTCACTCCAACTTTAGCATTTAGATCTCCCATCAGAATGACATGGTCCTTTCTTGGATACTTCTCTAAGATCGTTTGTAGACTCTTGTAAAATTAATATTTATCGTTGTCATTGCTATCAATTATGGGTCCACATGGGGTCCAGTATCCTGAAGGAACAAATGGTGTGAACCAATCGTTGGTCACCGACTACCATCTGACTGCATCTCCTCACGATGCTCCACTGCCTTGTGGACCAGACCTTAAAGTCAAAGGCTCCGGGTGTGGCTCCCTAAGTAAACCACCTGCCTCAGTCTGGGCACCTGGGCAGTATCACAGCCCTCTCACAAATCTCATTCGATTTGTGAGGTGCATATTTATCTGGTGCTTCCCTGTACCAACATTTATGTGTTTAAATAAATAATAAAAAGTTGACACTGTGCATTAACACCGTTAGATGTTGGCTCACTGGTCTAGTGGTTAAGTGTGTGTGCGTTATCTGAAGGTCCCGAGTTCGGATCCCAATCGCGGTGTCATGGATGTGCACTGCTGAGGAGTCTCATACTTAGACAAAACAATCATCCAGGGGTTCTAGATTTTTAGTGGCATTCTGGCTAAGATCCCCTCTTAATTCAAACTTTCAAAATTCAGAGATTATCAAGATTTTGATCGAGTATGAGATATTTAAGTTATAAAGTAGTACAAATATTTAGAAAAAATAAACTTACCTGTAAGGATAGTTCAAGTGACTTTGAATCTCCATGGTGTGGATTAACAAGACATAATGATGTAGACGATGAGAGACAAAATTTTAAAGTACAATAAATCCCACCAAAATATAAACAATCACCATCTCTTAATTCATAACTTATTTTAGGTTTCAAGTGTAAATCATTACGTTTTGTACCATTTAATGAACCAAGATCTGTTACAGTACAAATATAATTTTCATCTAATTCAAATATTGCATGTTCTCTTGAAAGTAACTACATAAATGAAAAAATATATAACAAGTTTTATTATATGAATGCGTATCAAATCTTTACAAACAAAACCATAAGTAAAGAGAAGATTAGAAAACGTATTCTTGAAAAGAGTAAAGATTCCCGGTTAATCAATAATGAGAACCTGATATACCACTTTTGATAAGGTTTTATTTTATTTGAACACATAGATATTGGTACAAAGGGGCACCGAATACATATGCGCCGCACAAATCTTATTTGATTTGTGTGAGGACTGTGATACTGCCCAGGTGCCCAAACTGAAGCAGATGGTTGGGTGACTTATTCAGTATACAATGAACTGGAAAACCATGTACCTATTTATATTTGATAATTTCGATGTTTCATCAAATTTCTTGAAAAAGCTTGGACCAGATTGCCAGGCAAAACGTTGGATTTACTTCCAATTCATTCACTGACATTTTACAAATACATATTATTCCTATTTAATGTCGTCTTACATCAACTTGGCGCCCAAATATTGTGAAACTATTCGCTCTAATTTAGATGAAAGTTCTTACATATGGATAGTCGTATTATTCATGACTCTCTTGTCAAAGTCCTGAAGGTTGTACACTTCGATTTCTCGAAAAGAAACCAATGAAAACAGATGTCAGTTTGATTTGTCTAGCATTCCAAACATCTTTTTGTAAAACATAAATAAATAAGACTTAAATACACAAACAAAAGCTAAGTGGAATAACTTATCATAAACTAGTGTTTAAGTCGGAAATATACGTCTTAAGTGACCAGATATTATTATTAGTTTTACCATATATCATTAGTCAACACGCAATACATTTTAAACACGGAAACTGTATTTCAACCACTCAATAATTAGGATATTTCAAGTCTACTGAAATTATCAGAAGCATATGTCATTGAAGAGCAAAAATGTGATCACCATAGTTACAGAGATAGTAATAAACCTTCAATTATAATGATGCATCATAAACGTTGGTTAATGTAGTCTTTCATTTTTTTCACATAGTATGAGCTAACTGATTACAATTCAAGCAAAACAAATTAAACCCATTTTCTTTGTTTTGTTCTCGTAAAATTAGTGGACAACTCAAAAAAGATAGGTATCTAATGTGTTGTTTTCATATTTTAAAAACAAGTGTAGTTTTCTATAATACAATAAATTGGTTTACACTAACCAGTTCTTAATTCATTAGCACCAGATACATATGGCCCACACAAATCTCATTTGACCGAGAGGTCCAACCCACAAGGCAGTGGAGCATCATGAGGAGATGCAGTACCATGGTAGCCCGTGACCGACGATTGGTCCATACGCCATTTGTTATTTCAGGATGCTGAAGCCCATGTGCACCATTGGTTTGGAATGAGGGTTTTCCAACTCCTCTAGGTGAACTTTCCGTGTCCACTAACCCAGTTATAGCGCCGGACATTCGCTTTTCGTCCTCTCAATTTTGTAAACAACAGTGATGCCACAAGAAGGAAGTGAGTAGGACTTACCTGACAGAGGCTATATATTCGAGTGGCCATATGAGAGCATTTCGAGAGGGAGAGCAGACTCTCCCCACTCTCGGTTGTACCAGGGCATTTGGGGGCTACTGCTATTATTTAGACTGTTAATATTATTATCCATCTTGGTGTATTCATGTTTTGTGACAACTTAGGCTGATACATATTTGTAACAATCACTTCGTTATAACTGATTAACACTTTATTTTAGTTGCTATAACTGTTACCCTCTATCATTTTCATATTTCACAAATATCATCCCATTGCTTTTTTAGAAAACGTTTAAGAAACTACTTATCTATAGTTCTTCTAGATTTTGCTTTCAAATCTACTTTCTATGATTTGCTTAGTACATGAGTTAAGGGTTTATTCTATTGCTTCAAAGAAAAGTTTATAATTGAGAAGTATACTTTTTCAATAAAAAACTATCTAACATGCTTCTTAATGAATGAGATATTTGAGGTGGAGAAGAATATTTGTAGCTTAGGAGAGTTTTTGAAGGTGTTGTACTTTCTAAAATGGGTGGTGTAGCCATGAATCTTTTATTGCCTATCCATATAATATGACCAGCATAGCTACAAACTATATGAACGAAAATGATAGAAAATTTGCAGAATGAAATACAAAAGAACCTGAGACAATAACGTTATATGTAGAGGGAAACTTAACATGAGAAATCTAATTTGGAAAAAATAACGTATGACATTGAAGGAAGGAAAAGTATACAATCACGCTCAATTTCAAATTAAAATGAGAATACAAGAAAATATATCTACCCTAATGTAAAAAATTTACAGTCAAACAAATTAAGAACTCTCAATTATTGATTACAACAAACATATGGATGTCAACCAGAAACCCTTTGACAATAATCTCCAAACTTCATAGATTAGTTGTTTATCCTTCCTTAGTCATCATTCTGAATACTACATGTCTTGGCAGCTTGATTGAACATTTGGGCTACGTGTTCCGATCATCTAGATATTCCAATAAGTTATCTAATTTTTTTTTGTTTTAATACATCATTATGGCTATTAATTGCATAACCTATTAAGGTGAGTTTATGAAAAGTTTACAACCTTTCGCTGTACAAGTTACAAAAAGACCCAACCAGAGATATCATGGTTGCTGGCAATATGTAGCGAAAAGAATGTACTTCACTTAGACGTCCATTGATTGAACTGCTTACGTCTAACTAGCGATCATTCAATATTTATCGTCAATATTGATCAAGAAATAAGAAACGGAAACTTGTTGAAATACTTTGTGCTGGGGATTCTATATTGTATCAAAAGTATAATATTGAATAAAGCTAATATTAATAAATAAATAATCTAATTTAGGATATCAATAAAAAACTATTAACTTTTTTAGACTCTGTGTCTGGTCATTTGTGTTTAATGCTCTTACTATTTCTACCACTATGGGATTTGAATCGACAACTTCATCTCTGTGCTTAAGTGGTATGGCAACTCGAACTGATGTACGTACGTACGGAGTTCTACGTTGTGACTGATTGACTGACTGACTGTGTGTGTGCATTGATTGGACAACAATAACTTCGAAGATTATTACCCAAGTGAAATTATTTATTAACTCATCAATATGTTACAGGTATTAATAATATGTACTTTAAAAATACAGAGAAAAAATTACTCACTGAAGATTTAATGCATACATCACATTTCGGATCTCGTCCAATAGTTACATACTCTAAACAAGGATTCGATTAATTATACAAAAACGGTAAAGACTCACTTTTCAAAAGTGGATATTCCATAATTTTCTTTTCAGATACATGAACACTTAAAACAGGAACCTGCAAATTTTTTTTAAAACATAATCATAAAGCATTGTGAATACCTTATCCATTGGTTTATTGATTACATCATTATTTATAAAGTCAATAGGTTGGGTGGAACAAACTTCATCCATGATATGAATGGATATTTACTCTTCTGTTAAAAAATTTGAACAATCAAAACACCAACAAGTCATAGATTATAAATTGAACGGTTAGAATAAAATGAATACGGATGAGAAAAGAATCGACCAAGTGGTTTCGATGTAAATAATACTACCTTTAAAAGAGTTTAACGTTTCATCCTATAGCCTTGTTTGTAATCTTGAGCATTTTACAATCATTTATTTATACTAAGATTGAGCTCTAAGTTGACAAAAATAGATGAGGAGTATACCCAGTGCTAAACTTAACTACTTGTTTCTAGGCATGAAGCATGTTATCTTAGAAATTCAATACACTGAAATTGACCATCCAGATCCTATTAACATTAAAACTAACAAATCTAAAAGTTAAAAAGGTAGTAGATGTTGGTGATGAGGAAGTTGATTACATTGTCAACAAATTTGTCTCGATTACTTATTTATTTTAGATGAGAACTTCTAGACAGACAATGAAGTTTTAAATCCCGAAACTCGTCATTATTAGCCTAAATTAAAGCTCATATATTGACAAATTAAAAGCAAAAAAACGGCAGACGGGTGAAATGTTACTTCTGCATTGACTTTCTGATATATAATACACATTTTGGAATGAATGTAGAGTATTCGAACCAGATGACTCGCTAAGTAAAGTTGACAATATACAGTCATGCAATTAGTTCCTTTTCTGAATTTAAATAAAGCCAGAACAAACATGGATGCAGAATAATATGAATTCATTATATCTCGTAGTTTCTTATCAGCTACTTACAACACACATAAATATAGTTATTATTGATAACCTTTGTAATTCCAATTCTTTCCATTCACTTATGTCAATTGTTTCACACTATGTCTAACCTCAATGTAAAATTTTAACACATATTTGATTGCAAACAGTTAATGAGAAACCATGAAATATAATGAATTCATATTATTCTCCATCCATGTTTTAAATATACAGTCGGCTGAAAACATTCAGCAACGTTACACGCATATATTATTCTAACGTATCGTACATTATTTGCTTCTTTTTTCATTCACATATTCGCTGAATATTATTGTGGGAAAGTTCACTACTGAAATACGGATACAGATAATAAATCAAAAGTTAAATATGAACGGATCCGAATGCCAGGCTATTACCCCGGCATCTTGATTATGGTTGCTAATGCAAGATGGCTACCTGAACTACAATAATTCCGGATGAAACCACATATATGAGCCGCCGATTGAAACATGAGTGCTAAAATTAGTGAGTAACATAACACATATATGAGAAAAGTCATTAAAACTATGTTAGAAGTTTTTCACCTTATTATAATGCTCATGTTTCAGTTATATACACTGTCAAACTTGTTCGATTGTTATTCCTCACATATTATAAGAACTTCATTTGGTTACATGTGGTATGGCCCAACTAAACAGACTCCTGGAAAGTAATTGTTGAGTATTGCCATTCTATAAAGACAAAGTAGTGCAAGGGACAAGAGTATTTGGAACAAGCAAATCGGCCTTGATATCATAAATCTTCTTTAAAAGACCCAAGGCAACTATTTTTAAATACAATATGGTTTCGGAAAGATATGGATGGTGGCTATCAGCGGAATCCAAAATGCGCATTTTGTTCTCGTCGGCTGAATGTACTTTCATCCGAGATAATATTAACTCAAAAACTCGTACCCAGTACCTTTCCCTTCAAATGCCGTCGCATTATCCATTTCATACTGAGTCCAGATAGTCACCGAGTTTTGCAATGGAATGAATTTACATTCCTATATAATGGTTGTTTGGATCTTTTAGTGGCTATTTAGACTCAGTAACTAAGTTTATAACACAATGGATTTGAAGTGAAAGGTACTGGGTTCCAGTCCTGGATTGAACATCAACTGTGAGATGTAGGTACCTTATGCTGACGAATCTCAGATAGGACAAAACAAACGTCCCAGATTTAACTGTTAGCCGATCTGAGCAAATGTGAGAACTACTGAGGCATTACACTACTTTCGGTACCAGGAAAAGTTCTCAACAGTTTCTGAAACGGATGAAAAATTCAGTAGATGCCGAGTTTCTTTCTTCATTTACTTATTTAAACATATAAGTATTGGTACAAGGAGGCACCAGATATATATGCGCTAGTTTCTAGATCAACAGGTTGGACTCCATAACGACCAGTCGTGCAGAGACCAAAACGAGACAATACAGATCTTCGTTGAACAATCAAGTGAATAGAGTTAGTGGTTATACATCAACTTCATTGACTATAAGGCGTTTGACAGTGTGGACCGGAGAGCATTATGGAAACTCCTTCCATATTGTGGTGTAACTAAGATTTCGTCAACATCATACGAAATTCATGCGATGGACTACACAGCGAATTCGTGCATAGAGGACAGCTGACAGACACATTACAAGTGAGGATTGGTGTCACACAAGGCTGTCTACTCTCATCCTTTCTCTTTCTTCTGATGAATGACTGGATTATGAAGACCTCGATATCGGAGGGGATGTACGGAATACAATGAGCATGTTGGGTGAAACTAGACGATTCGGACTTCGCAGATAACCTAGTTCTACTATCCCATACACATCAACAAATCCAGGTCAAAACAAACAGTCTAACTGCAGTAGACCTCAACATAAACAAGGGAAATAGCAACATACTCAAACATAACACAGAACACCAATCCAGTTACCCTTAATGGAGAAACTCTGACAGAAGTGGAAACGGTCACGCAACTGCCTGGACAGCATCACTGATGAACAAATAGGATCTACTGCAAACGTAAAGGCGAGGGTTGGCAAAGCAAGGGCCGCATTCCCACAGTTGAAGTAATCGATTTCAAAACAACTGTCAAGCAACATCAAATCATCTTCAGTGCAAACGTCAAGATAGTTTTCTGTTGGTCGGCGGCCTATGCTACTCCACGAGTGGTAACAGGAGTAATGATAATGATCACCATACATAATTGAGGCAGTCTACACAAGATTAACACTTAAGCTAAAAGAGACTCAAGAATCGCAGTTCTAAGCACCAGTGGGAAGGTCAACACAATCAATACGGATATGAACCACAATATGGTGCGTCTGATTTCCTGAGACAAGTTATGCCTAAGTCCAAAAGCACACAAGAAATCATCCAGATCTTATGATTCAAGCTAAGACATACGTGCATGAATGACAATTACATAAAACCAGGCTTGTTTTGGCTGGATAACATTGGTGTATCTAAGCAAGAAGACTCTTGTCTTCAGTGGGAACTATCCTGCATCGCACTTTTATTTTTAATATCGGAGTGAACAGCCTAGACGTTTGACTAAACATGGGAACTTAGTATCATGAGGAGCAACAAAATAGTTGAAGTATCAGACGTTTGACTAAAAATGGCAACAAATTCAGTCATTAACTGCCACTATGAATCGTACAACAGAAATGTCTGCAAGCACATCTACACTGGAGTACTATGGTGCTAAACATATTTAGTGCAGTTTGTTCTCCAATTCCCTAAAATAATGTGAAGTGCATTTCGAATGCATGATCACTTAAAAACGTTATGAATTTGCGCTAGCTAGTTATTCCACTCGTGATCGCTGACAAACACCAACATATGTACATATATACATATATATAAACATATATACATGGTAACAACTCGTAAAGCGGAAGGCAAATAATTTGCTACCGAACACAAACCAGGTAGTCGTATTGAGTCAAAAAACTTATTCACACACAAAATATGGTCAAAAGATCTACTGATTAAAAGATCAGATTATGTCTACATTCTAAAACCATAAACTGACTGACCGAAAGACGAAAAATAGGAAACACACAAGGTCATATGGAAAACTCCAATTTTTGCGCTTTGAGCGCAGTCACAATATACAGCGCACAATTGAACATAAGGTTTACACAGATTGGTTATTTAATTTAGGTGCAGTCTATTATGTTCTATTCAGCTCACATGATGGATTAGTATAATAATACATCATACTTTAGGTTTCTTGCTATTACAGGGCTTCGGTGTGTTTGGAATCGGATAAACAGATTAGTTCTTTATAAAGTCATATAATGCATGCTGATTCAGTTTCAGATTTGTGTAGTAAGGACACAAGGCATATGTACTATGTTATTCCTTTTCTATCATGCTTCTTTGAATGCCTAGTCTTCTCTTAAATGAGTCAATTCAAGGTGTGGGCACCATTGCTTCGGTTAACTGGTTCCAGGAATTGATGACTAGTTGTGAAAATCTGTATGCCACTATTATTTTGTTCGTTCTTTGCTTGTCTATTATCCTGCTATGTACTCTGGTTACAATTATTATTAGGTTCATTGGCAACGTCATTTGATTGCGAATTGTTAAAAACCACAATTGTACTAGCTTTATTACAGCACATTAGAGATCCAACCACATTTGACTTACGAAGCTCCTCATCCCTCTTGGACTTATTCTTCACATATACAATGATAATGTCGGTCAAGTAACTTTCCTCCAACTTCTAGAGAGGAGTGATCATGCAGTCATCTTGTTCAAGTCCATGGCTGAGATGGCCTGTCAAACAGTTGCCCCGTCCTGACATGTGGACCGCAGGATAACACTTTATTATAACATTGGAATTGGGATTCTTCCATTATTTTCTTCATGGAAGAATCTTCGTCTACAATTTCTTAGGTTAAGTGGTTTTTCGATAGGGCTAACAAAAGTGCTTATACTAAATGATTATTCCTTTCGTTGTGACTTAAAGCCTAGCTAGTTATCACGTGATTTTTTCTCCAATCGTTATATGACTTATTCAATCTTATCACTGTGATAAACCAATGACGTTTGAATGGTATGATAAGCTTGGCGTCTTTATTGGTCCTTTGTTCTCCCAGCCCGTCCAACTGAATCCAGAATGCCAATAACAGCTTCCACTATGCAAACCATTTATTTCAAACATACTTGGTTTATATATCAGCCAATTAGACCACATAACACCATGAAATAGGAAATAACATTTACATAATATCACACCCAAATTTGTCTGTGAACGTGAGAGACGGTAACCAATAAAGAGAATATAATTTAGAAACAGTAAATCATATAATAATAATCTGCAATTCAAAATGAAAATTATGGTAAGAGGAATATAGATATACTTAATCTACTTACTGAGCAGTTATGTAATAGATATATATATATTATTAGTACACTAATCCTTCTCAGACTTTACCCACCTAACGGGCTTCTGTGTCTAGTATCACCAATACCTCCAGGCAAGAACCTAGGTATATTAACGATAGTAGAGGAAAAAAAGAAATTGTTAAATCACAATAATATGTTATCCTTAGCCCTTAAGAATAAGTCAAGTTTCCTCTTAAAGGACTCCTGGGAAGTCGCTTGGACTAGCTCAGTCGGCAGCGAATTCCAACATTTGACAACTCTTATGAAGTAGAAGTTGTGTCTACAGTCTGTTCTGCTATGTTGGGTCTTCAGTTTCTGGGTGTTACCTCTCAGGTTAGTGTTGTGACTAAGCTTAAGCAGATGTTTAAGGGGATGACCAGAAGTGTTAAGGATACTGTAAGTCATAAGAAGGTCAGCTCTAAGGCGCCTTTACTCTAACGGGTAAAGGTTATGTGACTGGAGGCGCTCTTCTTAAGGTTTGAATTTGAGCCCCCGAACTGATTTCGTGAGTCGACGCTGAACACGTTCCACAGTGTCCTTATCCTTTTGGGGGTAGGGAGGAAATACTATGTTTCCGTACTCCAAACGGGGACGAATAAAACTGTTGATGATTATGTAGAAGGTTCTGCCGTCAAACTGGCCGAAAATGCGCTTCAATGTTACCAGTTCAAGGTTTGCTTGAAAGGCGTTTTTATCACAGCTAGCATACGACCTCAAGTCTTAGGGTACCAACACTCCTAAATCTTTTTCGACTTGAGAAACTTCTAGAGAGGAGTCTCCTAAGTTGCAGCTGTAATCTGCAACATGTCGCAGATGGAATAATTTGCACTTTGAAGTGTTGATGGTAAGTCCGTTGTTGTTTGCCCAAATTTGAAGTCGAGACAGATCCTCCTGAAGTGCTTGTATATCCTCTTGGTTGCGTATCTCTCTCCAAAATTTCAAATCATCAGCAAAAATCAGTAAGTCAGATGAAACTTGTTGAGGAAGATCGTTAATGTAAATCAAGAAGAGAGGAGATCCTAGTATTCAGCCCTGTAGGGACATCACTAGGCCATTCCATAGTCTGAGAGAGAGTGAAGTTAACCCTGACCTTAAAGTGTCGATTTTTTAGGTATTCCATAATTTTGGAAGGTATGGAGAGAAGGGCCACTGGTCGGTAGCTTGAGGGTTCACTGCGTCGACCTCCTTTGAAAATTGGTGTGATGTGAGCCAGCTTCCAAATTTCCGGTAGTTTGCCTCTGCTTAGCGAGTGTGCAAACATTACGCTAAGTGGTGTCGCCAGGATTGAAGCTGCTTCCCTTAATACAGCAGAATGAACCATATGCGGACCGGGAGAAGTGTCTTTTCTTAGGTGCTGCAGTTTAAGGAGCACCAGGTCAGCACTCAGGTCCACTTCGGAAAGTCCTGTGCAGGTGCAGGTGAAGCTTTCGTCAGTGTAGTTGATTTGGGTCGATTGAAATGTTCGAGAGTATTGTTCAGCCAAAAGGTTGGCGGCATCACCGTTATTATTGGTCGGGCCATTATGACCTAGCAGTTGGGAAACTTCTAATTCGCCTTGTCAAAGAGAGGCTACATAACTGAATAAGCTTTTCGAATTGTAGACAAATTTATCGATAAGCTTTGTCTGGTACTGAAGCCTATCTTCTTTATATGGTGAAGATGCAACGGATGTTCTAGTTTTACAACTAGCTACCAGTAGCACCTTCTATATTTGATCGTTCCCAGTCAGATAGAAATCAGAAGTCAGACGAGAAGAGGCAGGAAAGATATATTTGATTCGTTACCAATATATCGAGGACCTTTTCTATGAGCTGGCTAATGAAACGTAGGAGCTGTGTCCCACGCCGAGTTGAAACGTGATCTGGTGCGGATGCATGACCGAAAGCCTTCAGTTAAAGAAGTCCACTTAAACAACATGTTCAGCATCCAATGTCGAACACTTAATGAACTATTGATTTTGGGGAATTATTTACAGCTACAGATCACTCCCCCCTAGTGAGGTAGTGATGCCCCTAAGACGTGACCAGCCAGAAGTTTAAACCCAACGAATTTGTCGTTGGTAAACACTCTTCTGATAGCTTGCTTCGTTTAGCAGCGTCTGGTCGTCTTTCCTTAAACTATGGGACCAAAATGTACAACATAGCAATAAAGAAATATGGTACAATGAAAATTTCGGTTCCTTGCGAAACTTCGTCTTTCTTTTCCAGCCGTCCTGGAAAAGAGAGAAAATAAAACGTGTGAGTGCATGTCCTAAATAAACTCGTACTTGCGTAGGGACACAAGATGAGCGGAAAAAAAATAAACTAATACACTTACAAACAGCGTAAAAGCGATCAGGAAAAAAGTGTTTTTTTGTGTTTTTTTATATATAAAAAAATATATATATATACGCTCAAAAAAAAATGTTTTTTTTTGTTGTTTTTTTTACATAAATAAAAATTATCATATTAAAAAATTTTTTTATAATTAACTATGGAAGGGTAATTCAAGATAAAGCTTATGTCCTACGTGCAATATTCTATAAGATGTTCTGGAAATCTGACTCGTCTTCCAGAACGCGTTGTTTTAGGTTTTTCTATGGACGTTGACGAAGTATCAAGTTGTGTGTCGGTTGTCGTGTGGGGTACTACGAGTGCAGTAGCTGTGTCGTTTGCTTGTACCAAAGTAAAATCGATGCAGCTAGGGTTTCCTTCTAGGTACGCAGCTTTGAGTCGATCGATACTGATGCTATCTTTCGCACCGTTCTTATCGACTACATAGTACTTAGGTTCACGTTGAAGAACTCTGAAGGGTCCTTCGTATGCTGATTCGAGGGGTCGTCGATGTGAGTCTCGACGAACGAAGACGTGTGTACTATGTCGTAAGTCAGGTTGAACGAAAACATCAGTTGATTGAGGTCGAGTGTGAGCAGGTTTAACTGAACGCATAGCGTTTGTAAGCCTACTCGTGTAAGAGTTTAGATCCATGTTCAATGAAGAAGCTGAAGGATCCACGAATTCTCCTGGGAGTCGGAGTGTCGTTCCGTAAACTAGTTGAGATGCCGTGTATCCAATGTCAGCTTTCACTGCATTGCGGATACATAGCAAGACGAGTGGAAGAGCGTCTGTCCACTGTGAAACGTTTGAAGCTGATAATGAAGCTTTTAGTTGTCGATGAAAACGTTCTACCAACCCGTTTGCTTGTGGGTGGTAAGCGGTCGTTCGGAAACGCATGATTCCTAATAGTGAGGTCAGACAACGGAAAAGTCCAGATTCGAACTGGCGTCCGCGGTCTGTAGTGATTGTGGAAGGGCAGCCGAAATTTGCTACCCATCGTTCGACAAAAGCGCGGGCCACGGTTTCAGCAGTAATGTCCTTAATCGGTACTGCTTCTGGCCATCGAGTGAAAAGGTCTACGCATGTTAGGAGATATGAGTATCCGTTCGAGTCGGGTAAGGGTCCTACCAAATCTAGATGGACGTGGTCAAAACGCGCGTCAGGGGTCTTGAAAGAGCCTAAGGGACATTTGTTGTGTCTTACGACCTTAGATTTCTGACAGCTTACACAGGAGCGTGCCCACTCCTTCACGTCTTTATTCATGCCAGGCCAACAAAAACGTTCGGCTATAAGTTCGATTGTTGCACGAGCACCTGGATGAGAAAGATTGTGCAACGTATTGAAGACGTTGCGGCGATAATGTTTTGGTACAATTGGACGATCCCTACCTGTAGATGTGTCACAGAGTAAAGTTTCCTTACCTGTTCCCATTTGCTTAATACTTAGTTTTAGAGTTTTCGAGGATAACTCATGCTGAAGATCAATGTCTTCTTTTTGAAGCTGAGCGAGTTTAAGAAGGTCGATTCCTTGGAAACTGTTCAAGGAATTTATTCGAGACAAGGCGTCTGCGACTACATTGTTTGCTCCAGAAATATGTTGTATGTCTGAAGTAAACTGCGAAATGTAGTCGAGTTGTCGAGACTCTCGCGGTGAGTACTTGTCTGAAGATGAATTTAAAGAGAAGGTAAGAGGTTTGTGATTTGCGTGAATTCTCTTCCTTCGATGGAATGTTGGAAATGCCGTACAGCACAATACATAGCTAGGAGTTCCCTACCGAACGTGCTGTACCTAGATTCCGCGTCTAGCAACCGTCTCGAGAAAAATCCTAAAGGTTGCCACGAGTTGTTAACCCATTGTTGTAAGACTCCTCCGATTGCTGAGTCGGATGCGTCTACGGCGATACTAATGGGCGCTTGAGTGTCCTGATGAGCAAGCAAGGTTGCTTTAGCGATGTGTTCCTTAACTGTGGAAAATGCTTTACGGGCTATGTCGTCTAAACTAATTGATTTCGCATTTCCACGAAGCTGATCGGTTAACGGTTTCATTAGGGATGCGCATTTAGGTATGAACCGTCTATAGAAACTTACTAGTCCGTTAAAAGTTCGTAACTGCTTGATCGTGGTCGGTTCTGGGTAATCCAGAATGGCCTCCACTTTGCTCCTAAGGGGTCGGATGCCTTGGGCATCAATAGTGTGTCCTAAGAAGTCTAAGCAGTTAGTTCCGATTTGGCATTTCTGTATGTTGACAGAAATGCCGTGCCTTTGGAGTCGATGGAAAACAATGTCCAGATGTTTGAGATGTGATTTTCTGTCCGGACTTGCTATTAGACAGTCATCAACATACGCATGTACGAAGTTGAGACCTCGGAAGACGTCGTCTATAAACCTTTGGAAGGTTTGAGCCGCATTTCTTAAACCAAAAAGCATTCGTAGAAATTCGTAAAGACCGAAGGGAGTGATGATGGCGGTTTTAGGAATGTCGTCAGGTGCCATCGGAATTTGGTTATAAGCTTTAACCAAGTCGATTTTCGAAAAGACAGTTGTACCTTTCAAGGTAGCTGTCAAATCGTGAATATGAGGCAGCGGGTAACGATCGGGAATGGTTCTAGCATTCAGGAGCCGATAATCACCAGTTGGCCGCCAATCATTGCTGTCCTTTTTAGGGACCATGTGCAATGGGGATGCCCATGGACTATTCGATGGTCGAATTATCCCTAGGTCCATCATGTGGTCGAATTCGTTTTTAGCTAACCTAAGCTTCTCGGGAGCGAGTCTTCGAGCTTTCGAAAATACAGGTGGTCCTGTAGTCGTGATGTGATGTGTAACATTGCTGGTTACACAAGGTAATTTCGATTGCGATTGGTATATCCCAGGGTATTTGTCGAGTACTGATTGGTACAATGGGTCTATGGTGTGCTTAATCGTGACTGGGGATAACCTGCAACCGGAACAAGGAGTTACGCAAACGGATAACTTAGTGTTTCCGTCTATTAACCTTCTTGAGCGTGTGTCGATGAGTAGATTGTGGTGTTGTAACAGGTCTATACCAATGATTGGCATAGAGACGTCTGCAACAACGAAAATCCAGTGTATGGGTTTGCGTAAACCCACGTTAAGGTAGACGTACCTTTTACCGTAAGTAGCGATGCGTTTTCCGATTGCCGCCTGTAAACTTAAATCAGACTCGCGAAGTCTGTCGTCGGGATTTGCTGGAAGAACGCTAACTTCTGCGCCAGTGTCGACGAGGTAGCGAACTTTCGTAGTCACATCCGTGACATATAAGAGGCGGCTGTGTTCGCCGTCTACGGTTGCCGTTAACGCGTGCCGGCTGGGAAGTTTCCCGAAATCTTATTCGTGTCAGTCGATTTTGAAGTCGGATAATTGCAAGGTTTCCTGCAATTTCTGGAAAACTTACCGTGCTGGTTGTGATACCAACACCAGTCGGGATTGTCTGTCTCTCGTGGTCGAGAGCCAGATCGCTTACGTGAGGCGCTTCTACGCAGGGTTTTTGACCGACTACGGTCATTGCGAACTCTAAGATATCGTGTAAGCGTGTGACATAGTTCGGCCATGTCAGTCGAGGTCGATTGGGGTTTTTCCTTGACGGAAAAAACCTCGGCCTTAGAAGATCTAGTGATTTCCAAGATTCGATCGGCAGATGCAGCTAGTTCATCTATGGCATTGTTTTGAAATGAAACAAGCACTGTCTGCACCTGTTGAGGGAGTTTAGACAAGAAACGTTGTCTAAATAGGCCATCATCGAAAGTTCGTTGGCCGATGACTTCTCTCATTCTAAGCAACATGTCCGTCGCAGAACCATGTTGCAAGTCGATATTGTTAAGGAGTTGGTTTAACCGTTGTCGATCAGTTAGGTCTCTTCGTTTTAAAATCGATAGCTTAAGCGTCTCGTAAGGTTCGGAAACATCACTAGTAAACATACTAGGTGTTACGTACCTGTTAAACTCGCGCGGTAACGCCGCGAGAAAACGTGTGCGCGAGTCCGTGATTCCGTGCATGCAAAAGTCGGCTTCTGCATAGCAGAACCAGGACTCGATATTGTCGGGCCAAAATGGCGTTAACTGAATCGAAATAGGGGGAATAGACCTAAACTTAAGAACCTTAGGAGAGTGTTCCGTCATAGTAATATAGATGACGAAAAATGTCTAATTAAAATATATCCGGGAAAAAAAATTCGCGAAAAAAAGTATATCACAATATATAAAATTCAAATAAAGAATAACAATGAATAATAATATTCCAAAATGGAACAGACTCACAGTATATTGACTTGGTGTACCAGATCACGTCGGTCTCACCAATGAAGATGCAACGGATGTTCTAGTTTTACAACTAGCTACCAGTAGCACCTTCTATATTTGATCGTTCCCAGTCAGATAGAAATCAGAAGTCAGACGAGAAGAGGCAGGAAAGATATATTTGATTCGTTACCAATATATCGAGGACCTTTTCTATGAGCTGGCTAATGAAACGTAGGAGCTGTGTCCCACGCCGAGTTGAAACGTGATCTGGTGCGGATGCATGACCGAAAGCCTTCAGTTAAAGAAGTCCACTTAAACAACATGTTCAGCATCCAATGTCGAACACTTAATGAACTATTGATTTTGGGGAATTATTTACAGCTACAATGGCCTTTGTGCATATGTTCCTTATACGCTTGTATTGCCTGTACGTGCAGTTGTTATCACTTCGTTTGTATTCAGCCCAACAGTGCCTTTTGCAGCTTAGCAAAGGAAGACTGCGGTTCTTGACGATGTAGGTTGCTTGTAGTTTTTGGGGACCATTTGAGGAACTGAATGCTCAGTAGCACATAAGATCATGTGCAGTAAAAAATCTCAATGAGCATCCACTTCAAGTTGAGGGTGAACATTCCAACCCACCTGTTGTAGATAGCCCTGTAAAGCTAACACATTCAACCGTTTGAAATTCCAGCGCCTGTTGTTAGTGGAATATCTTAGCTCCGTTTCGCTGACAAAACTGAAGGATAGGATGGCGTGATCACTTTTCCCCAGGGGAGCCAGGATTGAGGGGTCGTCGACTAAGAATTCTTCATTTGTGAATACCCAGTCTAAGTGCGACGGCGTCTGACTGTTTCTCCAACGAGTTGCCGACTTCACATTTTCGAATAATCCAAGATCATCGATGAGGTTGAAGAACCGAGCTTCAGTAGAGTTGTCACCTCCAATGTAGGTATGTTCCGTGAAGTTGATCCTAGGAAGATTGAAGTCCTCTAGAATCAGGATATGAGAGAATCTAAGACGCGTAGAGCGAGTTAATCCTTCCAGCAAACGATTGTCATACTGGATGTCGACAATGGGCTTCCTGTAGATGACCCCAACTAGACACCTCGAGGTGATAGACAATCTTACTGAGCACCATACTGATTCATCAAGATTGAGAAACTCTTGGTTGTGAAGTTGGTGCGCCTCCAGGCATGACGGTATGTATGCTACCCCGCCCCCCATTCCAATTTTTCTGTCGTAGCGAAACAAATACATCCCAGGTATTGCTAGCTCCTTATCCATAAACTGAGAAGATATCCAATTTTCAGATATTCCTATCAGTTGAGCATTATTAGCATTGCTAAGTCCACGCAGCTCTTCCATTTTATTTGGTAAACTCGTGGCGTCCAACTTGCCTTTGTGCTCGATCCTGGCGTCATGTGGCCTATCCGGATGCATATGGATCACACATAATTATGATACATCGGACTAACGTGTACCTGAAACCGTACCGGATAACGAGAAGAGAACTCAAAGAGATCGATCGGTTCACATAAGCTCTTGACAAAGCTGATAGATGTTGGAAATTGTTTCACTTCACCAACACAGGAATATCCAACCTTCAATGTACGACCCTGGGATATTTTTTGTAACTCGGGATGACGGTGCTTGAGGAAATGTAATTATTGGTATGGGATTTATTATGCTTTCAGAAAATTCTCCGGAAATGATGAGGAAAATATTAGGGGGATATATTCATCACATGTGCGCGTATATCCTAGTGCCAAAAGTGCTCTGGATTGTAGAGATGTTTCGGCCAGCTGCAAGGTACTGTGTATATTCACCTTTTTATACGGATTTCTCTGAATAGATTAGCATTCAACCAGCTGTCAAATACTTTTGGGATTATCAGTATTATGTAACACGTCTCATTGCACGTCATCACGCCAGTTCGCTGATTGCCTATGCAATTAAACGTGGGTAGATATTGTGCAACTATTATTGTTCTACAGATGTTAAAAAAACAGATTCTGACGAAGATGTACATGTAGGTATGGTGCGGTTGCTGAATACAGAGACGGGAAAAAAGTTGCTCTTACGTTCTTTCACAGACCGTATCACGTGCATTGATTTTGCACTCCGCAGCGAAGCGCTTTTAGGCATCATCGACCACTCCGGAGCTGTTAATGTTTTTAAAGTTAGTAACATGTATATCTAAAACTCCTATTTTGCATTTATAGATTGATCAGGGGTTGTGTTCTGAAGATCTAATGACTTCGTCGTTATTCTTCTCACTAAATCCACCAGAAAATTTTGTTCCTTTGGACGTTTCTTCGCTTGTGTGGTGTCCGTGGTTGCATGGGTCTAAAACTGCACTCCCACTTGCAAATGATGTGCATGATGATGTATTTGTCCCGCCACGTGACCCAAGTTTTGTGTTAGCGTATTCTACTCATCATAAGGTACAATATTTCTGTAATTTTGGTTCAATTACAACACTTTGCATGTCACTTTTTTATATCTCGTTTAGTGTGCTTCTAATATTCTGCCTAATATGTGAGCTCCCTAAAGAATATTTTGTTCTGGTTCTGATGTTATTTTGCACTTGTCGACGAATCGTTAGTAAGGATGTTGGTATGACCGTGATGTCTATACGACAGGTCATCCCACTGACATATCTACAAAAGAAGGTGTTAACGCTTGCTAATAAATTCATTTTTCAACAGTGTTACAATCAGCTGCCAATTAGTTTGTTCCCAAACTTGTGAAGTAGGAATATGCTTCTTTATAAGGTATGGAAAATGAAGTGTTATAAAATGCAAAGTCATTGTTAGGTGATTTTAATGTCAAGTCACCTCAGATCCTATCATATAGTATTTGGGGTAGCTTTATTCCTGTCGTGACACAGCAAAGGTGCAATGGTGTTGGTACTTGGAAACGTTCTTACCGGGTTTTAATATCTTCGGTTTAAACCAGCGACATCATATGTAGTTAATTTTCGGCTCTCCGATGCTCAGTGGCTAAGTAGTGGGCAAATTTGGCTTTTTTCATTATGATCAGAAAGCAACTCGGGGGGGGGATCTAGTTCTTAGGCATTAGAACCTTATCGATATTCCATTGTTTTCGTTTTTTTAGGATCAAATATTTTAACCTGTTGACGCTGATTCGACATTCGTAACCGTAGTTTAAAGCTTTTGGTTCCCACTTGCGATTACTCCATACAAAAACATGACCACTGATTCATTTCCTTGGAATTTGTAGTAAATCGCGAAATTTTAGTTCCAGTACTTGCGTTAGAATATTACGCAGAACCTCTGCTTGTTTGTGTTGAAAGTTTCTAAGCAACCTCAGTGTCATGTTTTATATTAGTAGGATAGTACTATTCATTCTTACTATTCATTTGTGGCAAGAGAAATTTTCAATTTATCTTTCACCTTAAAAACCTTATGGATCTCACTATCTCTTTGACCTGCAGCAGTGGACTCGCGTATAAACAGCCTCACCTCTATTTTTATTCCGAAATCCATGTAATTCATCACTCATTTTGAACTTACAAAACGATACCTTTCTAACATCTAGCATATTCTTACGTGCTTGAAGTTCTGTTCTATATCTGGTCTTACCAATTCTAGCTCTCGAAATATTTCAACATTTTTTTCGACATTTAGATGAATTCACGAGTCGACCTAAGCTGCAGCACCATTGAAAATCTAAAAGCACTGGGCAACCGTTTCTAGATTCGCAATAGTAGTCTAGATTAGATAGACTAGTGAATTCAACTGTCGAATCACTACAATCTCCACAAATTTAGATGAATATCAATACTATGATCACTGTTTTCGGAGTTTAAGTCAATAATGTCGAAAATACGGTTTTTGAAAGAGGAGGGGTTATTTCGGAGTTTCGAGTCTTTTGTGTCAACTTCATGTTTCTTTTTCTCATAAATGGGGTTTCTGTGCCTGAAATTGAGCCAGATTTGAATACTACATAAGTACTACACCTGGTACAAATGGTTAGTAGTCCAACTAGCCACATCTCATATCAACACACCAAGATGAAAGCATTAAGATTAGGTGCAATTGGAAACGACCAGTTGCGAAAATTTGAAACGTTGTAAAGTTGAGTGTTCCCTGTGATAAGGAAAATTGTTAACAACTCTAAATAACAGGAGTTCGTCTTTCGAAGATAGCTGGACGTTTATACAGATTAATAACTGGTCGAAGGTGTGTAATTATTATTTAACCTAATTTGATTCAAGCCATACTTTTTATGTGATCACAATGAAAAAAAATTAATTATTATAGTACAGATCAGTCACCAATATTGGTAGCTAAATAAAGTTTCATTTTCCTATTCCTACTTTGATTATGAAAAAGAACAGACTCTCCGTTTTATCCAAAATCAATATGCGTACTAATTTTAACGGTCCTTATTAATTCAATTCTGAACGTGCCACGAGACTACATGCCTGAAAAGATACTTTAGAGAGCCGGAATTGTATATAAATAAAAATGTACATAAACAACCATTTCTAAATGACATTTTAGCATTCGTGATGCAACATAATTATTTTTAGGCTGGTACTTTTCTGATTTAACACATAATTATCAATTATTCCCGGCTGTTTTTGATTCAGCCTTATGGACACTTATCAATAGTACTGTTTTCCATCACTTGTTGATGGGTGTTTTAATTATTAATTCTAACAATGCTTAAGGTTATCATTATAACACACTTAAAGCTATTTTCCGTAATATTATCCCGTTCAAATCAGTTATTGTAGGTTTCCATTCATGAATTTGTCAAGCTTCATTACTCTAAACATTGCATTTAACTTCAAATATATTAAAATATGTAGCGATTGGTAATTTTTATGATAAGTAATATATTTATTTGTTTATTTTGAATAGAGCAGTTACACTTTTGTTAATTTTCAAGTTAAAAATCCCTATTTTGGAAATTATGATGAATAGACATTATCAATTTATTATTTTAAAGGTAAAAGTTATAAATGTGGGTTTAGTTGTTGAACTTCTTCAAAATCACTTTTCACAATATGCTCAGTCGGGAGTATCAACGTCTTGGAGTGAAAAACAACTTATTGATGCTATAGAAGGATGTACAACAGAGTCATTATGTTATGCTGAGTTATCCGACCATTCTGATGCGATTACTGCTTTGTCATTAAGTCGTGATGCTACTTGTTTGGGTTCTGCCAGTCTGGACGGTAAAGTCTGTATATATTCCTTAGTTAGTCGATTGACTGGCGATATGAAGTACAAATTGAGGTTAGTTTGTTTTTTCTGGCTATCTATCATTTTCTAGTACTCTGCTTTTATTTGATTGTACATGGATATATTTAAAATATATACTAATTGATCCACTGACTATTAACTATTACCATGTATAGTGTGCGGCTACATTGGAACCAAGATTTTGGTGCAATGAGTTTGATGTTGCGTATCAGTCGGTCATTTAGAGAAGTAACCGATGCGAATACCTGTTAACCTAGATTTTGTGCTAGTTTACTCTCGTACTTTCAGAATCTTATGAGGACATATGATTCTCATGGAATTTGAACTCGTTATCCAATATGATAGGCTTTAAGTCGGTTTCATCCAACTACTGTCGCCTTAACCACATCAAGTTAATCCGTAATGACTACTACCAATGTGTTACGATCACAAATCCTTAGGTAAACCGGTTGGCGTAAGCTTATCAACTGATGTAATTAGAGGAGTGTTTGTTAGGTTATACTAAACAACATAATTTTATGACACGGAATAAAAATATCTAAGAGTGGTTAGATAGTATCGTCTCTTATACTATAGTGTTTTAGTTCGTTTCGCGTGAAAAAAGGATTTTTCGAAATTTTTACTGGTTTCGCATTGTAGCTGAGTTGATGTCCTGATGTATCTTCGCATTTTATTTGACAGTGGAACGTCTGCTCGTATCACAATGGTTATTAAATTTAACCACAAACATTTTCATTAACCTTATTAAGATAGTCACTTTGAACATTCGTCAATCGACCTCATGTATATCGTTAAAAACTCCACTTCCTCTTGTATTCCGATGTTTTCAGCCGTTGTAACCTAAAATAATACACGAATTGTTTATAGGTTAGCTTAATTTATCTTCAACATATTCAGCTTTCTGCCTATTTAATATGTTAAGCATCGTAAAATTGTAACTTATCTACTAAATATTGGTTTGATGTACCCTTCTTCAAGTCATAATATTTTTGCTCAAGGGTCAGTGTTGGTAACTGATTCTTCAAGTCGAAGTAGATTCTAGAATGGGATTTAAATTACTACTAATTTAGTAGAAGTTAAATCCCGTGATCAATAAGCTGTCGCTGTTATACTCAAACAACTGTTGAGTTATTCTAAGTAATAACAACTGGATATTTTATGTTTCACATCACTGACTGATTTTGGCTAGGCTATTGAAAATCAGGGAATACTAAAGAACTGTTCCGTTCCAATATGGGTCTCCTCAGTCGTGGCCATTCACGACTCCACGAGAGATGGAGTTTAGGACCTTCAGGCTTCTCAACAAGTGCCTTACCTTCAGATTACTGAGTTTGTATTAGGAAACTTCAAAATAGGTAATTTTCACAACATCTCATAATAACAACTGAAATACATATTTCAGCGAGTTTTTTTGCTAATTAAACATTCTTACACATTTTATGTCTAGTTGGTTTTTTTTAATTTGAAGGTACTTTTTCTCATTCTTATACTCTTGAGCTATACTAATATAGTGAAAAAGAGATTCATGTGTTTGTTTTCGTTTGCTATATATTCACATAATGTAGGCCAATTCATGTATTTTCTCCTCATGGTGGACTACCACTGTATGCTTTAATATTTCTGGACAACGTGTTACATAATGATGAAAGGTACATCTCGTTTCCTTTGTTCAGTTCATTCACGTATTCTTTTTTTATTAATGTTATCCCATTATTGATAAGTGACTTAATTTTTATTACCGTAATCTCGTTCGATTTTTCCTCTAAGAAAACGAAGTTAACATGTTTTCAATTCATCAAAAATAAATCTCTACCTTGAAGCGGGAAGTACCAACACATCCTCTATACAAGACGATTACGAAAAAATATGGGAGAGAATGTCCTTAGAATCAAAAATAAGGAGGTTACCTGTTTAAAGTAATACAGTTGGAATAAGAACGCAACTGAAATTTTAGCTTTAACTAAGGAATGCTTCACTATTTCGAAAGAAAAAGACTGTGATAGAATTGCCACTGGCTTCTGTTCTGATGGTATTATTTCAAAATGTAAAGTTATATGCCTTTCTAAAAGCCCTCTAGGAAGTGAAAGACCTATAGATGTTAATTTAACACAGCTATTTTACGTCCCACAGATCCATTTTCATAGATTTACCACCTTGACATTTTTAATACCCAATCTCAGCATCGAAGCATGTTTATGGTACAAGAACCACCGGGACAAAATATGTAAGATGTATCTAGGACGTGTAGACTAAATGATAATTCCCAGTATACCAAAACACGTTACTATACCTTGAGATTATTTACATAGTGTTAGCACTGAATCCGAACAATTTTTTAAAGAAGACAATTACTAGTTACTTAATATCCTCAGTTTGAATAGGATATACTTGCACCACGGTTTTGTAATCTAAGACTTATAGGCTATTTACGTCTGGATGGCACCATACTGCTGCAAGCCTCCTGACCTGACATACCTAGATGGGTCTCGTCTACCACACTATTATCTCGTGAGTACAAACAAGTCATCACTTATGTTTCAAGGAAACATATACAACACTTCATTTTAGAATATGGTTGTTTCGTAACTAATTTTTACCAAGTACTTATTTGTGTGCTCCATACTTCAGGCATGAGGCCTAGTGATGCCAACCAAGATTCTCAAATCTGCAACCTTCTGGTTGTGAGCCAGATGCTTGACGATGAGGTTACTGCCTATTGGCTCGTAGGTAATTTACAAGTCATATGTAGTCTGCCTAAATTTTATACCACCGAGCTAGTAGACTCAAGATTTAAATATTGTATACTGAATCTTAGCAATAATATACTAAAGTTTTCGAGCCTAGATTCATTACTTGCTTATGTGTCTATTAAGAGGAATACAATAAAACCTTTGAAACTAATATACTCTTCAACAAAATAAGGATGGAGTTTGTAACATAAAATGAATTCATCATTCAATTTCAAGGCTTCTGATCAACACCTTGCTGTGAACCATCCACATTTACGGCATACAGCAGGATCTAAGAAATAATAAAATATCGACATACTTAATTTTTGATAAAGTTTAAACGATAACTTGAAGTAAAACAGAAAACCAGAATAATCGAAATACGGAAACCCCACACCATAAAATCTAAGTGAGATGAGTTTTACTTATGTATATGTGGAAAATCTATCTGTATAGGGGAAGGAAGATGCGATCACAAATAATTGTGATGATGATTCTTGTGACTTAAGACAGTAATCAATGTCGCGAGTTAAATGCATTAATCGGAATTCAGACTACAATGTTCTCTATCTCGTGTCTACTATTCCGTTTGTAACCTGTCTCCCTAGATTTGACCAATTACACCTCGAACCCTCATAATTAATTCTAGGCCGACCTAAGCTAAGCTCCTATTAGTCCTCTATACTCAAGCCTTTCTCTATTTCCGGGCTTGGGTCGAAGAGAAAAGTCATCAACTAGCCTCCATTATTATCCAATTCAACCATGACTCAAAACTCATGCAATAATATAATTAAAATGATTGACTACACGCCACACCAAATAAAAAAGCCATACTTTAAACACAGTCATACCATAAATGGTAGAAAATGAAACAAACAATACACAATTAATTAGCTATAACTAAGGCATAGTAAAGTGTATAACAACAGTTGATGGGTCCACCGGAAGCTTACAATAATAAGAGGAATATAGATTTCCAATCTTATGGTTGCTTACCAGTTAATCAATTTATAGTTAATAACAATCAGATAAATAGCTCCATAGGTTTAAACTTTCTCAATATTTACCCCATTTTAACAATCATACTTATAATGAGTCAATACATAACTAAACGAGAAAATTAAAATTTATTTGTCTCATTCAATAAAATTTGATGGATTCCTGAGCCTCCATGGTTACAGAGTAAGTTCATAAGGTTTGTTATAAAGAGCATGTTTCAGCTTTTTGTAATATTGGTTGGTAGGATACTGGTTGACCAATTAATGATGATATGAAAATTCGGCTACCTAATTTAATCTTCTTTTTTTTCAATTTTTAGTATAACATGGAGTTATCTTTTAACCGGTGCAGAGTCTAATCGTGAACTACGCCTTTGGTCATGTTCTGATTGGTCTTGTTTACAAGTTATACAATTTTGTTCTGTGATACCCAGTACAGATTTACTCAAATCTTTAAATATTTCATTATCGAAATCGAGCATAATATTAGCTGTTGATCGATCCGCCTCTTTTCTAGTTGCTACTGATGTAACACGAAGAGTAAGTGAAAGTAAAAGTCTATGTGCTTACGTACAGTTTTTTCTTTTTAAAAGAAATTATAGTTCATGTATTTGATTGAGATCAATAAATGAATACTTTTTCTCGTGATGGATTTGTATTGTGTTTTGTAGTCCAATTCAATTATGATGCACACTTCTTACGGTTATCCAAACCCACCGTACAAATGAGATGATTGAAATAAGTACAAAGGTTTAACTACAAAAACCGAATTATTTATCTAAACAAACATCAGGATATGTACAATTCTACTTCTTACTCAGACAAGGATACTTATTTTAATACTGTTAATTGAACCTCAGTCAGTCAGTCACAACGTAAAACTTCGTACGTACGTACATCAGTTCAAGTTGCCATACCACATTAACACACAGATGTAGTTGTCGATTCAAATCCCATAGTGGTAGAAATAGTAAGAGTATAATCAGAAATCCAAAAGATTAGGGTTTGAAGATGTTATTGAAGGAGTATAATACGATGAAATAAATTTGGAAAGAGAATAAGGATGCGGACATGAAGAATTCGGAAGATTAGAATTTAGGAGAACACAAAGAGTGGATGCACCTTCGCTATTGCAAACGATTTTGAGCCATGTCATTCAAGGTCTCTAACCATCGATTGCTATCATCTCGCGAATCCCAATCAGGTAGTCTACACCTACCAACATGGTTAATTGAACCTAGTGAAAGTGTCCATGCACGCTTATTCCAGTGTTCTATTACTTAGAATAGGATTCTCTGACTGAATTTCGCAGTTGCCTGTAGTTTTTTTTTTAATTAGATGGTGAAATGTTGTGTCTTGTTCAACTGTAGTGTCGATATTAAGTATTTTGCATGCTTGTCTATGCGAGCTTTTCTCAGAAACTATTTCTGTGTTAAATATGTATGGAAAAATACCAATATCACATTCGCGACTTTCTTTATGGTCAATAGGTTATTGTTGTAGTTCTTCATCGATTGAGTTGTTTGAGACATATGTTTTGCATACCCATGCGTTGCACTTACACTTATGTGTTATGTTGGTTAACATAGCTCTGGTTGAAAGAATGCTTAAGGTCAGCCTAACCAAGACGCAACATTAATCGATGAAGTTATTGACTGTCGAAGTAAGCCGCGTTTAAAAATATAGACCTTTTGTGTATATAGGTTATGTGTCTTCAAAGTTTTTACCGTATATAGTTTCACGTTAGAGAATCGATGCAAATCATTAAATAAAGACTCATGTACTCATTTTTATTCACAATGAGCACTAGTGATACTACTACTACTCGGTTACCCAAATCGAAGTGGAGCGGAACTTGAACATGTGACCTAGTCGTTGAAAGTCTAACATCTTAGCGAATAAACCATTGTCAGAGAAAAAGAACGTATTAACCAAGGAGTGTTAGACTAACTTATAAAATTCCCCTCGTAAGAATTGAAATATTTACAAACGGTCATGTTAGTATTTGATTCAGACGTTTTGTTGTGAATGTTGGAAATAAAAATTATAATCTGTTCATATTTTTGTGTAGGATCCAATGTTATTAATTACATTTGATCTTGTTTATTAGTTCACTTCATCATTAGATTGTATTCTACTATCTTAAAGTAGTCTTTATGTAATTGGGAATAGCGATCTATTACAACTTATAGGAATGGTTAGGCTTCCTTAGTAATATCTAACGGATTTATGTACTCCGATCTTCTGTGTGTATTAACAGTGAAACAAAATTATTTACTATTTGCTACTTGTGTCAGTGGAGTACAAAATCGTACCAAATGAATATGTTTTACAAAGGGTGATTTATTGAACCCCCAAGTATCGTAATTAAGCAGTTCAAAAAATCACATCGATCGCATGTGTTTATTTTTATGACTTTGCTGAGTTTCATTCAATCAACGGATAATTTAACGAAAGGATTCATTTTTGCGTTTGTTTTAATAAGTACAAAAAGTTGATCCTTAGTATCACTCTTATCAAACACATCGAATTTATTGCTTAATGTTGGTTTTTACTCCCCATTCTTGTTTAACTTTGTCATTGACATACTTTTAGAGATAGCACTTTCATCAGCTAAGCCTCCAGGAGTTGAATTTTTACCAGGAGGCTCACTTGTTGACTTAGAATACGCCGACGACATAGTTTTACTCGGTGAAGACGCTGACAACATGCAGAGTCTTCTGACCACTATAAGCAACTATGCAGGCATGTTCGGGATGCGATTCTCTCCCTCGAAGTGCAAAATGTTACTTGAGGATTGATTTGCAGCGACACCTGAACTAATGATAGGGAGTGAAGTAGTTGAGCGTGTAGACCACTTCACTTATCTTGGGAGTCTCATCAGCCCTTGTGGTCTGGTATGTGACGAAATCTCAGCACGGATACAGAAGGCTCGTCTAGCTTTCGCCAACTTGCGTCATTTATGGCGTAGGCGAGATATCCGTCTAGCAACCAAAGGACGGGTTTACTGTGCAGCAGTTCGCTCCGTCCTACTTTATGGCAGTGAAACATGGCCAATAAGAGTAGAGGATATTCGTAGGCTACTAGTGTTCGATCATAAGTGTCTTCGAAGCATTGCTCGTATATCCTGGGACCACCGGGTAAGTAAGGCAGTTGTTAGGAAACGAGTACTAGGTAGGGATGGCAAATCAATTGATGAAGTAGTGAAACTTCATCAGTTGAGATGGCTGGGACATGTGTTACGTATGCCCGACCACCGACTGCCCCGACGTGCAATGTTTCATGGTGTAGGAGTAGGTTGGAAGAAAGCTAGGGGTGGCCAGACCAAAACGTGGCACAAATCAATGAAGTCACTGACAAGTGGACTGGGCCATGTTGGTAGGTGTAGACTACCTACTTGGGATTCGCGTGATGGTAGCAACCGATGGTTAGAGACCTTGAATGACATGGTTCAAAATCGTTTACAATGGCGAAGGTGCATCCACTCTTTGTGTTCTACCAAATTCTGATCTTCTGAATTCCTCATGTCTTTATCTTTTTCTCTTTCTAAATTTATTTCACTGTACTATACTCCTTCAATAATTTCTTCAAACCCTAATCTTTTGGATTTCTGATTATACTCCTACTACTTCTACCACTATGGGATTTGAATGGACAACTGCATCTCTGTGTTAATGTGGTATGGCAACTTGAACTGATGTACGTACGTACGAAGTTCTACATTGTGACTGACTGACTGACTTTTACTTTTAGAAACTTTCCTCTATTCTATATAATTGGCAGAATTTCTGTAAACTATAGTTGTAATACTTTTTAGATTATAACTAATAGTAGAATCCAGGATATGTATTTTTTCATATCTCCAGGACTCGTTAGCTTGTTATATCTGTATTCCGTTGTTGATGTTCGCAGTATTACACAAACCCAGTAGTTGAAAGCGTGAGTCAATTGAAGCTAGACCACCAGGGAAAACCTGGAAGCACTGCTTTACTGCTGTTTCGTCCTATTGTGGGACTCCTCGGCACACCATCGAATGCCGGCTCAGTGGTCTATCGGTTATGTGCTCTGGTGCGAGACTGGTAGGTTCTGGGTTCGAATCTCACGAGTGCAGGATCGTGAATGCGCACTGTTGAGGAGTCCCACAATGGGACGAAACGGTCGTAAAGCAATGCTTCCAGGTTTTCCCTGGTGGTCTAACTTCAATTGACTCACGCTTTCAACTATGAAAACACTAAATCTCCACAAAAACCCCTTCTGATAACAAACATAATAGTTAGCACTTTCAAACATCGATGCGTTATCCATCAAGTTACTGAGCTTTAGAAGTCATTCATTTGTTCAATAGGTTTGATATTTGTTATTAATTCGTTAGAGTTTTCGATTTCTTGCTGCTTGATATTCAGAATTGAGTTTTGATCCATGTTTAATAATATATATTTATATCACTAATGGATCTCCTGATACTGCTTTTTAGTTACAACTTTAGCTACAATCCGTCCCCTTATGTCAAAGTAAATGAATTAAAATTCAGTTATAAGTGTGATCAATGAAAAAAAACCGTGTTCTAATAATCTTTGTTTTTATTCCGTTTAGGTACTGTATACACTTGAATTGGCCGTTGTAAACGATGTTTCAAATGATAATGAAAGGTTATTGTCCTCTTCATCGTCATCAATGTTATCAGTATCGAAGAAGATATGCTGTTTCATTTCTATCGGAGAATTTTTGTTGACAACACCGTGTCTGTTGTTTGCTTTAGGCCCTTCTTCAAGGAAAGCCAAAAATGGTGTAGGTTAGTGCGTATCCATATAAGGATTATCTGTTGTATGAGTAGTAGTTAATCTCTTTTTGTTCTTTCTTAGTAAGAACGCTTAGATTAACGTATTGGTATTTTATTCAGTGACCTCATAGTCATATTGGATTACTGTTTGCTCTGTTAACTAGAGTAATTAATCAGTTAAATGTCCCTGTCTAATATGAATTTTATATATAAAATTATCCCACACATTATGTGATCACAAAGCAGAACAATCTACTCTCTATACATTCTAGTTATAATTAACTGGTCATTGAGTAGTGACCAATGTTATATTTGTCTAGTCCTTTAATGCTGATCGAATTATGTCGATCAAGTTGCAGTGTAGCCACTAGTCTAAATTACTCAACATCTTGTGCATTATGTTGAGATATTAGGTGTTTGGTCGTGGTAGACAGAATAACAACATAGACAGCCCAAGCTTCGTACTAGTTGGCACTCGTTAGCATGGTGTACCTGTAATCATCAAGGAATGACAGCCGAAATGACTTAATGGTAACGTCTCAGATTGTGAAGCTGGGTGACGCTGGATCTTATCCCACTGGCGGGCGGGTGGGGGTCAGTTCCCTCAGTATTACCGGTTCACAATACTAACGAGTGCCGACATCCAAGAAACCTATGCACATTAATACATCACTGCTTCAAGTGTAACTATAAAGTTTACAAACCTAAAGCAGTGGTCTTGAGTGCTGTTAGAGGCATGAGGGCGGTTTTTACTTTCCGGTTGCCCACACCGTGAAAGGATTCTTCTAGAGGTACCTGAAAAGGAAATAGGATTAGAGGTGGTCTTAGTGACCTGAGAGAATGACCACAGTGTTCAAAGAAAACTGTTAAAGGCCGGTCACATATGACCTTTTTGTGAGTAATTTTCGTGTCACATTCGTACTTGTTGAGACCTTATCGCCGGAAACGGAAATCTGTGGGATAAGGCGAGGTGTGCATTTTTAGGGTCGACCTTTTCTAACCTGCGCAATGCTGACTAGTGTTGGAGACGATTGGAAGATAGTTAAGGATGGTCCAACCAAAACGTAGCATCAGTCCTTGAAGTCAGTAATTTCTAATCTAAGCCATCTCGGTAGATGCAGACTACTTGGTTGGTGTCCGAGCGACTATCGTAATCAGTGGTTGGAGACTTTGAATGACATGGCTCAGAATCTATCATAATTATGTAGGTGTACACACTCTTTATCTTTAATTAAACATTGAGATTAAAATTACTTTATACCTTTATGTCTACCAACTAATTCTTTCTTCCTGTATTATATCCTTATACACAATCTTTTATACATTACTACCATTGAAGTAACTACTTCTATGAATTCGGTGCTCATTTTGTTGTGCTAATGAGGTGTGGTAATTTGAACCGATGCATATATTTGCCTGGTTCTACATTGTAGCTGACTGACTGACAGACAAACCTAAAGCAATACAAGAGAATCTTCCTATAATTTAAAGCAAGAACTCTTAACAGAAATCACACTAGTTGAACGAACTGAGTAGATACTGACTAAAATATACAGCATTATAGGTTACTTTCATTAAAGTGATCTCTATAATCAATCACTGATCTCGTTATTTAAATGTCGTTACTTTTTTTCTACGTCTTGACTTTCTCGCTTTCTCTGTTTTGTTAGCGACTTAGTAGTTAGTCATTCAGTCAGCTATAACGTAGGACCAGGCACATTTATGCATCGGTTCAAGTTGTCATACCTCATTAACACCGCCTTAGTAGTCAGATTATATGATCTTATCGACTAACATTATATATTGTGGATTATTATTGAAAAGTTTTAAAATAGGATTAAACAGTCAATTTGTGTGCACTTTCACTCCAATATCACAGTAACTGTTTAAATAATCATTTTCAAATTAACCAATTGGTTAACACTTTATACTGTTTGGTTTATACTGATTGAGTTATATATAAATCGAACTGATTTATTCCTTCATTCATTTGTGCTTGTTGTTTTCATCATTCTTTATTTAAATGAAAACAACATCAATATTTAAATTCATTTAGTATTGTTTGTTTGAATCTTCCCATCAATATGTTAGGACTGCAACTGGTCAGTCCCTAATCGGCATATGTGCATACTGTGCGTATTGCCTCGATATAGCCTTAATTCACAAGCAAAGGTGGATAGTGGCTAGCAGTGGAATCCAGGACGCGCGAGTCCCAGAGTGAACATCAACTGTGAGATACAGGTACATCCAGCGTACGAGTCCCAAATAGGACGAAACGCGCGTCCTGGATTCCACTGCTAGCCACTATCCATCTTTGCTTACAATATTAATATTTATTATTATTAATTAGCTTACTGCACAGCAGTTCTTGGCATTTTTCTTTATGAGTTATGAAATATAACCGTTAAGGTTAGAAGACATTCGTAGGTTACTAGTGTTTAGTTACAATTATTTATCTGTAAAGCTTTGGATATATATTCTGTAACTACCGAGTGATCTAGGTAAGGATGAGAAATCAATTAATGACTTGGTGGTTTTTCATCCACTGAGTTGTTTTAGACATGTATCACGTACCTCGACTCCCAATGCTTACTGATGTAGGAGTAAGTTGAATGAATGTTTGGGATGGGGAAACTAAGATAATATATGGTATTAGTTAATCAATTACATTGATTATTGGATTCAATCATGTTGGCAGATACAGACCTACTAGTTTAGAGTCCTCATAATTGTTGTAGGCATTAGTTAGTGATCCAGGTAAATTCAATTTTTATTTTCTCTTAGATCGTAATTTTCAAAATCTTGTTACACTCTTTTTTTTTCTATCTTAACCTAATAGTTTCTACTATTACTACTGACACTGTTATTATTTCTATTACTCTTGGATTTGTCTTAATAGTTTCTTCTTACTATATGAATTATATTGTGGTAAATTGAACTAATACACATCAGGTTCTACATTGTTGACCAATTATTAATCTTATCATGATTGTTATTCTTTTCAATTTCATTTCATTTCAATAGATCCCCTTTCTATAAAAGAGAAAATTGATCCACATAAAGTTTTAACGGATCAAATATGTTTGGATATTCACATCATTCATAATCGGTTAGTATCTTTGTTATTTTTTCTTCCATTTCTTTGATGTTGGCCCTTTTTGTTTTAAAATTTTACCAAAATTATTTTCGTAATGGACAGAAATTAACGAATAAAGTGCATACGTTTTTGTGTGATCGGTAGATTACTATAGTGTATGACAGTAGTATAGTCTAAGGACTGTAAACTTGGGCTACTCTTAAAAATTCTCTCATGATTTTGAAGCCACTTGTAAAAGTCAATGAGCTGAGAGTTTGGACAAATCAATTATGTTATATCTGAAGCGTTTCGAATTCACTAGTTAGCGAACGGAACAAAGACTTGTGACCAGAGACCGATAAGCTAGCTATTTTGACGCGTCCCAGACCCAGCTAACTAAAGTAAGAATTCCAAGTTGGAAGCGGGGAAAATATATTCTGTAGCAGTCAGAAGCACAGCAATCATAAGGGGAAAAAATCAAACATATATATACAGCAATAAATTGTCCTTGGGCAGTATTACAAAATAACACGCTCAAAGAAAAAATGGACCAGTAGCCTTTAAGATATTTTACAAGTGGGAAATTCGACCCGAAGGTGAAAAGAGCGCTTTTGGTGCTAAAACAAAGGAATTCAAATCTTCAAAATAAAATTACAAAATTAAGCCATTTACCAAGTAAGTTCTAGGGATTTGACATTCTCAACAAGTTACATTTGTTAACAAAAGTAATCAAACGTGTTAGAGTTTAATGGTTTTAGAAAGCTTATCGATTTTGGTGATTGATTATTGGTTTCTCAATCACATAATGTTGAAGAGACCACTAGATCTAGTCGCATTCAATTTACTGCAGGTAAATTTGCTTCCGAATCCCTCTTATAGTCGTAAATCGTTTTGTGGAAAATTCATGATCGCTCGTAATGTCTTTATTAAAAAAAATTCGTTAGAGTTTGGGCCAAATGAATTCGGTACCTACTTCATATTTTTAATTTGGTGTCAATTAATAAATACTTCAATGATAGATCAATTCATGTGAGTTTAGATTCATGATTTCAATCGAACACTTGTAAATCATAGCGTTACTTTATGCAATCAGTCGAACTTGCGATCTTAGCCTGTTAATACTGATTAGTATTAAGCGACTTGATGCTCCAAATGAAAGGTTGAATAGGGTATATTAATCTTTATTTTCATAGTTTTAATCACGAACTCATCTCATTTACAGTACCATCGTAAACCTAAAAGCATTAAACGGTCGTTTCGTGCTATTATGAAACGTCTCAACAATATGCATCCACAACTCTCCACTTGGGAAACGAATTCCAGGATATTCGATCTGATGCGCGAACGCTTAACCACTACACAACTAAATTGGAATCCTATGGTGGTAGTCTAACAGAAATTAATTCATGATATTATGTACGTCTCATCTATTCCCTACAATGGATAACTGTCTCGTACTCGACTTGGTTCTTCGCAAATGACCTAGCCCTCCTATCTCATACACACGAACAAATGCAGACGAAGACAACAAATGTAGTAGCAGCCTCTAAATCAATAGGCCTTAACATACATAAAGGAAAAAGCAAGATTCCCAAATACAACACGGAGAACACCAACCCAATCACACTTGATGAAGAAACTCTGGAAGAGGTGGAAACATTCACCTACCTGGGAAGCATCATTGATAAACAGGGAGGATCGGATTCAGATGTAAAGGCGAGGATTGGCAAAACAAGGGCAGCATTTCTAAAAATATAGGACATATTGAACTCAAAACAACTGTCAACTAACTTCAAAGTGAGAATCTTCAATATGAACGTCAAGACAGTCCTACTGTATGGAGCTGAAACATGGACAACTACTCAATCCATCGTCAAGAATGTACAAGTATTTATAAACAGTTGTCTACGCAACATACTCAATATCCGTTGATAGGATACCATCAGCAACAACGTTGTATGGGGAGGACAAATCAGCTTCCAGCTGAAGATGAAATTAAGAAAAGACGTTGGATGTGGATCAGACATACATTGAGGGAATCACCAAATTGCATCACGAGGCAAGTCCTAACTTGGAATCCTGAAAGAAAGCGGAAAATAGGAAGGCCAAAGAACACATTACGCTGGAAGATTGAAGCAGATATGAAAAGGATGAATGTTAACTGCAAAGAACTGCTCAGGACAGGGTTCGATGGAGAAAACTGGTTTGTGGCTTATGCTCCTCCATAAAGGGTAACAGGTGTATGTAAGTAAGTAAGTACTCGACTTCTTTGAACTCTAATGGTCACAGCTTCTCACTAAAACTTCTAGGTTTTCAATATTTAATTTGTTCACGTGTAAGCAGATAATCATGATCAGTTCATTATATTATAAGAAAGTAGTTCGTTATTTTTCTTTAAAGTTAATCTTTAGTTTAGTATCAAAATGGAAGGTGAATTGCCAGCTAATTTACCACATTAATCATAGAATTTTATTCTTTCGAAATAATAATTCTTTGTGTATATTGTACCAGAAAAAAACAAACAAACCGTATTATTAACTTATTTAATCAGCTGATAAAACTTATTTTAATAATGTTCCATAACATGATTGAACATCAGTCTCAACACCGTAAACTTATTCATTCTTTAAATTCCTTTCAAATTCTGATTCAGTATTCATAAATTATACCGAAAAAAATCAATCAGATTCAGGATAATAACTTTTGTATTTTTGTGTGCCAACTGGAAAATGCCATAATTGTTCAAAATTTATTTCTACCAATCATTATGTCTGAATTGGTTTAGTGTATGTTTGTCCCACTATCCTTCTCTGTCTGTCTCTTTCTCTCTTATGTCTATATATCTCTATTCGTTTAATTTATCTTGGCAATAAATATCATTTGTTGCCTAAACTAAAGTGATGAGCAGGTTTATATCGTCAATTATGTAAGTGTACATTAAAAAAAAAAAAATTAAATTAACTAACATGTAACAATACAATCTCTATCTATTTTACCATTCATAATTTAAAGCCTTTTTTAAACTTGACATATTATTAGACAATTATTTCAATTCATTCCAGTATAAGTGAACAGAATAGACGAGTGAGGATAATTGAATGTACTTAAGTACAAATTACAAACTGTCTTACTAAAATTTGGTAATCATATAGTAAATAGTTAATTGAGAAAGGGTTTTGTGGAGATTTCAATATTTTCATAGTTGAAATCATGAGTCAATTGAAGCTAGACCATCATGGAAAACCTGAAAGCACTGCTTGATGGCTGTTTCGTTCTATTATGGGACTCCTCAGTGCACAGTGCTCATCCACGATCCTAGCACTCGCGAGATTCGAACCCATGACCTATTAGTGACTGACTGCAAGAGATATTTCCTTGAGTTCTAGTGAGAAGCAGTGATTAGTGGAGTTCTACCAAGTCTGTTGTAGAGATATCAACTCACTGAAGATGATTGGTGAACGGTTGCTCATACTTCGTGGATTGGTTGAAGTTAGACATTAACATCATTGGATGCCGGCTCAGTGGTCTATCGGTTAAGTACTCTGGCGCGAGACTGATAGTTCCTGGGTTCGAATCTAGCGAGTGCAGAATAGTGGATGCGCACTGGTGAGGGGTCCCCCAATAGAACGAAACGGCCGTCAAGTAGTGCTTCTAGGTTTTCCATGGTGGTCTAGCTTCAATTGACTCATGATTTAAACTATGAAAATAGTTAATTTGCAAATAATCAATCAATAGACTCAATCTTGACCATCCCTTTTTTAAACATTAGTTCATCGTTTCCTATTATTTTTGTTCATACATTTTCACACCAATTGCGCTTCGTTTCTGTTCTTTCCTTATCGATCTTCTACTTAAATGCATTCAATGCCCGACCATCGTAATATACTACTTATGTGGATATAAGTGTTGGGATGATCTTGAAAATTTCTTGCAATAGACATGATAAGCTTAGGAAACATTAAGAAGCATTCTATCCAATCAGCGTTTAATTAGTTTTGCTAGAAATATCGTGAAAATGAAACGTCACATGTAGAGTTTTTGATTGGCCGATTATTACACTGCTACTATGTTTAGTAGTATTCTAGAATTTTTAGGAAAACCCAAGGACTTCTTAAATACTATAAAAACCCTATATTTTCTGTACATAAATGAACCTTTGGAGTAAAGTGCTTCTCGCATACTTTGCGCCCTTTCTCTCGCTGTGTAGGTCTAGCTTAGGGGTTACAAGACTAGCTTAGGATTCGAATATAGCGTTCAATCAACAAGACTTATCAATAAGTAATCTACACCACACCATTATCATAATGCATACAATATGAATAGATTGTATAGTTAATTATTTTATTGATCTTTTTTTATACCTTTTATTCCTGTTATATCATAATAAACTACTTTTTCAAAGTTTAAATTATAAGTCAATTGAAGCTAGACCATCATGGAAAACCTGGAAGCAGTTTACGGCCGTTTCGTCCTATTATAGGACTCCTCAACAGTGCGCGAGACTGGTAGGTCCTGTGTTCGAATCTCGCGAGTGCAGGATCGTGGATACGCACTGTTGAGAAGTCCCATAATAGAACGAAACGGCTGTCAAGCAGTGTTTCCAGGCTTTACATGGTGGTCTAGCTTCAATTGACTTATGATTTCAACTTTTTAAAAATACTGAAATCTCCACAAAACCCCATTCTAATAATAAACTGCATTTAAATTCCATTATAAAAATGATTCATCCAATTTGTTTCGGGTTTCACTACTTTTTTTTTTTTTTTAAAGATCACATTGTTTTAATGTTTCACTATGTTTTCTTGTTTTTATTATAGAAATCTATTAAATGGTACAATTCGATTTGATCTGTCTCATCGATCTGAATCAGGTAAGTTATGAAGTTATTATTATAATTTCAAAATTAAAAACAAACAAAAAAAAATATTTTTTAAGATTAATTTATATAGAATGTTTGAATGACATTAAAGTAACTTTTGAAACAATTTAGCTATTTATTACTGTCAAACAAAAATAGTTTTTTTTAAATTAATATATTGATCAGAGGGGGTTTTGTGGAGAATTTAGTATTTTCACAGTTGAAATCATGAGTCAATTGAAGCTCGACCACCATCGAAAACCTGGAAGTACTGGACGGCCGTTTCGTCCTATTATGGGACTCCTCAGCAGTGCGCATCCACGAACCCGCTCTCGCGAGCGAGATTCGAACCCAGGACCTACCAGTCTCGAGCCGAAGCCCTTAACCGATAGACCACTGAGCTGGCATCCAACGGTGTTAATGTCTAACTTCAACCAATCCACGATATTGAGCGACCGTTCACCAATTGTCTTCAGTGAGATGATATCTCTACAACAGACCTGGTAAAACTCCACTGGCCACTGTTTCCCACTAGAACTCAAGGAAATATCTCTTGAAGTCAGTCACTAGTGAGCATATGATTATAGATCAGAGGGGGTTTTGTGGAGAATTTAGTATTTTCACAGTTGAAATCATGAGTCAATTGAAGCTAGACCACTATGGAAAACCTGGAAGTACTGGACGGCCGTTTCGTCCTATTATGGGACTCCTCAGCAGTGCGCATCCACGAATCCACTCTCGCGAGCGACATTCGAACCCAGGACCTACCAGTCTCGAGCCGAAGCCCTTAACCGATAGACTTCAATTGACTCATGATTTCAACTGTGAAAATTAATATATTGACAAATTAGAATTAGAATTGAAAAATTATAAGTTAAGATTTTATATTTACAAACTTGGAGAACTATCACAACTATCAACTAGATTCTAATTAAAGAGAAATTTAGAAAGTGAATAGAACACACATTAAAGAAGTCATTAAACTTAGAATCCTGAAGAGAAACAAAAAGGAAGAAATTCAAAGAAAACAGTTTATCGAAAATTGGAAACAGATATCGAAAGGATCAATAGTAAGTGGAAACCATTGGAAAAGATTGTCTAAGACAGAGTTGGATGAACAATGCTAGTGAGCGACCTATGCTTCACTATGAGGTGTGACAGGCGTAAGTAAGTAATTTACATCAGCTATAATGTCAAAATACTATCTGATCTTCTGAATGAATAAATTCCGCACTATGATGATTCTAGTCTCGTTAAAAAATGTACTATACATAGAAATAATGATAAGAGAATATAGATTAGTATAAAGATAAGGTTAAAATAGCCACTATAATTTCTCAACTAGTTTTTTAAGCGATATTAGAGAAGAACTTTTGTAAATGGATAGTTTTTAGAAGAGGGAAACAGTAGTGTATTGCAAAGTATGTTTTACAGGTTACTTTACCTGTTAATTAGATAAACAACGACATTGAAATTCATCCATATAGATTTATGGATTATCAGTCTTTACTATCTCCCCTAATCACAGCCACATTTGGCTGAATCTTGTACACAAGCTGTTTTTCTATTTTATGGTACGATGTAGTCAGTTTGATTGGTAATATAAACACAGTATGTTTGAAATATTACGATTCATACCGCAGAGGCTGTTCTGAACTTAACTTGTTGGGTTAGGCAGAAGTAGGACCGATACGTACTCTAGACTGCTCGTACGGTTTCTGTGTGTCACCAGTCCGATCGATAATTCACTGCTCTCTGATTGCCGGTCTTATCACATCATACGTTAACAAAGCATCCACTCGGTCCACAATCTATAACACAGTCTTCTCGAACCCCCTAAAATGACCGAAATAGATTTTAAAAAATTCCTTCATAGTTCTTCGTTGTGGTTAAAGCTAGAGGTTTTAGGGTTTAAGTTTTCATGCTTTACAGCTATATGGATGAGAGATTTGCGCATGAAAATCCAAAAGATGCTATCTCAGATCTTAATTCATTCGTTTATAAAATCTAATGTTATTGGGTTGTTATTTGTTTCAAGTTTAACTGTTAGTATTTGCGATTAGTTTTCATAGAACACAAATTAAGAGGATATCGTCCAACAATAACCATGTTACAATAATGCTGTTGACGTTAACACACATAACATACATCTCCATTCCTATTTACCTCTTATTACAATAATACATGTAGGTACTCGAAAATTGGATTATAACAAGTAGAGATGTAGGTGTTTCTATAGAATTCAATCGGTAGTTATATATTAAAAGATCATTAAAATTATTATCTTGCTTTGGATATTAGAATAAGATCTAGTTTTACAGTTGAATCTTTCTGAGTAAACATCGTGACCTCTTGATGTTAGATATATTTTTCATATTTCAATGCCTAACATAATAGTTGCCTTCATATCATACACTTTGTAATAGTATTATACTGTACCAGTATAAACATATGTATTCAAGCAAAAAAGTCCTGAGGTTTGTCGTGAGAGTCCCAAAATATCCCTTGTTAAAATCTCTAGAGACCTAGAAACGCTTAATTTCCAGAAACATCTAGGAAGTAGTGCAGAATCACGTGTCACGGTTTTGCTTGGATGTTTAGCCAAGGTCACATATTACTTCATAAATACTCTCGTTTTTCCTGCATATAAACTATCTTTGGAATAAAGTTTTTACTCACAATTTTCACCTTCTTTTGATTGTTCCAGTCGATGTGTAGAAGTAGTTAGAATTATAGAAACCAAATAGGAAGAAACAGTTTCGGCTTATCGGTAGCAGGACGTATCAAGTCTCATATAGGAAATCTCCACGCCTATTAATCATTATAACATTGTTTTCGAGTTATTCTATAAGATGGTGACTTAAACAATCTGCTATGTTTATTAATCATTGATATATGTAAAAATGGTCATGTCAAACTGTAAAATCAATTCGAAAAATCATTGACTGTCGATACATATTGTATGAATGAGATTTATTTCAATAACGGCGAGCGCATAAGACTGTTAGCATTAAAAGCGATCATATCATAGGCTAGTATTAATTAGACCGACTCACACAATGACAAATATTGAATAAACCTGGAATTTAAACTAATTATCAGTTGTTTTTTTTTTCGAGATGATTTTATAGGTCATTGTGCACAGCTTTAATTGATTTTTTTTTAAAAAAAAGCATATAAAATTCAACATAGAATCATTGAATTATAATGAAATTATTTGTATAAAGTATATTATTGTCTATAGTTGAAATCATGAGTTAATTAAAGCTAGACCACTATGGAAAACCTGGAAGCACTGGACGACCGTTTTGTCCAATTGTGGGACTCCTCAGCAGTGCGCATCCACGATTCCGCCTCGCGAGATCCGAAGTTAGACATTAACACCGTTAGATGCCGCCTAGCCCAGTGGTTAAGTACTCGCGCGCGAGTCTGATAGGTTCGAATCTCGGGAGGCGGGATCGTGGATGCGCACTGCTGAGGAGTCCCACAACAGGACGAAACGGTCGTCCAGTGCTTCTAGGTTTTTCATGGTGGTCTAGCTTCAATTGACTTATGATTTCAGCTGCATAAAATTACCAAAATCTCTACTTAACCTCCTTCTTATATTATTGTCTGTTCATTTCGAATGAAATTATTGAAATTCATAATGTCATCATATATACCTGAAGGCAAAGAACGACATAACTAGTTATGTTTTATTACACCACATTAGAATAGAATTAGATTACGTAAACAGTGATACAGCAATATGGTTTGGGATCTTGAATAGTTGTACCTTTAGGAAAGCGGAAGGGATAAACAACAAAAAGATTTAGAGATATATACGGAACATTGTAAAGTGAAGTGTATATTGATCTTCATTATCATCATGCGACCTATGAAGAGATTACAAAGCTGTCATTATTCTATGGAGAGGAGATATTGATGTATTACTGTGATTGAACACTAACAGGTAAAAATTGAAGTACAAGGAGATAGCAATAGTCAGTCAGTCAGTCAGCTACAACGTAGGACCAGGCACATTTATGCATCGGTCCAAGTTGCCATACCTCGTTAGCACAACAAGATGAACACCGGATTCATAGAAGTAATTAATTTAGTGGTGGTAGTAGTATATAAATTATAGGTTGTATATAATGATATAGTACAGGAAGGAGGAGAGATATGAAGCAATTTTAGTCTCAGGGTTTAAAGGAAGATAAAGAGTGTATACACCTACGCCATTGTGATCGATTCTGAGCCATGTCACCTAGAGTCTCCAACCATTGGTTACGATATTCACGCGGACCCCAACCAGGTAGTCTGCATCTGCCAACATGGCTCAGACTAGAAGTTAGTGACTTCAAACACTGATGCCATGTTTTGGTTTGGCTGCCCCTAACTCTCTTCCAACAATCCCCTACACTAGTCATCATAGCGCGTCGTGGTAATCGGTGTTCAGGCATACGTAACACATGGCCCAACCATCTCAGTCGATGAAGATCCATGACCTCATCAACTGATTTACCATCATTCCCTAATACCCTGTGCCTAACCTCACTATTACTTACCCGGTTATCCCAGCAGATGCGAGCAATATTTCTAAGGCATCTGTGGTCAAATACTAGTAACCTACGAGTATCTTCTACTCTTAATGGCCATGTTTCACAACCGTAAAGTAGAACAGAGCGAACTGATGCGCAGTATACTCGTCCTTTAATTGATAGAGGGATATCTCGTCTTCGCCATAGGTGACGTAAGTTGGCAAAAGCCAAACGAGCTTTTCGAATCCGTGCTGAGATTTCGTCAGACACCAACCCATTAGGGCTGATCAGACTTCCAAGATAAGTGAAGTTGTCGACGCGTTCGACTACTTCACTCCTTATCCTTAGTTCAGGTGTTGACATAGACCAGTCCTGGAGTTACAATTTACATTTAGAGGGGGATAAACACATCCCAAACATCCTTTCATTGTTACTCAGTGCTACCAAAGGACTCAGCATTTAGTTAGCGTCTTCACCAAACAGGACTATGTCATCTGCGTATTCTAAGTCGCTTAGTGGTCCCCCTGGTAGGAGATCAATTCCTGTAAATTCAGTCGACGAGAGTGTTATTTCCAGCAACAGGTCTATAATGAAGTTAAACAAAAATGGGGATAGTGGACAGCCTTGACGGACACCACTTGAGGTTGTAAAATCATATGACAGTTCGCCATAAGCTCTCACTCGACTTGTAGTGTTCGAGTAAAGAGCCTTCACAAGGTTTATGTACTTCTCAGGTACACCTTTCAATGACAGACATTGCCACTGAACCTCTCGGTCTACAGAGTCAAATGCTGCTTTCAAGTCAAGAAAAACTATCATTGTCGGACGCCGATAAGCATGTCTGTGCTCTAAAACTTGACGAATGGTGAATATGTGGTCGATACAGCCACGACCAGGTCTGAAGCCAGCCTGATTTTCTCGTGTTTGCAGTTCACGAGTCTTAGTTAGGCGCCCGATAATTATTGAGGCTAGTATTTTAGATGCTACATTAGTCGAACTAATCCCTCTATGGTTATCGCAGGATGATTTTGACCCCTTTTTATATATTGGGACAATCAGTGATTGTGACCAGTCGGATGGGATTACATCCGTCTCCCAGATTTTAGCCAGAATATTAGTCAACCTAATCGCTAAAATCGGACCACCATATTTAAAGACCTCTGGAGCCAATCCATCTGGACCAGCTGCTCTTCCTCGTTTCAGATTACCTATAGCCTTTTGAACTTCAAGTAGGGTCGGGGGGCCTACTTCAATGTTCCATTCAGGTTTTCTAGGAATAGTGGGTAGTTGTGCAGTAGCTGAAGGCCAGCTAAACTGCTCCTTAAAGTGTTCCGCCCATCGTTCTAAACGTTTGGGTTGAGAGCAGATAAGGGTTCCGTCTTTTTCGGAGATTGTCTCACTTACACTTGACTTCTTAATTCCGGTTTCTTTTATTAGTCTGAATAGTTGCCTGGTGTTGCTTACAGCCGCTGCCTTTTCCATCTCTTTTGCTTTCGTTGCCCACCACTGCTCACGATCGTTCCTTAGACTTTTAGTTAACCTAGATCTAATTTGTTTACGCTCTTCGTCATGTTCAGAGCCTGATGGGATGAGTTTACGCAAATTCATCAGTGAAATAGACTTAGAAGAAATCCATTGGTTTTTTGGAACCCTATGGTTTAAATTACTAATAGATGTGACTGCTGTTTCCACAGTTGTTCGTATATCTTTCCAAGCAGCATCTGGGTCAGTCTCGTTTACAGAACTGCCTAGATGTGTACTCAGTTGTTTCTGTAATTCGCATTTGGCTTTCTCGTCCTCCACTTCAATCCTAATGGGTCTTCTTAGTGTACTTTTCCTGCGTCCATTGAGGTGCAGACAAATGCGAGCTCGTATTAAAGCGTGATCAGAGTCTAAACAAGTATTCCAATACGAGTGACAATCTTCTATTGAGCCTCTCCAACGATGACTGATGACAATATGGTCTATTTGAGTCCATCGTTGGTTTGGTGCAGGTGGTCGCCATGTTAGACGATGTCTCTCCTTATGTTTAAAATTAGTGCTTGCTAGAAATAAACGATTGTCTGAGCATAGTTGCAACAGACGATCACCATTATCGGTTCGTTGAGCCGTAATACTAAAACACCCACCTAAATGTCTTTCTGTTTGATTCAAGCTGCCTACCTGGGCATTAAAGTCACCCGCTATGAGTACTATGTCTGAGCGCTTAGCTTTCTGAAGAAGCTCAGAGAGCTTTCTGTAAAAGTCATCTTTCACTTCATCATGGCTGCAGTCGGTGGGAGCGTAGGCAGAAACGACGAAAAGGCAACGACGTGTGTCCCTATCCTTCCGAGTTCTTACGGAGCCATTTAGCCGGACAGCATACAGGCGACTGTTAACAGGGATCCATTCTAGTAGTGCCTGTTCTGCCCTTGCACTTAGTGCTATGCCTACACCTGCAAGTCCACGAGAACTAGCCAACGGGTCGCCAGATACACGGAGGGTGTATTTCGTTGACTGTCCATTTTGGCGAGGTGAGGTCAAGTGAATGACCACACTAGGATCCTGTATGCGTGTTTCGGAGACACAGCATACATCAATGGTACGAGATTCTAGGGTTTTAGCTAAGGAGGCCTGTTGACCGATTTGGCATAGGGTACGTACGTTGAAGGCTCCAATGTGTAGTTTGGAGCGAGGTTTAAATAGACCTGGGACAGCGTTTCGCGCACTAGAATCGTTGGCCATAGTGACACTTGAGGAGGAAACCGGAACAGGAAGTTTAGTGTTGAAAGTCAAGGTAAAAGGAATAGTAGGAATTGAAGAAGAAGATTGATTATGAATACAGTGGTCTTGAGTGCTGTTAGAGGTATGAGGGCAGTTATCACTTCCCGGTTGCCCACACCGTGGAAGGGTTCATATAGAGGTACCTGAAAAGGAAATTGCGTTAGGAGTGGTCTTAATGACCTGAGAGCGTGACCACAGTGCCCAAGGGACAACTGCTTGAGGTCGGTCACACACGACCTTTTTGTGGGTAGTTTTTGTGTTAGCTCCGTTCTTCAAAAAAACCTTACCGCCGGAGACGGATATCCGTGGGATGAGGCGAGGTGTGCATTTTTAGGGTCGACCTTTTCTAACCCCACCCCTCCTTGTGGGAAGGCAGCATCGCTGTCATGCTGGTTGTCTGAAGGAAACACCTTACTGCCGTCACACCTCTGTACAGTCGACAGTACGACTTCGCCTTCGGACCTTGGGTTTACTGCTTTTAGTCTCACCGCTCTTCAAACGACCTGCCTGGCATGGTAGGACCTCGAGGAACGATTGTTCCAGCCAGCATAGCTCGATTGCTTCATCACGATAGGCAAGCCCGACCACCACGTCAAGGTAGCAGCAATAGTAGGTATTAAACTAGTCGTAGAACGTCATGAAAAGATAGATCGATACTTGACTATTTACGGATAACAGCACAAACACGTATTAAACTGTGTTATAAAAATTTACAAGTGTAAATAACATTTACATCTGTATTACATCATGATATCTCTTTAATGCTATCTGTTGTGAAGTTCACCTTAATTGTTATGTACCCTTTTGCACTCACACTCTTATTGGAAGATACTTTATTGGAGGACAATGGTGTACCTTCTAGCCTTTTTTTATTGTTTCATGATAATTCATTTCACTACTGAATTTTTTCATTTACCATTCAGTAAAGTTTCAAATTGTATATCTAGATATTTTTCTCAATACATTATTAAACATTATAGAAAAAAATTATACATATGTATGTACTCTTGTTAGGTGATTGACGTTAGAAAACCCATTTAGTCGCAGCGCAAATAGCTCAATGGTTACGACTGTAATGCTGAATGATATAGGCTTGAATCGCAAAGTGCAAATCAGTTGCTTCAAGATTACTGATAAGCCTTAATGACAAGTAGTGTGCCCTGTCTCCAACTACTTTACATCTCAACATAATGCACGCAATATCGAGTCGCTTAGATTAGTGGTAACATTATGAATTGTCCGAGAGTTATCGGTCAATTTTTAAGGACTAGGTAAAAATAACGGTAATTATTACCATTCCACTGATCAGTCAATTTTATGTATCCATAATCCTCTTTTATACTTATAGAAAAACTCGAAATAATTACAAATATAATGAAGCAATCTTCAATGGAATCGCCTGTTCATCATCAACATGAGTTGACAGATCCTACTCTCCCTAATGCTATTGATAGCTCTAGTAATAAGGATCTGTCAACGTCGATACCTTCTTTTACTTCATCACCTAACATAAATGCCATTGTTCAAGAAAAAGTTGAATCTGATGAAGTAAGTTTGCTTTTTCTACGTTTTTGTCATGCAAAATAACTTTTACTTGTGTTTTGCCCCTTTATTTATCCCTTACTTACTAGAGTGTTTTTTGGCAAGGTTCTATTTTATGGGATGGATTTGGTAGCTTCAAGTCAGACCACCCTCCTTTATCATAGTTTGGGACGGGCAGTAACTCTAGAAGGGCTCCAGACAGAATTGTTTATGTTTACTATAGACTGCTACTTTCTTTTCGAGTTTCACATTGTTAGTTGACAATTTATAAGAGGGAAGAATATGTAAGTGAATTGCTACGTTTTGCGTTTCATTAGCAGCTTGGATAACTTCCAACATTTTGTTAGTGTAAGTTTCCCGTTTGCTTATCAAACAGTCGAATATACTACTACTAATAAATCATAAATATGTTTGTGAAATTAATCGCGTTCTATCAAATATTTCTTTTTGATAAATCTATTAGTGTAAAGATGTGTTTATTCATCGACTGATGTGTAGTTGGTACATATATTGTATATTTTTGCGTTGACTAAGTCAATGATTATTGGTCCAAGCCTTTTCCATAGATGCAGACATTTTAGTCGCCATCCGTGTATGATAAACATGATCAATATCTGTAGCTATAAGTTGATATGCTTCTAACTTAGCCGTATTCAAATGAATATTGTTCTTTTAATCTTGAACTTACTGTAATTTAAAACATCATTTCTTTGATGGATATGGAGGATCCACCTAGGGAAGTTGGAAAATCCTCATTCCAAACCAATGGTAGACATGAGCTCCAGGATCCTGAGGTAACTAAAGGCGTATAAACCAATTTTTGACCACCGGCTACCACTGGACTGTATCTCCTAACATCGCTCCACTGCCTTGTGGATTAAACCTTCATGTCAAAGGCTTGAGGTGTGGCTTCTCAAGAAAATCACCTGTTTCGGTCTGGGCACCCGGACAGTATTACAGCCCTTAAACAAATCAATGATAACTGCTACTGCTTCAATTGTTATTCCGTGGTGCATATTTATTTGGTACCCCCTTGTACTAATGTTTATGTGTTCAAATAAATAAATAAATTCCAACCAATTTAGTTTTTCGTAGGAAATATAATTGTTCAAAAGGAATGTTTCATGAGATAACGAGTTTACTGCGCAGCAGCTTGCTCCGTTCTACTTTATGGGTGTGAAATATATAGCCACTAAGAATGGAGGATATTCATAGGTTACTAGTATTCGATCATAGATGTCTTTAAGCGTTGCTCTTGTATTTTCGGATCACCGACTAAGTAATGCCGAGGTTAGGGATAGTGTACCATGTAATGATGAGAAGTCATTTGATGAGGAAGTAAGTCTTTATCAACTATGAAATGGTTGGGGAATATTATACGTATGACCAACCCCCAAATACTTCGACGGGCGATGCTGTCTGATACTAGTAGGTTGAAAGAAGGCTAGATGTAGCCGAGCCCAAGTGCATGAAGTCATTAAAATGTGGACTGAGCTAAGAAGGTAGGTGCTGACTACATGGAATTTTGGGAATATCTTAGTACGATATTTTTACAGGTTATGAATGTGCTTTTTTATGATTCAAAGCTTTCGAACGATTTTATTTGACCTTTGAATTACGGTTTAAGTCTGTCACCTTATTCAAACATTCTTTATTACTTTTTTAGCAATACTATTGAAGTTGTCGGCTAAAAAAAAATATGCTGAACTTGTTGTTTATTACATTAACGATCGTGTATTAGACCTTATCTAAAAATCCATCCAGTTTAAATTTAGTCCAACCAAGTTACACATATATTTAGTCAAAGCAATACGATATGATTATTGACAATATTAAGAATGTGTATAACGGATCCACTTATTCTCTCATTACCAAATTTATTTAAACTGTCTAATACAATTCATTCAAATATACTTTTTATGTACCTGGTTTCGAGGTATAAATTTTGCTTGTTAGGATCAGTTATACCACTATCCAGGTATTCAAACTGAAATACTTGAAGCATGGATTCTAGCCTAGAACGTATGAATTAAGAGTTGGGTGTTTCCAACACTAAGTCACTACTCGACTGTTTAGTTGTATGAAATAAGTTGTAAATCCTTATTCCGTATGAAAGATTCTAACCTTTTACCTTTAAGTTAGACAAATTTCGTTATATATATATTGATAAAAAGATACTAATACCATATATATACCATATATATATTCATTGTCCCTAATCTTGCTATCTTTACTAAATATTACTGATAGCAATATAACTTGGCTGAGATTTCACATTCCAAACTGTCATCAAGTTCAATTCATAAAACTTATCAAAAATGTATATACAAATTATTGTATACATTCATCGCAACTAATCATATTTGTAACTATCTTCCATCTTCGGCACTTTCATTTAAATCACGAATTGGTCAACATTTATCATTTTATTGTTTATCTAATGTGCTTGTAATGAAAACACTTAATCAAGTTTATATTTCTTCTGTAAGTTTGAATGACTTAACTTAATTAATGAATTCATTCATTCATTAATTTGAATACATTAATATTGGTACAAACAAGCCCTTAAGAAAACTACCTACTTCGGTTTAGGTATCCGGACAGTATCATAGCCCATACACACACAAATCAAATAATGATTACTACTGGAATGACCTAATTAATAAAGTTAAATCGTTTTTTTCCCTCTTAATTTAGATCATCATTGCTCAGAGTCGATCACAATGGCGTAGGTGTATACACTCTTTATCTTTCCTTAAACCTTAAGATTAAAATTGCTACATAACTTTCTTTTTTTGCTATACTATATCTTTATATACAACCTATCTTTTATATACTACCACCACTAAATTAACTATTCCTATGAATCCGGTGTTCATCTTGTTGTGCTAACGAGATGTGGCGACTTGGACCGATGCATATATGTGCCTAGTCCTACGTTGTAGCTGACTGACTTATGCTAAAGTGGATATTCAGTTGCTATATAGTTCAATGTAAACTATTTTCCCGAAATTGCTATAGTTATCCTAATTACTCTGGCTTATGCATCTGGTTACTAATACTAGCCTTTAAGTCATACAATACGTCTAATACACATTAAACTTTTATTGTATATTGAGTTTTATCAGTCATTTAATCCATCATCTGTCAACTCAAAAAAAGATTTATACTTTCTCGAGGAACTATCTATTCTTATTGTACTTTAGTGAATCTTACTGATGTTTTTGAATTAGTCGATTCATCATGAATCATAAGCTTCTATTGGCAATTTGTATTCATTTATGGCATTCGGATTTTATGTAGAAATGCTTTTTGATTTATAGATGTGGGCATACTGAATATCATCGAATCAAGAAAGGTAGTATATTTGTCTAAATGTGACAATTTATACAATAATAAATCGTATAATTGTACGGTTCATTAAATATGAGGAAACAAAATGAAATACATAAATATACCACTTGTTGTAACACATACATACACACACACATCATGGATACTATTTTTGGGGGTGAATTTATGTATATCGGTAGTTCACAACATGAATTGGTCTAATAAAATATAGAATACCAGAAAGAACTGGATTATTGTTTCGTCCTATGTATGTGAATACTCAACTATGAGAACTAATGATTCGGACAGGAGTGAAAGACAGAACTTTCAGGCTTCGAGGCTTTACGTGATCATATTAGTTAAATGGAAGATCACAAAACATTGATTAACATATCTGGGACATTTTCCTATACAGTGTTCAGCAACATATTCAAAGTTAATCGAATTATGATGTCCGAACAGGAGTCCACCGACAGTTGGAGGGCGCGTTGAATGTTTTCTTTCATTTTATTGTATAGTTTTGAACAATCATTTTTATTCATAAGAAACTTATTTTTTTTTAATTTACTCTTTCCAAGGTTCTTGATCAGCGTAATTCCACCGAAACACTAGGGTAAGTGACATATTCCTCTTCTATATTTTATGTGTTTTGTCCTATGCCATTAGTTATTTAGGACTGTCTGTATACTTAGTACTACTCCGTTAGTAGTGTACATTTATTATGTCCTATATTCCGTTTTTCCAACAAATATGTAATTTCGTCTGAAAATGGCTTAGTGAATTTCATATGTTGACTAAAATCTCTTTTAAACACATATACTTTATGATCAGTTATCATTTGATGCTTGAATGTACCTTATAAACATTTGTTCCAGAAAAATCTATACTGTTTTCAAACTTGACTACTGCTCTTCACTAGTAGTAGGATATTTGATGTATCGATGTACATCTCCAGCTACTGTATTTGTCATATTTGCAACCTTGTGAGGATTATTACTGTATATTCGAACCCCCCCCACGTCAATGTTCCCACATTTGAAGATGTTGCTACTTAGCTCTTGATTCAATTAATCATTTCACTTTAAGATCTCTTGCGATATTTGTGTTTTTCATCTGGCATTTCGGAATTTACTACTCTACATATATTCAATTTTGCATCTTTTCTCAAAACGCCTACAATCATCAATTCGTCTATTATCCTAGAAATACTCTCGATTACTGTACATAATCCAACTTTATTAGTCAAGCTTTTGTATTTCTTGTACTTTGATTTTCGTCCGATTTTCCAGAGTGGGAAGATTTCCATGAACTGAAAAGTCAATATCTAAGTGTTCAACTATAGGACTTATTAGATACCAAGAATCAGGACTACATTTAAATTAACTTTACTGATTAGTCTTTTACAAATACATCATATTCAGTAGTATATCTTAGTATATCACTATCTAATTTACAAATCCAATTTCTTCATTTGTCACATTGATCATTTCATTTATGTCTAAACAATCTTTTCTAGTCATAATTCTTTGATGCCTAACACTTTGGAGAATCCATTGATGATGGAGATTAAAACTGAAATTGAGGATAATTCCAGTTGCTATCCTAATATGGAAACAATTTCTCCGAGTCAAAATGAACCACCAGAAGCGGAAAAACTTCAAAATGTTCTTTCTGTAACATTGTTAAACATGAATAATCAGTCGACTGAAGAACTGTGAGTTTTATGTCCTACATTCTTTTCATGAATCTTTTTTCACTAGTCATACTCTCTGCTTTTTTTTCTTAGATTGTCTCGTTGAGTTATCCATACACTGTAACAAACGCAGTTGAATTCTTGATCATTGATCTATAGATTTTTGTCATCTTAAAAATCTTATAATCAAACTCGTTAATTTGAATGAATCCATGTAAATGGCCATTCATGTTAGTGCATATGTATTTTTTATAAATACTATATACTCGTGTTTACAAATGCGTTCATGCCATCATAGGTGTTCAAATTACTTTGAAAAGCATGTTAGTATAAGGTTGGCGAATCGGTTGACAGGAATAATAATCGTTATCGACTGTGGTAACTAGGATCCGCGTTGCGTATGCCCAACCAACTATCTCTACACGGAATCTTTGTTGGAAGAAATCTAGCAGCGGCCAAATTAGAACTTGACATCAGTTCATGAAGTTATTGACTTTCAGTCTGAGCTATACTAATAGGTGCAGACTACTTGGTTGATGTCCAAATTGTAACGATGATTACTATTTGAAGATGGATGACATGGCTCAAAACCGGTTGCATTGGTTCAAATGCATTCACCATATATACCTTCTCACTCTGTTTTCTCAAAACAGATTCTCTATCGCCTCGTCTTCCTCAATATCATTGGTGCCACGTTGGTGCCATTATTCATCTTAACTTTATCTCATCTTGCTGATGTGCGGTAAACCAACTTGAGCTAATACACATTTGTCCTAGTCAGTTGGTCATCGTAGTGCATCGCACAAATATGCGTTAGCCCAAATTGCCATACTGTACGGCGAGACTAAACTTTATGGACGACCTTTGAACGAATCTTAAATGACCTTGAGAAATATTAGCCAATCAGAAGACAGTTAGTATGCAGTAAAAATATATTATGCAAAACTAAAAAATTAAAGCGGATACTGTTCTTTTGCATGGCTCGAAAACTTCTCAAGGTCAGATATAGGTTCAGAAGTTCTAAAATCATAGTGCATACGGTACAGGAACTCATCCATATGGCCCCATAGTAGTCGACATCTGGAGCCATGATAAGATCTCAAAAATTCTTTTAGCCTCGACCACATAGCTTCATTGTTGTTGGTATGGTTTATGGTTCAGGGTTAGAGTTAAGGTTTAGGGTTAAGGGTGAGACTATGATTTATGGACGACCTTTGAGCGACGCTAGAGTGACCCTGAGAGTGTCAACATAATAACTAAGACTAAATGAGGGTTATAAACCTATGTGAAGAATTCAAATTATGATCTACAGTTCATGATTAAGATTAGGAATTATACTTAGGGTTTTCATCAGGAACTGACATCAACTATAATGCCAAAACTCTATTTATCCAAATGGATAATTAAATTTCGCGCCAGAATATTAATAATCGCTTATCTTGTAGACGCTGAATTAACACGTCTTCTCTAAAATCCGTTGTAAACCGACCGTACGTAAGTATTAGGTACCGAACTTAGCGCCGTGACCTTGAAAAGCAACGAAAGCTGATTGGCTCGTCCATAAAGTTTAATCTCGCCTACTGTACTAGCACAACAAAAGGAATAGTGGATTTGAAATAGTGTGGTAGAAATGATAATGTGAAAAGCTGAACTTTCGGAACATGACTCGAAAAGATAGATCGAAAGGGTATATATATATAAGATAAACTGTTTGTTAATTTGTGCCATTATGAACGATTTTTAGTCATGTCACCGGATTTCCTCAACCACTTATTCCGGTTATAACGTGGATATTTTTGCGTGGCTCTATGTTGATTACGACTGACTGATGGAATCATATGATCAACAATATAAATTATTTAGTGTTTTACTGTTTTTTTAACACTAGCGTTGTTGAATCTATTACGAAAACGGCTGATGAAACTTCGATTTCCGACTTTCCACCTATGAACTGTCTACAGTTGTTATGCAGTACGAATGATAACTATACACCTCAAACTGAAATTACTACGAGAACTGATCAACAGCATCATAGGAGTGATGTTGTAGTTGGTGAAAACGATAACGACGATGACGACGATAATGGAGAGATCGATTCTGAAGACAATGCACCCGATTCTGTGGACAAATTACTGTCGGGTAATTGGCTATTTGTTAAATTCTTTACTGTAACCAGTGTATATATACATCGTTTACAGAGCTAAAATTTTTCAAGTTTGAAATACACTATCCATTCTAGGGTGTTATTACACTATAGGACCATGTCAGTCAAGATCAGGATGATGTCTTTCAGTTCAAATCACGAACTGATCTTGGCTACACTATCATCTAAAACATGAATGGCCACTTCGTCCTAGTTTTTTTAACTCCTCGGCAGTGCGCACCCACGACCTCGACCGCCCAGTTCTCCCAGGTTTTCAATGGTGGTTTGGCTAAGATCAATTTGTGATTTGAATTGATAAATCACATATCTTCCAAAATTCGTAAGTTTTTTGAATCGTCTCAGTTGGTTCATGTATTCTTGATTCATCTCGAACTGCAAATAAGTTCGTCTCTATAATGAATTTTCATCAATATAATTGCATGGACTTCGTTCTTTGTGTCAGTGTGTTTTTGTTTTTCAACCAAATGTTTTAGAAATAAGTTGACTTTCTGATCAAAGCAATCTTTAGCTTCTTATAAACAGTAAATGACATGCTGTGTTTGTCACTGAGTAAAGACCGATTTCATGTTTATCTTATCTTTTAAAACTGATCTAATCCCATCGACCTAACTGTCTAAGTGATTTAACACTACGTTGAAATATCAAGTGGTTGGAAAGGTAGTCCCTTGAAAACCTTCCTCGTCATCAAGGCATACATGAAATTTCGTGGGAACTGATAGTTCTTGCCGGGTTTCGACCCCACATCACTCAGCTTCACGTACATTACCGATTAGCTATTCAAGTTGTAACTGGCTTACATGTATTATTAGCTGAGGACATAGATCCACTGAGTTACTTCCTAAATAAAAATCTAGCAATGTATCATATGTAAAAACATTTCATTGAATGATTTAAACTCTGTTATTAATATTCATTCATTTATTTATTTAATTTTTGTTTTCACATAATCCATTATTATTAATTGTTCGACCAGACACAACAACGAATAAAATCCCATTGAATTCAAGTAGTCCAAGTCATGATAGTAATAATAATAATAATAATAATAATAATAATAATAATAATAATAATAATAATAATAATAATTTAAACAATGAAGCATATACTATTACTAATCACGTAGATGAGAATGACTTGATCTTTTTAACAACAACGACCACAACATCGTCAGTGTCTCCACCGTCGGTACTGTTGCCGCCTCCATTACCATCTCAGCTATCGTTAACAATGTCACCAACTAATGACACTACATTATGGTCGACCACTGCTACTACTACTACTACTACTACTGCAAAAGAAGACTATTTACAAAATTCATCACCATTGGATATTACCTCTGCATCGTTAAACACTTGTAATTTCGTTGTTGTTGTTGATGACGGTGGTGGTGGTGGTGGGGAAGGTGAAGGCGGTGGCCGTTCTGTTGACAATGTCAACGAACAAGGCGATGATGATGATAATGATGATTATCGTAACTATCAATCATTTGAAGATTTGAAGTCAATTTTAAAAGAGGAAGATGCTTTAAATGCGACAATTAACAGAATAGTTAATGTTAATGAAACTACTGACCTTGAAAATCATAACAACAACAAACCCAATGCCAACGACGACGATAACAGGAGAAATAATAATGAAATGAATAGAATTTTAAATCATTTGGAAATGTTATCGATGAATTCAGAAAAACAAAGTAAACAATTCGAATACATATTAGGTGAGATTATTTTTAAAAAAATTATTTTTGTTTATTTATAAAATACTTAGTATGTTTATTGGGGTTAATTTTTTTTTCAATCACAAATACAGTTTAACTATATACCACCTTTATTTTCTACTGGTATGTGGCAAACTTCATTGATTATAAAACCAATTTCTACGTCAAGATCCATAGATCCACACATACATATCCCCCAAATGCCCTGGCACTGCTGAAAGTGGGGAGAATCCGCTCTCCCTCTCCAAATGCTCTCACATGTCCGCGCGTATATAGCCTCTGTCAGGGAAGTCCTACTCATTGCCTTCTCGTGGCGGGAGTGTTATTTACGAAATCGAGAAGACGAAAAGTGAATATCCGGCGCTTTAACCGGGTTGGTGGACAAAGAAAGTTCACCTAGGGCAGTTGGAAAATCCCCATTCCAAACCAATAGTGCATATGTGCTCCAGTATCCTGAAAGAACAAATGGCGTATGAATCAATCGTTGGTCACCGGCTACCATGGGACTGCATCTCGTTACGATGCTCCACTGCCTTGTGAATCAGATCTTTAGGTCAAAGACTCCGGGTGTGGCCCTTTAAGTAAACCACCTGTTTTGGTTTGGGCATCTGGGCAGTATCACAGCCATCACACAAATCGAATGACATTTGTGTGGCGCATAAATATCTGGTGTTCCTTTGTACCAATATTTATATGTTTAAATAAAAATACATACATATTATACCTGATTGTACGCCGTGCATTTAGGTTTTATTTTAACAAGCACCTCTTCGTTCTATTCTAATAGTTAGAACCCATATTCCTTGCCACATTTCAATTTCTACCGAATTTTTTCTGTCGTCATTATAATCGGTTCAGTTCCTCAGTGATGTCTTATATTTAAAATCAAATATAGCCGAGATAACTTGTTTTTTGTTGTGGAATGTAGCGAATAAATTAAAGTTGTGATTGGATGTTTTTTAAAAAAAACACAGTGTCAGCCGAAAGATCTAAGCGTTGTTTGTTCACTCTTGCCGTTGTATATATATATATATATATATATATATATATATACTGATCTAGGACATGTTGCCAGGTGCAGGCTACTTGGTTGCGGTACGAGCGACTATCGTTAGAAATAGTTGGAGACTCTGATTGACATGACCGAGATTTAATGATTTTATTTCTGAATTGGGAAAATGACTTTAGTTCCGCGTTGAAATCAATGTTAGTTCTTTTTTTAAAGAAAACCAATGACTGCATCGTTAACTGAAACTTTGACTTAAAAAATATATTTATTTATAACTGAAAACTGAGTTATAACTCGAACCAGATAGTTTTAAGGGTACAGAAACTTGTAAATTGCCATCATTACTATTGTTATCTCCTCGTTGTCAATATAGTATCCGGGAAGTGAGGGTAAAAAAGACTGGTATAAATAAAGTTTATTGCTTTTTCAAAATGCATTACCAAAATTAGTTGGTATTAGGCCAAAACACACACATGATAATACCATAATAGACGGAGAAATACTTAGGGTTTCTTCCCAAACACATTGAATTTAGTTCATTTGAATGGATACAGGAAATATAAATGCTACATTAAACAGTAGTTCGCATCTGTGTCTCCGGGTCAAATTCATACTGAATCAGTACCGAAAAAATTGACTTGAAATTATATCACCTTTTCATCTTCCCATATCAGATATATCATTATAGTATTTGATATGCGGTATTACTAGAACATCATTACCCTAAGAAATTAACATTACTTATAGCATCATAAACATAACAGAATAATCTATATGTTATGGGATTTAACAGTTGATAATTAACACTTTTTTTACTAGGAGCATTGAAACGTCCTATTTTTAAATGATATATGTAGCAAAGAGTGCTTCCATGTTTTTAAAAAAAAAGTGGTTTTGGGCGACCTATGCTCCTCCACGAGGGGTAACAGGTGTAAGTAGATAAATCTTGAAAGAAGAAAATGAAAGTAGTAAACACGGAACAATAATAGGCCTGTCGTTATCAATATGTTTGATGGTTTTATAACCTACTGATTACGATATCTCTTATATGATCTAACTAACTGTTCTGTATACATTCTTACGATGACGATGTGAATAATACAATGATGATATAGTTTAAGGTGAACAAGAAAGTTGCATTAGAGTCAATCGATACAATATCAACCTGAAGAGAATTTTGATAAGTTCACTCAACGATAACAGTGATGAAATATATTATAAGTCCCTATAATTTCACTAGTATAGTAAGAAACAGTGGTGTATATGTGTGTACTGATGAAGAGCTTCAAATTGGTATGTAACAACTTTTCATTGCTTCCTAGTTTTCTGATTGATATATATATATATATATATATATATATATATATATCAGTTCATGCGAAAAATAACCTTAATATTTTTTATATAGTTGAGATCATTAGTCAATTGAAGCTAGACCACCATGGAAAACCAGGAAGCTCACTAGTGACTGGCTCCATGAGGTAATTCCTGTAGTTCTAGTGAGAAGTCGTGACCAGTGGAGCTAATCCATGTCAGGTAGAGACAGGTATCTACAGCAGTACAATGGAAGTTGGTCGCGCAAATTCGTGGATTGGTTAAGGTTAGACATTAACACCGTTTGATGCCGGCCCAGTGGTCTATCGGTTAAATGTTCTGTTGTGAGACTAGTAGGTCCTGGGTTCGAAACTCGTGATTCGAGATCATGGATGCGCACTGCCACTGAGGAGTCCCACAATAGGATGAAACAGCTGTCTAGTACCTCCAGTTTTTCCGTGGTGGTCTAGCTTCAATTGACTCATGATCTCAACTGTATAAAAATTACTAAAATCTCCACGAAATCCCCTTAAGATTTGCTACAATTGTGTTGTATCTGATTCGAACCCATGTTTAATCCCTTATATTTAGATTGTATATATTTTCTCAGTATCTATGTCACAATGATAATACTAATTATTAATACTTCATGATTATTCATTATATCAACCATTCTTTATTTATTACGAAATATTTTGCTTTTAGACCAATTGAATGAAACGAAATTGAAACTTGAACGACTTGAACAAACACAATATGATATCATTGAACAAATAAATAATGTTAATTACCAAGGTTCACTAATACCGCCGCCTCCATCAACACAACCGTCTAACATTGTTACAATGACAGAATCTAATACGAATTTAGAACATTGGGAAATTAAATCTATTGAATTGTCTAATCAGATAATTTCACAATGTAAGTCTTTTTATTTTATTTTGTTATATTTCTCCCTAGAATTCTAATGGTATGAGATTGTATTTATATAGTAATTTATGTTTGTATGTATGTATGCATTCTCAGTCTGTTACATAAACCTGATAATCCATCACATTCCAAAATGTTCACCCGGTTTTCATAGCCTTCAACGTAGTTACAATGGTTCCGAGACAACTTAATTATATTGTCAGCTTTTGGCGTAAGCGTCTTCACATGTGTTTGAGATACTAGTCGGTGAGTGTTAAACCACATTCAAATAGTAATATTTTCATTCAGAGTTAATCCTCAACACTGATCACTTCAATTGGCGTTATCAGATCGATCATTCACGATAGCCATTATTTGTTCAGTGGGTATGAAGGAAACAACTTAGCATCTTGGACGAAGGAGTGTTTTAGTCCTAGACGCCTGATGTTGACTAGTATGGGAGTAGGTTGCAAGAAAGATAAGGGTGGAAAACTGACAAGTGACATTAGTCTATGTAGTCATTGACAATTTGACTTAAATGCATTGCTAGGTTCAAACTACCTGGTATAGGTTCACACAATCATCATGTGGTGTGGTCTACTTATATCCTCATAAGTAGTATATGGTGATGGTCAGACATGGAATGTATTTTGGCAGAAGACCGATAAGGAAAGAACTGAAATGAAGCACAATTGGTGGGAAAATGCTTAAACAATAAAATTAGAGAAAATGGATTGGTATTTACAGTAGAAATAGTGATGATTGAGACAATTGGTTGTTATTTTGCAAATTAACTGTTTGCTGTATAATAATCAGATCTTCGTAAAATACATTTTATTGTCCCCACTGTTGTTCTTGTTCACTACAATCGTAGTCAGTGGTTTGAGACCTTGAGAGTGACATGACACACAATCTATTGAAGTGGTTCAGATTTATTCATTCTTTCTTTCCATCTACATTCTAATCTTCTATCTTGTAACTGATCACCTCATGAACTCATATTTTTGTTAAATATATTATTAATGTCTAATCGTTTGTGCTACCACTAATACTTTTACTACCTCTATTACTTTGATACTTTCTGTGATAATTTCATCTCTTTATGTTGATCGGGTGTGACAAGTTGACTTGGTATATTCATGTGGCACTTTCTAAGTTGTCTCTATCCAACTGCTTTGACACCTTTTCTAACTACATTTTACCGAACCTTTTTTTATTACTCACTCGATTGTTCCATAAAACACCAGCAATATTTCAAAGTTATTTATAATTTTTATGTATAGTTGAAATCATGAGTCAATTGAAGGTAGACCACCGTAGAAAACCTGGAATCACTGGACGGTCGTTTCGTCCTATTGTGGGACTCCTCAGTGGCAGTGTGCATCCACGATCACGCCTCACGAGATTTGGACCCAGGACCTATCAATCTTGCGCCAGAGCACTCGACCGATAGACCACTGACCATATTTATAATTCATAAAACTACTAGGTACTCGGAAGTTGAATTATCATTATTTATTAACATTATAAAAACTAATTTGTATCTGTGATTACGTCATCAATTACACTAATATTTTTCTATTTTTTTCTCATTCATATACACAATAATTTGTAACCATTTTTTGTGTGTGGAATCTAATTACTACCCTTGATTGCATAGTTTAGAATTTTGATAAAATTATACGTTCCGTTTGAAAGTAAAAACGTATGTTGTTCATCAGTTTCTTTAGTTAATATAACATACATATATACATATACATATACATATGTGTATATAGTACATTTTCTCATGATTAGGTATTTTATGTATATAAAAAAAGAACAATGAACTGACTTCATTGATAAATATTACAACTGTACAAATAAACCGACAGATAGATGGTGATAGACCTTGAACGTTGGAGTTCTTAACTTTTGAAATTGATAATCGAATGCTATACTCAGTTCCTAAGCCATTCTCGTAACTTCCAAGCTAAATTTGCATAGCAACTTAAAGACGAGAGAAAAGGTGCAAACTATACAAGGAGTACTTTACTCCAAAGGTTCATTTATGTATAGAAAATATACAGTTTTTATATTATTTTAGAAGTCTTTGAGTTTTTCTGAAAATTCTAGAATACCACTACTAAACATAGTAGTAGTGTAGTAATCAACTAATTAGAAACTATATATGCGACTTTTCACTTTCGTGATATTTTTAGCAAAACTTCTAATCAAACACTGATTGAATAAAATGACTCTCAATGTTTTCTTAACCTTTCTTGACTATTGCGAGAAATTTTCTAGATTACCCCAACAGAAATAGTAATACCAAAATGGTTCTCGAGTGAAAGCCTGAATTTGATTTATCCATATGTATTAATGTTTAGTAACTCGATTAATACTTATAATGATGCCTATGATTGTTTAGCTCATAAAATGACAATGTGAGTACGGTTGATAGTAGTAATCAAATCAATAAAATGTATAACTTCACTTGGTTCACTACTCTCATTATTTTATAGTTAAGATCATGAGTCAATTGAAGCTAGACCACTGTGGAAAACCTGGAAGCACTGGACGGCCGTTTCGTCCTATTATGGGACTCCACAGCAGTGCGCATCCACGAACCCGCTCTCGCGAGATTCGAACCCAGGACCTACCAGTCTCGAGCCAGAGCCCTTAACCGCTAGACCACTGAGCTGGCATCCAACGGTGTTAATGTCTAACCTAAACCAATCCACGAAATTGCGCAACCAACTTCCAATGTACTGAGGTAGATACCTGTCTCTACCTGACATGGATTAGCTCCACTGGCCACGGCTTCTCACTAGAACTCCAGGAATTACCTCAAGGAGCCAGTCACTAGTGAGCACATGATCATTATCACAAGGGGGGTTTTGTGGAGATTTAGTAATTTTATAGTTAAGATCATGAGTCAATTGAAGCTAGACCACCGTGGAAAACCTGGTTTTCCACGTTTTCCACGGTGGTCTAGCTTCAATTGACTCATGATCTTAACTATAAAATTACTAAATCTCCACAAAACCCCCCTTGTGATAACTCTCATTATTATTGTGATGTTAATGAAAATAAATTTTTTTTTAAAAAAATTACTGCAAATGATGTTTACAAACGATATGGATTAAATTTGTTGACATTGGTTAAAGATAATTGGGATTTCTCTCTAAAATTGTAAATATCTGTCAACATTATTGATCCCATTTCTCTTTTCGATTTCTTTTCATGGGATTTGTTTGTCCTTGTTGTGTCTGAATTGAAATCCGACTAGTTGTACAGATTGTTTACAATAAGTCATAAACAACATTGAACGTGACACTTGTGTGTATCAGTCCAAGTGGTCACACCCAATTAACGTAAAGAGATGAAATTGTTAGAGCAAGTACTGAAGTAATAGAGATAGTAACAGTCTTAGTGGTAGCACAAACGATCAGACATAAATAATATATTTGAGAAAAATGTGAATTCATGAGGTGATTAGTCACAAGATAGAAGATAAGAATGTAGATGGAAAGAAAGAACAAATAAATCTGAGCCACTACAATAAATTATGCGTCATGTTACTCTCAAGGTTTCTAACCACTGACTACGACAAATGTATGGAGCATTACCAGGTAGTTTCCATCCCTAGCTTTCCTCCAAGCTAGTTCTACATTAGTTTTTGCACATCGAGGTATTCAGTGGTTAGACACACCTATAACGTATCCTAACTGTTGCAATCAGTAAAGGCTCATTACCTCGTCCATTTATTTTTCATTCTTGTTTAGTACTCTGCATGTAAGCTTAGATTCATCAACTATGTAATCCTAAAATATAAAAATGATGATGTACTGACATCTATGATGGAATACTAGTAACCGAATAACATCATGTGTTTTAAAGGCTGCTTTTTACACACATAAAGTTTTTTCATCTTCCTATAGTCTTCTCCTGATAGATCTATATCATCTGCGTATTCTGAGCCAACAAGTGAGTCTCATAGGATATCGATTTCTGAAAAATCAGATGAGAATAATCTCTAGAAGAATGCCTGTGATGAACATCATATGAAACTATCAGTTCTGATGATAAGTTCTTCATAAACTCTAACTCCAACCATAGCGTTTGTGTATTTTTTGGTACGTTTTTTAGTGACAGACACTACTACAAAACCTGACAAACAGCTGTAACGCTGCCTTATGATCGAGAAATACAAATATGATTGGGAGTCAGTTTGTCTGCGTTCCAGATCTTGTTAAAGTGTGAATATTTGGTGTATACATCCACTTCTATGTTTGAAACCATCCTGGTTTTTCCTAGTTCGCTCTTCACGAACCTTAGTTAAGCGTTGAATGATTGTTGAAGGTAACATAGACACTAAATTAGTCAATCTGTTAAAAGATTTCTGTCCTTTCTTAAATACTGTAACGATCAGCGATCGAGACCAGTCCGATGGGGTTACATCCAGTTCTCAAACTCTACCTAACATCTCAGTCAGTCTAACAGCTAAAACAGGACAACCATCCTTAAAGATCTTTGAGGTCAATTCACAAGAGACTACTGCTTTTCCTTGCTTTAGATTACCTATAACCTTTTCAATCTTACTCAGAGTTAAGAAACTTGTGCCATTTCTCGAATTAAATTGATTGGTGATAGTGGGTACTTAGAGTTTATCTAGAGGTCAGTTGAACTGTTCCCTATAAATTTCTTCAAATTGATCTTGCCTTAATTAAGAGAGAATAATAGTTACTTCCTTTTCCAATGTAATCTAAATAATACGTGTCTTTTTAATGCTTGTTTCCTTGGCTAGTCCTTAGAGTTGCTCAATGTTGCTTGTCGTTGCCACCTTTTCCATCGCTTGTGCTTTTTCTGCTCATTAATATTCATGATCATAATGCGGACTTTTTGTCGGTGTACATTTATAGGACACTTTCACTTCTCATCGTGTTCCGAGCTGGATGTAGTGAGTTTCCTAACATCTATTAACTTCATAGGCGCTACACAAATCCACTGGTGTTTCGTAATCTTTCGGTGACAATAACCCGTAGATATCACTACTGTTTCCACTGTTAGATATCATGCCAACTCAAGCGAGGGCAAAAAATTACTTTGAAACTTGACCAACTGCTTCTCTAGTTGTTCCTAAAATATACTCTTGACATTTTCGTCATCTGGTTTGGAGTGAGTGACAGTCGTATTATTTAACCTGTTCAACTATGAATGGTGGAGTTATGGTCTGCTCGCATCTTATTTGACATATTTTGAACATTGAAAGTTCTAACCTGTAGTATACAGCCCGATATCAAGAGACCAGGAATAGCATTTCGTGGTTTGAAATCATTAGCATTGGTTGATGAGGTGGTGAATCCTCGTCGACTTAAGTGGTGACATGAGCATATTTTGTAAATATGTCTAGCTTTTATCTTTTAATCATTATAGTGCTGTTATCCGAATTGTATACACAGTAGATGTTAGATCAAATAACCAAGTAATAGATGAGGTTGGAAGAACAGCATTTACTTTTTATTTTAACTGTAGCATATATAATACTCTATGCAATGTGATATTAGATTTCTTTCTCTTATAGATCATACTTGGTCGCCGATTATATTCTCTTCTCTCTCTCTCTTTTTTTTTTTACAAAAAAACATTTCAGTACGAACTGTTCAAGGAGACTTTTCACGTCGTTATTCAAAAATTTCTGAAAATATGAATAAAATTTTATCCAATGTACAAGATCCAAATCATTCAATCAAATCAAATATGTTACATAATTTAGAATCACGTATTAATACATTGCCAACTATAACATCAGATTGTGTTAGACGTGTACTACATGAAGAATTATTAAGAGTATTTTCAAATAGTAAGTAGTATTAATGTTTGTTTTTCTCTCAATTGGATACTTATTTCTTCATAGTTGAAAGCATGAGTCAATTGAAGTTAGACCACCATGGAAAACCTGGAAACAGTGTACGGCCGTTTCGTCCTATTGTGGGACTTCTCAGCAATGCTCATCCACGATCTCGCCTCATGAGATTCGAACCCAGGACTTATCAGTCGCTCACGCGAAAGCTTATTCACTAGAGTCCCGCAATTGGACGAAACGACCGTCCACTGCTCTTGAAGTCAGTCACTAGTGAGCTTATGTTGATTAATATCAGAAGGGGTCGTCTAGTGCTTCCAGATTCCCCATGGTGATTTAGCTTCAATTGACTCGCGATTTCAACTATATAAAATTACTAAAATCTCCACAAAACCCCTTAAGATAATAATCACATGCTCACTAGTGACTGGCTCCATGAGGTTTCAGTGAAAGTATTGACCAGTGGAGTTCAACCAGGTCTGTTATGAGATATCAACTCACTGAAGATAATGGTGTAAGGTTGCTCAATTTCGTCAAGTACTTGAAGTTAGACATTAACACCGTTGGATACCGGCTCAGTGGTTTAGTGGTTAAGCGCTCGCCCGCGAGACTGATAGGTCCTGGGTTCGAATCTCGCGAGGCGGGATCTTGGATGCGCACTTCTGAGGAGTCCCACAATAAGACGAAACGGTCGTCCAATGCTTCCAGGTTTTCCATGGTGGTCTAGCTTCAATTGATTCATGATTTCAACTATATAAAATTTATATTTTTGTTACAACAAGCAGAATTGAATACTCATTGAAAGCTGTTTGACCCTCATATTTAATCGTTATTTGATTAATAATCTATAATCATGTTAAGTCAGTTGAATATTTTATATATAGACAATAGTTACTATGTTACCTAGATTATTCAAATATGTATTTCGTATCTCGAAGTTACATTGTTTACCATTGAAACTGTAACAGTTTTCGTTATATTTTCTCAATCCATTTTTATCTGTAACTGATTGAACTTCAGTCTACATATAGAAGACCTAAACTAACAATATTTCTTATTTACTTATTTCTATGACATTGATCGTGGCTGCTACCTTGTACACAGTGGTTAGACTTGTGTGTTATAATAACGCATTCAATCTATTTTGGCTGGAACACTTGTTTCTTTAAATCCTACGACACCTGATAAGTTGATTAGAGGACAATTAGACTAAAAATTTCAAACTCATAGTCTGAAATCGAAGCCAAAATGCTGACTGTACTAAGGAATATAATGGCATCAAAGTGTTTTCTCCAGACAGCAAGAATCTTCCCTGATGCTTCCTTCTCATAGCTGAAAGGGGAGGGGTTAGACATGGATGACTTCAAAAATACTTCACCTAGCCCTCGCAAATATATGTATATATATGACTATGGTACCTATCTGTAGGTGCTAAAAAAACAGTCCATTGTTATGTCTGTTATTTTTCCTTATCTTACAGCTGACTTTTCATCGTTACCATTATGTTACTTTTTTTGGTTAATTAGATTTATCGCGAGTTGTTGAACCATTGCAACAATCTCTATTTAGTGTGTTAAAAGATCATTTATCTACATTACCAACAATGTTAGCAGATAATGTTCAACGTACTTTACGTGAAAAGGTGAGACTTTAACTAATAAATTAATTAATCAATCATTCAGAAGTATTAATTCTTTGTAACATGATATGTGTATTAGTACTCATAATATTCAATTTATATGTTGGTTTTATTTATTTAAACACATAAATATTGGTACAAGGAAGCACTAGATATATATGCGCCATACAAATCTCATTCGATTTGTGTAAGGACTGTGATACTGCCCAGATACACAAACTGAAGCAAGTGATTTTCTTAGGAGGCCACACCCCGAGCCTTTGACCGAAAGGTCTAACCCACAAAGCAGTGGAGCATCGTGAGGAGATGCAGTCCCATGGAAGCTGGTGACCAACAATTGGTTCATACGCCATTTGTTCCCTCAGGATACTTAAGCCCATGTGCACCATTGGTTTGGAATCAGGGTTTTCCAACTCTCCTAGGTGGATTTTGCGTGTCCACCAACCCGGTTAAAGCGCCGGACATTCGCTTTCGTCCTCTCAATTTTGTAAAGAATACTCACACCACGAGAAGGCAGTGAGTAGGACTTTTGTGGCAGAGGCTATATACGCGTGGTCATGTGAGATCATTTGGAGAGGGAGAGCGGACTCTCCTCACTTTCGGCCGTACCAGGGTATTTGGGGGCTATATGTATGTACAATTTCATTATACTATGATTAGCGATGATTACCGATAGTCCACACATTTACACCAAATTTCATTGTGCTATTAATATTAAAACTTTCTCGTCGAATTTAAGCTATTCTTCGTGTATGAATAGAGGTATTATGTCAGTTATTACTTTTTGCTCTACCGTACTGTGAAAGAATATTTCTTGATGTATTTAAAAATGAAAATGGATTAGGAGTAGTGTTTTTGAAATTCTGGGACTCTGACCTCCACTGCTCAAGTAACAGCTGTTTGAGCTCAGACACATACAACCTTCTTTTGAATAGTTTTTAGTGTTTTAGCTCCGTACTCCTATGACCTTATCATCGAGGACATAAATCCATACCCAAGATGAGATTTTCTGTTTTTAAGCCTCACCTATTTTAAACTCTTACTTTCCTGTAAGTATAAATCATCACTGCAAATGTGTGTTCTTTAGAGACAACAACTTACTATTCATTAATGCGACTTCGTCTTTGACATTTAAGTTGCTACTTTTAGTTGTACAACTCTTTAACCAACCTCCTTGATCTGATAGAGCCTAAAGAGATGAGTGTCCTGGCCAAGATAGCTCGATTAATTCATTCCAACATCAAGCTAGCAGCTATGATTATGTAAAAACCTTACTGGTTTTAAACACATTGGTACCATAATGGTATTCGATCAATAATAAAATTGCTATGGTTTTTTTAATCTCATTTAATGTGTCTTAATACCATACATCAAACAATATCCTCGTACATTCCAGTATACAACACTCATCTACTAAATGAATGTAGAAATGGTGAAAGTTGCTCAATACGGTATAATTATTGAGCAGTGAAAATCTTGTGGACAATCTCAGCCTAATTAAGCAACATGGAATTCTGAATATACAAACTAACTAATCGAAAACTGATTGCCTAACATCTTTTTGTCCACAATTGGACTGAGCCATGCTGGTAGGTGTAGACTACCTGGTTGGGATTCGCGAGATGATAGCAATCAATGGTTAGAAACCTTGAATGACATGGCTCAAAATCGTTTGCAATGGCGAAGGTGCATCCATTCTTTGTATTCTACCAAATTCTAACCTTCTGAATTCTTCGTGTCCCTATCCTTTTTCTTTTTTCAAATTTATTTCACTGTATTATACTCCTTGAATAACATCTTCAAACCTTTATCTTTCACATAATGCTTATACTCTTACTACCTCTGCCACTATGAGATTTGAATCGACAACTTCATCTGTGTGTTAATGTGGTATGACAACTCGAACTGATGTACGTAGGTACGTACGAAGTTCTACGTTGTGACTAATTATCATTATATATAAATTTATATTTGAAATTATGTATCTTTGTAACAATTAATTTGTTTGTTTCTATGTATATATATATACATTTCAGAATTTCACTACACAAATTGTACGATCTGCATCTGGAATATTGTCCTCAGAACTGTCTAATGCTTATCGCGATTCACTGAATAAAATTTTTGTTCCAGCTTTAGAAAAATCCATTCAGAAATTATTCACAGATCTTAATAATCTTTTTCAACTTGGTACACAACAATGTATGTTCTATTCAGAACCTTTTTGTAAACAGTTTTTTATTATGTAGAGAATTTTATTAAGGGTATACATCTTTATTCACTGAAGAACAGTTTAACTTGTTTTTTTAATGAATTGGTTATTCATAATGATTAGCGTAGAGTCTGGTGAAATTATCAGATCGTCCTATAAACTCGATCTGCAACAACGGCTGTATGTCGAAAGTTGAGGATCTATCATTGTTTCGTGGGGGAGGGCAAAGTCGGCAAATGCAGTCTAGATACTAACCCCGATTCTTCTGAAAAAAAGGTGTTGCGATGATCCTGCAAATTCTCGCAATAGACACGACAAGCTCAGGAGACATTAAAAAGCATTTTATCCAATCAGCGTTTGATTAGAAGTTTTGCTAGAAATATCACGAAAATGAAAAGTCACATGTAGAGGTTCTGATTGGTCGATTATTACACTGCTACTATGTTTAGTAGTATTCTTGAATTTTCAGGAAAACCCAAGAACTTCTAAAATACTATAATGCCCTATATTTTCTATACATATATGAACCTTTGGAGTAAAGTGCTTCCCGTATATTTTGTTCCTTTTCTCTCGTGTTCAAGTCGCTGTGTAGTTCTAACTTGGAGGTACAAGACTAGCTTAGGAACCGAATATAGCGTTCAATCAGTAAGACGTATCACTGGTATAAATGTGTTACAGCTCAAGCTATCACGTCACATCAATACATGAAGATGAGATTAAATAGAAAAAGACTTGGAATTATATCAGTATCAATGATAGTTACAATTAAAGACTCAAGATGTAGGAATATGTTCCTCAAGGAAGAGTTGAGAAACATGCCTATATGGATGAGTACTATAACACGTGATTTAATTGGAGATTAAGGCTACAGAGATGTCAGCATTGATTATCTCATTTAGCTCTTGATTCTAACTTAAACTGAATAGAGAAATAAAAATTATTTTGGATGTGCCATTTGCCAAATAACAATACTTAGTGCTCACCTTTATGTGTATGTAACCACTGTTTACTTAGGGATCGTTCATATGGCTGACAACGTCTGACTTGGTAAACATTTTGATTATTTCTTATAAATTACTCATACATTAAACCTGCTGTACAGCTTGACGAACGAAATCCGTCTAGTATACACTGACATCAGTTCTTTGCTTTCTTTCGTTAACAGAATCTTTATTTTTACTTGCGATTCTCTAGATATTGACCAACTATTTCTCTATTTTTTATAGATTTAAATCAAATTTCATCTCGTATTCAACCTCCATCTTTTGATACTACAAATTTTACTCCATTGATGAATCAAATATCATCTGTGATAAAAGTAAGCAATGATGATCAAATAATATTTTCTAAAGTCATAAATTTGGGCTTAATAAGCCTTTTTTTTAATTAATCCAGGAATCTGAAAACAAAGTTCTAAGTAATGGGAGTCACTAAAACGACATGGGTCCTAGCGCGTCACACTCATCCTAAAGCTGATCTTTTAAGATCTTGTCATGAACTAAATCATGATATCCAGCACTAGGAGACGTTAGTATCATTTCCACAATGCTACCACCATGTTTAAACAGTCATTCCAGGGTGTTGCTTATCTAACACTCAAAGCTATTAAACATCTCAAAGAGATAAATGAATCGATATTCGTGGGACGCTATTTCCTAGATGGTTGAGTTGGGAGTTATCTGTTAACTATTGCCTTCGTTTTTGTAACACGTTTACCTTGTCAGACTCGGTGGACATTACGTGTAGATTTTGTAAGACATTTTTTGAATGGAAAAAAACCCATATTGTAACATTCGCAATTTACTATAGGGGAGATAACTGTCACAACACTGCAGTATTTCATAGTCAAGAGTCTTTTTCGAAACTGTAAGCGATTTCACTCATTCATTCAACTCTCCATCACTCTAGCTGATAGATGAATACAACTAGATTGACCGATTTACCATCTTTACTTTCAGTTCTCTACCTCCTAACGTTAACGTTCATATCTCAATCATTGCAATATACACAGAAGCAGTAATTTAAAGATATCCATAATCTGATACAAACAACTGAAACACCTTTGCTTTTAAAGACCGTTTCTCACATTCGTCACGTATTTCAAAGGTTATTATTGTACATTATATCCGCTTTTTGATAAACAAAGTGATATCACCCTCTTGCATTATTAGTTTCTTATGTTTCCATATGGATAAGTTATCAATTCATCAGGTCCTATAAAATGCTAAATATAATTAAAATATTCAGTACACTTCATTCATTTTGTATTGTTTGTTTCAATCTTCCTATTGATGCTTAGGACTGCAATTGATCAGTCTCTTATCGAATCGCAGAGTGAACATCAACACTGGAATCCAAGTACATCCAGCTGACGAGTCCTAAATAGGACGAAACGCGCGTCCTGGATATGGGATCTAATTTTTCCCGACAATTATACTACTAGAACTATAAACGCGATACTGGCGACCCCAGAGTCTGTGTGAAAGCTATAGTTAGAACAAGGACAACTTGGTTTTAAACATTATCTGTTTCTAAACGTAAAAATAACAATTTGATTAGTACAATAATTAAAGGAACTATAGCCATTAAGTGAAACGCACAAACGTACCGACTAGTATTGTGTTTCTTATCAAAATGAAAAGATAATTATAAGTCACACTAATAGAATAGAATAATAAAATCGTTTAATTGGCAGGTCGCATGTAATAGGGATGGTCTATTGATAAATCAGACCAGATTGACATGATGGACGTCTAGGGAACGGTTTAATTGGTTAGTTATGGACACAACTAACGCTCCCCAAAATGCCCTGGTACGGCCGAAAATGGGGAGAGTCCGCTCTCCCTCTCCAAATGCTCTCACATGACCACGCGCATACAGCCAGTACCAGGGAAGTCCTACTCACTGCCTTCTCGTGGCGGGGGTGTTCTTCACAAAATTGAGAGAACAAAAAGCGAATATCTAGCGCTTTTACCGGGTCGGTGGACACGGAAAGTACATCTAGGGGAATTGGAAAACCCTGATTCCAAACCAATGGTGCACATGGGCTCCAGTATTTTGAGGGAACAAATGACGTATGAACCAATTGTTGGTCACCGGCTTCCATGTAATTGCATCTCCTCACGATGCTCCACTGCTTTGTGGGTTAGACCTTTCGGTCAAAGGCTCGGGGTGTGGCCTCCTAAGAAAACCACCTGCTTCAGTATGGGCACCTGGGCAGTATTACAGTCCTCACACAAATCGAATGAGATTTGTATGGCGCGTATATATCTTGTGCCCTTCTGTACTAATATTCATGTGAACACGATCATAATCAATATTGTCATCGACCTGGTTTTTCTCCAATCCACTATTATCAGCGTTTTGACTAGCCCTTGTAAAATGTTGACCACTACAGAATTAATTTTTTCTTTCATTTTATATGTGTTGTTGTGTTTTCCTTTCTCCTTATTTAGTCAACTCTTACTGAATCATTGAAAGAAGTTGAAAACAAATGTGGTAATTCTTCATCTCTTAAAATAAATCCATCATCAGTTTCATGTACAACTAATACCATTGATCGTAATGATCATTATTCAGAAATAGTATATGACAATGTAAAGCATAAACAATCCAATTTAACAACATTGGATAAAACAGCTGGGAATAAAAAATCACATAATCGTCATTTAATTAAGACTGGTAATGTCAATACTCCTCATGTTAGTAACAGTGGTAGCAATAGTAATAATAATAATAATCCTAATGTAAAGAATAAAATACAAACAACCAATGAGAATCCACATCCATCGGACCTATATCCACAACAATCACTATCAACATTAACAACAACAACAACATCGTCGTCCTCGTCATTATCAATGAAGCAAGATAAATTGACTCGTTTATTTGGACAAGCTCAAGCGTTCATTCGTTCTAATCGCTTAGTCGATGCTCTGGAATTGGTAATGTTTCATTGTTTTTATATAATATAGTATAATTTGTGTACGTTAAAATCATTCGAACATTGATTATTACTTCTTAATCAATTCGTACGAAAAGTTTCAGTTCTAAAGAAGGTTAATCATAATCCAACTTTCTTTGAGATAGCGTTTTTTTTATTGTAATATCTTTCGATAAAGTGGTAAGGGTCTGAAGAAGTAAAGTTTCAGGGTTTTTTTTATATTTCAGATACGCTTGACTGACTGATGAGAGTTAACTAGCATGAAAGCTAGGTCAGATAGTGTTTCTTGTCAGTTGCCTTCAACTGTCTTAAATCTTAAAAAAAAAAATAACTCCAGACTTAAGTGATTGGACATTGTAACATATATTTTACTGGTATTCTCGAGGAGTTTACACAAATGTGGCGATGCCACTAAAGTGCTCCTGACATATAATGTTAGTCATCTTAATAGTTATCATCGATTAATGTTAATTACATCTTGATGAATGTTTCAATAATAAAATATCGAATGAAATTTAACTTACTATTTTGTTGAAATCAAGAATTAATCAAAGTTACTCTACTAATGAGAAACTGGATCCACTCGTGATTTCAATAAAAATTCAACAATCTCGACAATTTCATATGGAGTATTATTTCGTACAAGTAAAGTGACAAACCTGTATCATAATGACGACTTTCCATCAGCTTTAAGGTAAGGCCTATTGAACTTGTGGTTAAACAAAGTATATCATTTTCAAATAATAATTACAAAGTTATTACAAAAAACGATTAGTGGATTAATATACGGAATATAAATTATAAACAATGGAAAATATACTGGATGTTACTGAAATTGTCAGAAGTCAGTCAACTACAACGTAGGACCAAGCACATTTATTTCTTCGGTCCAAATCGCCATACCTCATCAGCACAACAAGATGAACACCGGATTCATAGAAGTAGTTAATTTAGTGGTGGTAGTTTATAAAAGATAGGTTGTATATAAGGATATATTATAGGAAGGAGGGAAGTTATGAAGCAACTTCAATCTCAAGGTTTAAGGGAAGATAAAGAGTGTATACACCTACGCCATTGTGATCGATTCTGAGCCATGTCATCCACAGTCTGCAACCATTGGTTACGACAGTCACGCGGACTCCCCCCCAACTGTCAGAAGTAGGTGTGTTCAAGTTTCTTTTGATCTTGTAATCCACAATTATAAGTAGTTAGTAATTCCAACTATAATTACCATAATCCCCTATATATATCCATGTAAAGCATGTCATAAGGATATCGCTATAACCTGTAAACGTAGACAGCAACTAAATCAGAGTTCTGTTAACATGACAGAAGTAAATGTGTGCAGCAATGTATTTGTCAGCGATAATCAATGTGTTATGCAAGAAGAGGGGGTTCAAAACCAGAACAGAAGGTTAAATTACTTCATAACTAAATTCTTGCTTTCTGATTGACTAATGATAAACTTCTATTAATTGTCTATCAGATTATTAGGGTTTAAATAAATTTTAAAATACTGAATGGTTATTTATTTATTTAAACGCATAAATATTGGTACAAGGAAGCACCAGATACATATGTGCCGCACAAATCTCATTTGATTTGTGTGAGGACTGGGATACTGCCCAGGTGCACAAACTGAAGCAGGTAGTTTTCTGAGGGGGCCAAGCCCGGAGCCTTTGACCTAAAGGTCTGATCCACAAAGCAGTGGAGCATCGTAAGGAGATGCAGTCCCATGGTAGTCGGTGACCAACAATTGGTTCATACGCCATTTGTTCCCTCAGGATTCTGGAGCCCATGTGCACCATTGGTTTGAAATCAGGGTTTTCCAACTCCCCTAAGTGGACTTTCTGAGAGGGAGAGTGAACTCTCTCCACTCTTGTCCGCACTAGCGCATTTGGGGACTAAGTACTAAATACTGAACAAAATTTGTATAAATTAAATATCATAAGTTACATAAGTTACTATATTGTTGATTAAGATAATGAGTAGAAACATTCAGGGCTTAAATTTAAAAATTACGAATATGAATAATTATAATCGTGTACAAAGTATTTATATGATATTTTAAAAAAGGAAAAAATTTTCTTTACTTTGCTATGTCCTCCTCATGACCTCAGATTTACTTATGATAAAAGGTAATAGTTAACTTGTTTACTTATTGATTATTCCTGTGAGATCGCCTGTAGGATAATTGATACAGTGATCAATAAACAGTTATCACGACTATTCGAGTGAGAACTCCCTATTGGTTGTTAAGCTATTTCCAAACTCTATTGTCTAGTCAAAAGAGGGAATTGGATAACAGATCTCGGTTAAGTGCTCTGGCGCGAGACTGCTAGGTACTGGGTTCGAGTCATGCGAGGTAGGATCGTGGATGTGCACTACTGAGGAGTCCCATAATAGGACGAAACGGCCTTCCTGTGCTTCCAGGTTTTCTATGGTGGTCTAGCTTTAATGGACTCGTGATTTCAACCAGGAAAAATACTGAAATCTTCACAAACCCCTTCTGAATACAGATATCTTGTCTGTTGTACTTTATTTATTCATAACTTAAGATGAATACAATAATTTACTTGAAATGACTGACTACATATCAACATACAAAAAGAAAGGAAATTATAATGCATGCAAAATTTATTTATAAACGATTTCAAAAATGAAATATTAAAGGAGTAATTGATCAATTAATAATGTTGGGGCGATCCTGAAAATTACTCGCAAGACATATGACAAACTCAGGAAACATTAAGAAGCATTTTTTTTGTCCAATCAGCGTTTCAGTAGGAGTTTTGTTAGAAATATCACGAAAATGAAAAGTCACATGTAGAGGTTCTGATTGACTGATTACTACACTGCTACTATGTTGAGTAGCATTCTAGAATTTTCAGGAAAACCCAAGAACTTCTAAAATACTATAAAGACCCTATATTTTCTATACATAAATGAACCTTTGGAGTAAAGTGCTTCCCGCATATTTTTCACCTTTTCTCTCGTGTTCATGTCTCAGTGTAGTTCTAGCTTGAGGGTTACGAGACTAGCTTAGGAACCGAGTATAGCGTTCAGTCAAAAAGACTCATCAAATAATAAGTCTTAAACAGTAAAACATAACAAAGTTTATCTTGGTCGAACAAATGCTTTCAAATAGGGAAATATAGAAAATATTTATGAGAGTTCAGCATTCCTCATTTATACTCCTCTATGTGCCAATAAGGATGATGAAAATAATAAACCATATTTTTTAGATCATGTGTTTGGTTGAACAACGAATTCTAACTGCGCATTTATTGTAAATCATTCTTCATGTTGTGTGTACGTGTGTGTGCTTGTAATCAATTTTAAAATTTCATATTTAAGTACTTCCTTTCTATATAGAGCAATAGTGAATGAAAGTGTTAGCCCTGAGCTTAGAACCTAAGATTGGTCTGATATAATAGAGTAAGTGTGATCGACCCTGTCTCTGCGACCGCCTAAGTTAGCTAGCATATTTGCCTCTACTATCCAGCAGCACCACGAGGAGGCTTTAAGTCGGATTTTGCTGCCATATAGAGTGATAACATGTTTTTAATTTTAGTTAATTATTAGTGTAAGAAGCCGTTGTGTGTTGCTTTTATGGCTGAGGAAATAGTTTTTATAAATATTATTATTTCAATATTCAAAATGTGATAGATTGATTCCTAATACCCTATATATGTATAGGGTAATTATTGAAAACCAAAAGTCACTGGAAAACTATTTCTTGCTTACATGAGAGTATTGCTTAATAATTACACTTCCACGGCCTCACTAGAGATTGAACCCAGGACCTTCATATTTCGCATCAAATGCTATATTCCGAATCACTGAGCTCTCATTCAGTGGTTTTTTAATACTATTCATTCCTCCATGGTTTTCAGTGTTTTTTTTTATTTAACTAAAGTCACTTCGTGATATGAATCTTTGATTTTAACAATTTCTACAACACGCTATAATGCTTATCGTTAGTAGTTGAAAATCGGAATGTCTCAAAAAATAACATACCAGATTGTATGAGATGACACATATTCATATCATACGACTTGTATCCGTTTTTTACAAGATCGAAAATATATCTTGTTAACATGTGACAAATCAGCATGGTAAACTCAAGTTGACCAAATGATCTCTGCTAATTTAGATAATATCATATGTGATGATGCAAAGGTTAACAGAACTATGTTTGATATGCCCATTAGATTTCAAGTAAATTAACTGATGACACATGAACTTATTGATATATGTAAATTTTATAAATAAAAATGTCTAATTACACAAACAAAGATAATAATTGTAAGCAAAGATGGATAGTGGCTAGCAGTGGAATCCAGTTTGACGCGCGTTTCATCCTATTTGGGACTCGTCAGTTGGATGTACCTGTATTTCAGAGTTGATTTTCACTCTGGGACTCGAACACAGTACCTTTCGCTTCAAACTCCATCGCGTTATCCACTCGGCCACTGAGTCCTGATAGTCACTTGCTTGTGCGATGTGGTGAAGTTAAAATACATAATAATTGAAAAAAACACGATATAATTAACATTATTCTGAATATTGAAGGTTAAGCGACATTACTAGAGTTGGGCTTGGTGTAAGTACAAACAGAATGGATTTAAATCATAGTATTACTAGAAGGTTCCAATGAATCGATGTTTTAACCCTGATCAATTTTAAAACCCGTTTTAACTGTATTTGGCAATCAAGAAAAAGGAATGTTTATCATCTGATCATTATTGTTAAACCTAACTAATTTTTTTCTTGTTGTCTCTAACTCCCAAACACTAGAAAGTAGATAAAATCCATTTAGATGTTTTGTATTATTTAAAAAATGATGTTAAGATTCACGATATTGATGTTGGTTTGTTCTCTGAGCTGGGTGGTTTGGTCGTGGAGCTTTCATCGTCCTTCTGAACGACATCATCAGCACAAACTTCGGGTTGACTTCAACCCACGACCAAACCATCAAGCTCAGAGAACAAACCAACATCAAAATCACCCACCTGAGCTACAAATCTTCACCATCTCAGATTCACGCTATCCTCATCACTTCTACACATCAATAAAAGTGAGAAGATTGTGAAATGATTACAATAAACCATATACATAATAGGTATATTTATATCTGTTCTTTTGATCTGACAATATGATATAGGCTGTGATATTCAGTTAGTGCGTAATTAAGCTTCTTCAATAGTGTGTATCATTTATAATCTCTTATTCACCTTTTGACTTTGAGATAGAATGTGAAAATAGACACATAATATGTCTAGACTCATCCATTGTCAGATAAACTTAGTGAATATACTTATCATTATTATTATTATTATTTAATCACATACATATTGGTACAAAGGGCACCCGATACATATGCGCCACACAAAATAATGAGAATAGGAGGAGAAAGGGGAAGATGCGTATATGTAAAAGAAGGAAAAAAAGAAGAGTAATGATGGAGGGACCGAAATGTACAACCAGAAGAATTCTCTCAGTTAAGAAAGTTTTAACCACTCTTTATGAAGAAAGTAAAAGAAGGTTGCAGCAGGATCGCCACTGGCTTCTATTCTGAGCCATATCTGATAACGTCTCTAGCCACTGTGTTGCACCATCTCTCGTACCCCATCCAGGGAGTCGTGAAGGACCAACAGAAGCTATCCCTTTACAGCTTTCTTTCATGCCACGACACCATGTCATACATTGACCACCTTTCCGCTTTTTCCAACCAGTCCCAGAGTCGGCAAATAATGCACGACGTGGAAGCTGAACTTCTGTTATTTAGAGTTGCGAACAAATTTCCTTATCACTGGAAACACTCAACTTTACAACGTTTCAAATCTTCGCAACTGGTCGTTTCCGATTGCACCTAATCTTAATGCTTTCATCTTGGTGTGTTGATATGAGATGTGGCTAGTTGAATTACTAAACATTTGTGCCAGGTGTAGTACTTAAGTAGTATTAAAATCTGGCTCAATTTCAGGCACAGAAACCCCATTTATGAGAAAAAGAAACATGAAGCTGACACAAAAAACTCGAAACTCCGAAATAACCCTTCCCCTTCCAAAAACCGTATTTTCGACTCTATTGACATTGACTCCAAAGATAGTGATCATAGTTTATTATTATTTATTTAAACACATATATATTGGTACAAAAGGGCACCAGGTACATATGCGCCACACAAAATAATGAAAGTAGGAAGAGAAGGGATGAAAAGATAAGGCGGACTAAAATGTACAACCAGAAGACTCTTTCAAATAGGAAAGTAAGAACCATACTTTATGTAGAAAGTAAAAGAAGGTTGCAGCAGGATCGCCACTGGCTTCTATTCTGAGCCATATCTGATAACGTCTCTAGCCACTGTGTTGCACCATCTCTCGTACCCCATCCAGGGAGTCGTGAAGGACCAACAGGAGCTAGCCCTTTGCAGATTTCTTTCATGCCACGACACCATGTCATACACTGACCTCCTCTCCGCCTTTTCCAACCAGTCCCAGAGTCGGCAAATAATGCACGACGTGGGAGTCTCTGGAACGACATTCGTAAAATATGTCCAAGCCACCGAAGTCGGTGTTTCAAGATGGTGACACCAATTAGGTTGTCGTCTCTGCGTCCGAACACACGATGCCGAACCTCTGCATTACTAACATGGTGTTGCCACTGTATGTCAGCAATCCTTCGGAGACATTGATGATCGAACACAGAGAGACGTCTAACATCCTCAACTCGGAGAGACCAGGTTTCACAAGCATAGAGCAAAACTGCTCTCACCGACGCGTTGTAGATCCGACCTTTCACAGCCAGACTAACATCATGAAGGCGCCAAAGATGGCCCAGATTGGCATAAACATAGGCATATATTTGGATTACAATGATAGATTTAGATCCTTAGTACTGAAATTTACTTCTGTTGCTGCAATTGTTTTGTGAAATATTGAGCATTTAATTCAGGATTTTTACAAACTTCACTACAGTCACTCACTGTCTGTTAATCAAATATGTATTTGAATTTCTTATAATTGCAATAAACCACGCAATAGATGTTTTGAAGCTCAAACCCTTTATACATTTAGTTATACACACGCGATTGTAGGACTAGTAAGAATACGTTGAGACTTTAATCGAAAGATCACAGGTTTAAACCTCATTTCACTCATTTTGATTGGCTCGTAAATGTATAATCACCCTCATACATAAACAGTGTATATATACCTGCTAATCAGAAAACATTCGACTGTCCTGGACTCGATCACTGGAGCGTTTGTGGTTACGCAACACTGAGAAGTCCCATATAAGTAAGAAACAGCTGTCCAGTGTTGTATAGGGTTTGACGATGGCCTTAAGTCAGTCCGTGATGTAAATTACTAAATTCAGGCATCTTCACAAACCGCCCTACACTATTGTACTCACATCATTGTTTACATTCCCATTAACTGTATTATATCTTTAGTTATTTGAAACAAATGTTTATTATACTATTCATAATATTATACAGTGTCACTTTTCAGTATTCTGTTTGCTTTACAGTCATATAATAGTAGCCACTAGGTTGAATGGGAGCTTATAATAAGAGAAATATGAATATACATATAACATAGTTACTTAATAGTCATACAATAAGAATATAATATATATAATGACAGTCCACAAATAGATCCTAGCAGATACCATTCACTTATTCTTCCTCCGTATATAACAATAATGAAATCGTTTTAGTAGAATGTATGAATAACACTTAATTTAGGAGGTCTGGAGAAAAATAAAAGCTGAATAACATTTGTACTAGTTTAAGTGTCATGTCTTTCGTAGATTGTGACTATCATGCTTGATATGTCAACCTACGGACAAATCTCATTACTTATATTCAAAGATTTTTATCCACGAATATCTAATACATCTTTGGTCGACTGCTAACACTAGCCTTTTTTAAAACATGTCTCCATGCGTAATCATTACTAAACATCACAAGAGATGGTGTATGCTTTTGTGATGAGCCCTTTCTCATCTATTAGGGGAGTATATTTTACAATTTACTTAGACGGTCAAAGCAAAATATTAACTAGTTCATTTAAACATCGAGACTGATATTAATATTAATACAGTCATTCATTCTTAATACCGACATACTCATCTCAAGTTAGTAACTTTTATAAAGTTTAGTCAACTAGATGTTTATTTTCATTGGAATACTTTTGAGAACGTAAAACACTAGATGTTTTTTTTTATTTTTATCAGTTTGGATCTCTGTTAATCCTCATCCACCATATTGTCTAAAGGAATCAAACTCGAGATTTTTATGTTTCATAACAAACGTGACTCCTTAATTGTAATATAAAAGTTCATATTTTCAGCTTGTAACAACGCGACGGCATTCAGTATTGTTTGTTTGAATCTTCCCATCGATGAGTTAGGACTGCAACTGGTCAGTCTCTAATTGGCATATGTGCATACTGTGCGTATTGCCTCGATATAGCCTTTATTCACAAGCATGGTAAGCAAAGATAGATAGTGGCTAGTAGTGAAATCCAGGACAAGGCGCGTTTCGTCCCATTTGGGACTCGTCAGATGGATGTACCTGTATCTCAGAGTTGATGTTCACTCTGGGACTCGAACCCAGTACCCTCGCTCCAAACGCCATCGCGTTATCCACTCGGTCATTGAGTCATGATAGCCACTTGCTTGTGCGATAGGGTGATGGCGTTTGAAGCGAGGGTACTGGGTTCGAGTCCCGGAGTGAACACCAACTCTGAGATGCAGGCACATCCATCTCTGATTACATAGCGACGTTATCTCTTACAATCACTGTCTTCTGGAATATTTGAACTTTATTGATCACAGGCAGTTACACTTCGGTAATTGTCCATGAAAAAAGTTTTTTTATTGAACACATGATGATTAATTGATAAATTGTAGAGTCTGTGACAGTTGTTCTATTCGATGATATATTGTTTCATTTGATTTGATTTTAGGCTTTAGTTTCTACTGATCAACCACTTCTCTTAGATATCTGTAATGATATTGATGTGAATAAACTTTTCAGTTCTGGTGATCATACAATTGGTCAAAATATTTTATTATCTTTAATTCATCAATTAAGTTGTGGTGATTTATTTGTTCAATTGGATTTAAAACTTAAGTGAGTTTTCAAATGTGTTTATGCGTCCTATCAATTAGTTTATTTATTTGAACACATAAATATTGGTATAAAAAAAGCACCAGATACATATGCACCACACAAATCTCGTTTGATTTGTGTGAGGGCTGTGATACTGCTCAGGTGCCCAAACTGAAGCAAGTGATTTTCTTAGGGGGCCACACCCGGAGCGTTTGACCTAAAGGTCTAATCCACAAGACAGTAGAGCATCGTGAGGAAATGCAGTCTCATGGTAGCCGATAACCAACGACTGATTCATATGCCATTCGTCCTCTCAATTTCGTAAACAACACCCTGATTGAGAGAAGGCAGTAAGTAGGACTTTTGAGGCAGAGGCTATATACGCGTGGCCGTATGAGAGCATTTCGAGAGGGAGAGCTGACTCTCCCCACTCTGGGCCGTACGAGGGCCTTTGGGGGCCATCAGTTAGTATAATTTATTGATGGTAATAATAATAATTATTATTGTTATTATTAGCCTTATTCAATATTATATTTTTGGTACAATATAGAATTCTTAGCACAAAGTACTTCAACAAGTTTCCGTTTCTTACTTCATCGTCCTTCCTGACGATAAATATTGAGTGATCGCCAGTTAGAAGTTAGCAACCCAGTCAATCGATATCTGGATAATGTACATTCTTCTCGCTGCATATTGCCAGCAACCACGGTATCTCTGATTAAGCCTTCTGTAACCTTTACAGCGAAAGGTCTTACACTTTTCAGAAACGCACCTGAATAGGTTATGTGATTAATAGGCATTATGATGCATTAAAACAAACGAAATTAGATAACTTGTTGAAATATCTAGATGACAGGAACAGGTGGCCCAGATGTTTAAACAGGCCGCCATGTATATGATAATGTTGAGTTATTTTAAGATTGCCGAATGTTTATTTCCTCACAGTTGGATATTATTTCGGTTTAATGAGCCTCAGACAGTTAATAGACACAGTACAAGTATTCTTTTTGTTCCAAGTTAATGTTCACATCATACGGTGATTAATAGAAAGAAAGGGAATCAACTGGATTGAAATCATACGAATCAGAAAAAGAAATCGGCTTTTGCCAACTTCCCCTCACTTATGAGACGCAAACGAGATATCTGTCTCTCAACTACTTTAGGGCTGTGAAACGTTAGTATTCGTAGGCCACTAGTATTTGTTCATAGATGTTTCTGAAGTCATTGTTCATGTATATTGAGGTCATCAACTTAGCTATTGTGAGGTTAAAAACACTTCTAGGTAAGGATGGCAAATTAATTAACGAGGTAGTTAATTTTTATCGACTGAGGACATATGTTAAGTCTCCTAGACCACCGATGTACTCGACGTATGATGATGTATGAGTCAGTCAGTCAGTTACAACGTAGAACTTCGTACGTACGTACATCAGTTCGAGTTGTCATACCACATTAGCACAAAGATGAGGTTGTCGATTCGAATCCCATAGTGGTAGAAGTAGTTAGGATATAAACTGTAATCGCAAAGATTAGGGTTTCAAGATGTTATTGAAGGAGTATAGTACGGTGAAATAAATTAGGAAAGAGAAAAAGGATACGGACATGAGGAATTCAGAATATTAGAATTTGGTAGAACACAAAGAGTGGATGCACCTTCGCCATTGCAAACGATTTTGAGCCATATCATTCAAGGTCTCTAACCATCGATTGCTATCATCTCGCGAATCCCAACCAGGTAGTCTACACCTACCAACATGGCCCAGTCCACTTGTCAGTGACTTCATGGATTTATGCCATGTTTTGGTCTGGCCGCCCCTAACTTTCTTCCAACCTGCTCCTACGCCATAAAGCATTGCACGTCGGGGCAAGGATTAAACTACTCATAATGTATGAGTAGTTTGAAAGGAAGCTGCGGGCTGTCGATGCATGACGTGACATCAATCTATGAAGACATTGACTGTTGGACTGTGTCACGTAGGTTGGTGGAAACCACTTGGTTGGGGTCTACATGATCATTGTAACCAATGGTTAGAAAAATTGGGTAACGTAACTTGAAACTGTTCGTAATGGCACAGATTTATTCACTCTTTGTCTTTCCATAAATTCTAAGTTTCTAGGTAATCTAATAAATATTCCTATTACCTCTAATAATGTCAGTAATATACCAGCTGTCAATTAACTTCAAGTTATTGCAGCATCGGGAGCTGACATAGTTTCAAATCACTACCTGCTTGTGGTTTCCAAGATGTAGCTGAAGTTAAAGAAACACTGAACAGCTGGAGAAACAGCACTGCAAAGGTTTGATACAGCCTTCTTTCGAGATACTAAAAAATTCAACAAATTCAAGATAACTCAACAACAGGTTTCAAGCCCTACTACATCTACTGAAAGAAGTAGTGGACAACTGGGGAGAGATTAAAGAAGCACTAACTTCAATGTTTCAACAGGTTCTGGGCCACAAGAGGCATCATCATAAGGAATAAATCTATTTCGAAACTCTGGCCAAGATTCAAGAAAGAAAGAACAAAAATACAGCAATTGATGACAGTCAACCAAGAGCAGAGAAAGCCAAGGCCCACGAAGAATATGCATAGGCAAACAAGATTGAAGAGGAACATTAGAGCCGACAAGCAGAAATACGTTGAAGACCTACACTGCGAATTCGTGCATGGAGGACCGATGTCAGACAGGGCTTCTCACTTTCTCCCTATCTCTTTCTTCTGGTGGTTGACTAAATTATAAAGACCTCCACATCTGATGGGGAAGCATGGAATACAATAGACAGTTTGAATGCAACTAGACAATTTGGACTTCGCAGATGACCTAGTTCTACCATCCCATACACACGGACAAATGAAGGTCAAGACAGCTAGTGTAGCAGCACTGTCTGCAGTGGTAAGCCTCAAAATACGCAAGGGAAAAAGCAAGATCCTCAAATACAACACGGAGAACACCAACGCAATCACACGTGATGGAAGAAGTGGAAACGTTCACGTACCTACCTAAACAGCATCATTGATGAACAAGGACGATCTGATGCAGACGTAAACGTGAGGATTTGAAAAGCAAGGACAGCATTCATTTAGTTGAAGGATGCATAGCACTCAAAACAACTGTCAACCAATATCAAAGTCACAATCTTTAATACGAACGTCAAGACAGCTCTACTGTACGGAGCTGAAATGCGGAGAACTACTACGACTATATTAAAAAAGTACAATTGTCTACGAAAAATACTGAATGTCCGTTGGCCGGATACCATCAGCAACAGCCTATAGTTGGAGGGAATAAACCAGCTTCCAAATGAAGAGGAAATTCGGCAAATACATCGGAAGTAGATCGAACGCACATTGAAGAAGTCATCAAACTGAATCACAAAGCAAGCTCTAACTTGAAGTCACAAAGGCAAAAGGAAAAAAGACCAAAAAACATTACGTCGGAAATCGGAAGCAGACATCAAAAGGGTAAATATCAAGTGGAAAAGATTGCCCATTACAAAGTTGGATAGAGAATGCTGGTGGGCGGCCTATGATCCTTTACGAGGAGTGACGGACGTACGTAAGTAAATACATTGCACCATTCAGTTTTGGGACATCTTATAATCCCAAATTCTTTTTAACGTACTCGGCGATACATCGACACATACTTTTCACTCAAAATAAAATAAATTTACATTATTCTATATCCATTGTTCTCTCTTCATCTGAATAAGTAAATACTATTCAACAATGTTCATAAATGGGGTTTTCTGTGGAGATTTTAAGTAATTTTTATATATACTTGAAATCATGAGTTAATTGAAGCTAGACCACCGTAGAAAACCCTGTTTTCTTCACAGAAACCCCCCTTATCATATGCACACTAGTGACTGGCTCCACGAGGTATTTCCTGGAGTTCTATTGAGAAGCAGTAACCAGTGGAGTTCAACCAGGTCTGTTGGGAGATAAAAACTCACTGAAGACATTGGTGAAATAGTTGCTCAACTTCGTGGATTGGTTGAAGTTAGACATTAACATAGTTCGATGCAGACCGGCTCAGTGGTCTACCGGTCAAGTGCTCTGATGCGAAACTGGTAGATTTTGGGTTCGAATCTCGCGAGCGTGGGATCGTTGATGTGCAGTGCTGAGGAGTCCCACAATAAGACGAAATGGTCGTCCAGTTCTTCCAGGGTTTTTTTTTACGGTGGTCTAGTTTCAATTGACTCATGATTCCAATTATATATTAAAATGTTCATAAATGTTTATTTTCATATCATTTATTGATTTTATTTCTTTTGAAACAGATATCTTCAAGAAGCTATTCTTTGTCTTGAATTTGATGATCCTACTACATCAGTTCATGGACCAGCAATATTACACTTACTTAATACACGTCTTGATACTTTGTTAAACTCAATAAACAATAATAATTCAACAAATAAAATTAATAACAAATTTACTAATTCATTACGTAATCGTGTTATTAAATTAAATCGTACAGTGAAATGTTTATTTAAAGAAATTTCATTATCTGATGATAAATAAAATAAAAACAATAATTATCAGTATACCGTTTAGTGTATGCTACATTATGATAATAATAATAATAATAATAATAATAATAATAATAATAATGACAACTTTCTTTCTGTTTCTTTTTTTCACCGCTTTCATTGTTACTATTCTCATCTGGTTTCGATTTTATTCTTGAGTACAGTAATACAAAAAAAAAACTACATCTTGAGGGTGGATGAAAAAGACCGGTTTCCTTTTTTAACAATTCCACGTATATATATACATAAAGAGTATCTGTACATGTCATTATTATTGTTGTTTTGGAAACATTGAAAACCAGAACTGAAGGAATTTCTAACGATTTCGAACTTTGTCAAATTCTCGTAATAATCTTCATAATTAGATTATTTGTGTACTTTGCTGTTTTTTGTTCCTTTTTTTCCTTTTCTCAAATATAACTAATCATTATTATTACTAGTTCGTATTAGATTTCTCAGTAATGTTTAAAAGCTTAATTATATACAAGATCACTTAGCTTATCAAATGATACTGTTTAAATTAGCTTCACCTACGGTCAAGGGTGTCGGTGGTTCAATAATAGAATGCTCGCCTGCCACTCGGGCGGTTCGGTTTCGATTCCCGGCCAACGCAAGCTGCTGCCTCCAAATGACCTGGTACGGCCGAGATTGGGGAGAGAATCAGCTCTCTCACATGGCCGCGCGTATATAGCCTCTGCCAGGGAAGTCCTACTCACTGCCTTCTCGCAGCACGGGTATTGTCTACAAAACTGAGAAGACGAAAAGCGAATGTCCAGCGCTTTTACCGGGTTGGTGGACACGGAAAGTCCACTTAGGGGAGTTGGAAAACCCTCATTCCAAACCAATGGTGCACATGGGCTCCAGTATCCTGAGGGAACAAATGGCGTATGAATCAATCGTTGGTCACCGACTACCATGGGACTGCATCTACTCACGATGCTCCACTGTCTTGTGGGTTAGATCTTTAGGTCAATAACTCCGGGCGTGGCGCTCTAAGAAAACCACCTGCTTCAGTTTGGGCATCTGGGCAGTATAGCAGCCCTCACACAAATTGAATGAGATTTGTGCGGCGCATATGTACCTGGTGCTTCCTTGTACCAATATTTGTGTTTAAATAAATAAGAGCGTAATTAATGCCTAAAGTTCAATAATATATGACCAGATTCTTTGTTGATGAGTTCTCCCAAAGACTTAATGTATAGGTGAATGAAATGGTTTCCAACATTTCCAGATGCTTCTGTGCATCCCTTTCTTTATATGTTTCATTTATTATGACAAATTTTAGTAACTGGACGCGAAGCTTTAAATAGCGAAATTTCACATATCTGGTTTAAGAATAAGGCTGATGTTCGGTTAAAACCGAACTAGCTCTTAAATCAATGATGGAAATTTCCTCCTTTCAATTAATCATCCTATTCACTATGGTTACTCAGAAAAGTGTTTTACGTCTTAAAATATACAATAAACATAAATATCCCTATTGCATATTATTAATGGTTTTATTTTGGATTTTCATAAATTATTTTACTGACGATTCGGGAAAAAACAAATGTTCTATTTACAGTATATACGTCGTCGTTAATATATTTATCTTATCGTTTCTGTTGCCATAAATCTGCATTACGTGAAGTCGAACAGTGACACAGTTTGATGCCGACTCAGTAGTCCAAGGGTTGTATTTATGTGCGAGGTCGACTGTCCTAGGTTCGGCCCCTACGTGAGAGACTGTGAATGCGCATCGCTGAGGCGGAGTTCGATGCTGAAACGAAACGGCCATCCAGTGCTTCCAAGTTTTCAATCGTTATCTGACTTAGATCGGTTCATGATTTCGATAAGGAAATTTTATGTTGGATTAGCTACTATGTTGAGTTTAATTCGACGTTTATACTAAGTATTATTGAGAAAGTTAGTATCCTTTAGGTTGTATTACTATAAAGCTTACGTTATTATTTTAGTAATAAAATTATCTGCTTCAAAAGGAAGTGAGCACTGATTATTGTATACAATGTCCTAAACTACTTGGCGCTGACAACATAGGTTAATACTATCTATTGTGTCAAACTGATCGTTGACCATCCTTTTGTTGTATGGGCGATCGGAAATATAATGTACCTGGCGATATCAGCTTTCTAGACATTACCTAGTATATTTACATTGTTCACCCAGATTTTTATCAGCTGATGTCATGATTGCAGGTAAACATATATTAGTATTAATTACCATATCAATACCGATAACAGTACCATGTAACCCTTACTATTCAGGGCAAGACGAGTAGGAATTGTTCCTGCACTGCCATCACCGTTTCCTATCCATTTAATCGAATGTTAGCTGCAGATTACAGTTTCTCTACGAATCCTCAACTGAATATATTTGGACTTTCATAGTTGGTTTCTCAAAATTTGTAATAACCATATAGCAAGAAAACTGGCAGGTGGACTAAACCGAAACGAGAGGCAATCTGGCGTATCTTACGGTGTCGCGGCTCAACGAACTGATAATGACGACCGTCTGCTGAAACTATGCTCAGGTGACCGTATATTTCTAGTAGGCACCAACTCAAGCCAAAAAGAAAAAAATTCCTGACGTGGAGAACCCCACAATCGACCCAAATAGACCATATTGTCATCAGCTATTGCAGAAGAAGCTCGGTGGAAAACCGCTGCTTATTCTGGAGGATATGTTTAAGCTCGAAACATGTTCTTATTCGAGCACGTATTTCTCTGCATTCTACTGGACGTAGAAAAGCCACAGCAAGAAATCAGTGGGTTTCATCAACGTCTATAAGACTGATAGGTGCACAGAAACTCATCCTATCTGGTTCAAAAGAAGATGAGGAGCGAAGGTAGCCTAAACGTAGGTTAACAAAAATCTTAGGCAATGATCATGAGCAGTGGTGGGTAGCAAAAGTAGAACAGATGGGAAAAGCAGCAGCGATAGGTAACAGTAGATAGCTAATCAGACTTATAACAGAGAAAAGTACTAAAAATCCGGCTGTTAGTTAGGCTAACTTGCAAAAATACGGGATTACTTTTCACTAACAACCCAGGAGATTGGGTCGATGAGCAGAACATTTTTAGGTAACAGTTTAACTGGCCTTCAGCCACACTTCAGTTACTCACTATCTCCAAGCAAAACAAGTGGCAAGATGATGAAAGTTCTCCAACTCTCGGCGAGCTTGAAAATCCTATAAGCAATCTATTTTATTTTTATTTATTTAAATACATATATTGGTACAAAAGGGCACCAGATACAATATACGCCACACAAAATAATGGAAGTGGGAAGAGAAGGGATGGAAAGATAAAGCGGACTCAAATGTACAACCAGAAAACTCTTTCAGTTGAGAAAGTTAGAACCACTCTTTATGTAGAAAGTAAAAGAAGGTTGCAGCAGGATCGCCACTGGCTTTTATTCTGAGCCATATCTGATAACGTCTCTAGCCTTTGTGTTGCACCATCTCTCGGACCCCATCCAGGGAGTCGTGAAGGACCAACGGAAGCTAGCCCTTTGCAGCTCTCTTTCATGCCACGACACCATGTCATACACTGACCTCCTCTCCGCCTTTTCCAACCAGTCCCAGAGTCGGCAAATAATGCACGACGTGGAAGTCTCTGGAACGACATTCGTAAAACATGTCCAAGCCACCGAAGTCGGTGTTTCAAGATGGTGACACCAATTGAATTATCGTCTCTGTGCCCGAACACACGATGCCGAACCTCTGCATTACTAACATGGTGTTGCCACTGTATGTCAGCAATCCTTCGGAGACATTGATGATCGAACACAGAGAGTCGTCTAACATCCTCAACTCGGAGAGGCCAGGTTTCACAAGCATAGAGCAAAACTGCTCTCACCGAAGCGTTGTAGATCCGACCTTTTACAGCCAGACTAACATCACGAAGGCGTCATAGTTGGCCCAGATTGGCATAAGCCGCTCTGGCTTTCCTTATACGTGCATCAATCTCATCACTCACGCCACCACCACCACTTACATAGCTACCTAGATACACGAACTTCTCAACTACTTCGATCTCCTCACCATTCAGGGTGAGTACAGGATGAGAATCCTGCCAGTCTTGTAGAATACTTTGCACTTGGAGAATGCAAAGCACATGCCGTACCTGCGGACATTGATTGCCAACTGATTAAGTGTGGATTGCATGCCTTGGGCATTATCGCACAGTAAGACAATATCATCCGCATACTCAAGGTCGAGAAGTCGTTCTCCAGGCAACATATCCACACCGCCATTACTTACATCCATCAGAGCTGTTTCCAGGATGTCGTCGATGGTAAAGTTGAAGAGGAATGGGAGCAGCAAAGCCTCTGAGACAACGGTCCAGTTTCAGCAGTTGAACTGAGATTTTGGCTAGAATCTGGCAACTGGGCCTAATTCCATTTAACTGGTCTTGGTCGCTGACCGTGTCTTGTCACAAATCAACAATGCAAGTGGGTAGTGGAATGCGGTTAGACTTTGGACGACATGTTTCAAAATCGTCGGCAATGGCCTAGGCTCATTCATCCTCTACCTTCTTCTAAATTCTGATTCTAAACTCTTCATAACTTTTCCTTGCTTTCATTTCACTAATTCATATTTTCTTGAATCGCATTTTCAATGTTTAATGTTCTCTGTTACGCTGATATTGTTACTACCTACCATTTCGGGATTTGTACAGACAATTTTACCCCTCTATGCCAGCGAAGTATAGCACCTTGAACAAACATATAAAGTACCAGGTTCTGAGTAGTGACTGACTGATATGGATTAACACAACTGGTGAAATGTGAGACGGTGTCTCACCACCTCAAGACTAAATTTTAACGGTCTCTAGGACCACGTGATGTTACTCACTACTTTTCGAGACACAGAGCTTTTAAAAAGCTATATACACTTCGTATATTGCAAGAATAATTACCGTATTGTTTACATGTCTTTCCTACAATCAAAAGGATTTGGGATCTGAACTACAATTATATTTTGGGTTTCCTAAAAGTATTTTAAGTATTCAAGCTCCACTGGTAACCAACTTGTCTCCAAGGAGAGCAGTTCTCTTATCAAAGTCTTCCATTCCGAAATCGTCAACTTTCCAAGCAGTAGAGAATCCTGGTTGACCCTAAGACATATAATTATGTATTCTGAAGACTTACTGGCCACATTTGCCTTCTAAAAGCTTTAGATTTCACTGACTTGGCGTGCGTTTCCCAGTTCTGGGCAATGATTAAAGTTAAATAGGTAACATACATCACAGTATTTGATACGATACCATGCGAACCAAAACAATATTAATGTACATGTAACCTTTGGTATAGTAGCACGAAAGTACCAACTTTTATGATCTCCCTTAACGTGAAATTAAACTGTACCCAAACTTACAATTATGGGTCTAACTAGATTTGTAAGAGCATCAAATGGCATTCTATATATTCGTCGAAATATGTTGACACGATTCCATTCAGGAACATTTACTGGTTCCCTCTCTGATAATAACTGATCTTTAAGATATTGTTTTCTAGCAGCGCGGTCTTCATCTGTGAAAGGTAGTGCCAATCGATGACGTTGAAATTTAAACGGCTCAAGATCTATCGGAAGAAATTTGCTCCCTCTCTTAACACCCGCTTGTTTTAATAAAAGTTCTTTGTATATTTTTTTCTGGATCTCTAGAACTTCTGGGTCGATCTTAACGGAAGTTTCTGGGGAACTAGAGGTCATAATTCCCCCAAAAAGGAACGTGTGGTGTTACTAGTCTTGAGACTCCGTAACGCAACAACTTATGTCAGACGCCTGTCAATAGACAATCATCACCGACTTTAAACTTTGATGATTTGTTGAGCTTCGTAAGGTTGCCCTATGAATTTACTTTATCCATTCGCCATGACTTTTCCCAACTGAAAGCATCTGAATATAGTGTTGGTGTGGATTATTGAAAAGTGTGTGCCAGAGTTATTATCCTGCATAACACAGCTAGCTACTGATCGATGTGTAAATGTCGTAGTGCCTAGTTGAAGTGGAAAGATATCTAGTCCGTTTTATTAGATGTTCAGAAATTCCGATGAACTGGAGTTCATTGACTGGTAAATTATGAGATACTTTATCCAATTCTCTTTTAATATCAAAGTACAGCAGGATAGCCGGTTGATTCTAGTCATGGATGTGGACAACTTCGTTTAGATAATTTGTCAGAAATTTAGTTCACGGCCTTGTTCTAGTGAGGCCATGTTACGAGGCGACAACTAGACCTTCTTCTGGTATGTGTCCAGATAACTGAACTTTTTTTCAATTTCTCCATTATCCATAAGACGACTATGGTGATATTAGTTGGTCTCTAGTTCGGGACTAAGTTTTCGGTGCTGATTTTTGTTAAGAGTTAACATATTTCGCCTTGCAGGCTTATATGTATGTGCCAGGTTCTAAAAATAGTGTCCATATTTTGAAAAATAGCGTCGATATATCTGATCCTGTCATTTCGTAGAGAATCTGTGAAATTTTATCCGCTCCCCAAGCATGAGTTTGATTTGCGTAAGGGTTTTAATGGTAGCTAGGAAGTTGGTGAGGTCAAATTCAGTGTTGATGAGATTGTTCTTTTTGATACATTTGATATGAATATCTGGTGAACGAGAGACTTCTAGTGTTGGAGAATTATTATTTTAGTAGTTAACAGATGATACTATGGTCTTTATATGCGACTCCATCATGTTATGCAGGTAAACTTTTGAAACCTACACTCTTTTTATATACTTCCTGACACTTAGCATAGGTGGGCGGTAGAAATATTTATGCTTTCGTATATCTTTCAGACCAACTTTTCACACGCTCAGGTTAAGCGTAGATTTGATGCGCGACGCTAAGGTCCACTAATACGAAAACCTTGAAGTTTTTGTGTCTTCGCCTTGATATTTGCTGGTTCCAGGAATTATTGTCCTAGAAGTAGTTGTTGTGAGGAATAACGTGTCTACTGAATATTTGGTGGTGATAACTAACTTATCTAGTGTTTTCATAAGTTTGTCACCAATTAAAAATTCGCTTCAATCAGAGAGCTCTATTAGGATTTCCCATTTTTTCCATCCACATATACAGTCATTGTGTTCAAAAATCGCAGTTATCGATTTGGGTAAATTACATTCCTCAAAATATAGTAAAACGCAAATAACTATTAAAGATGCCACAGGCATTTCTTAGGCCGAATGGCACGAGCAAAATCTCTTAGAAACCGAAGGTAGTTATGATAGTGGTTTTGGAATGTCGTCGGCAGTCATGGGAATTTGGTCATGTGCTTTAACCAAGTCGAGTTTCGAAAAGACAGTTGCACCTTTCAAAAAAGCTAACAAATCGTGAATATGAGGCAACGGGTAACGATCAGGAATCGTTTGTGCATTCAATCTTCGACAGTCACTAGTTGGACACAAGTCATTGTTGCCTTTTTTAAAGGACCATATAAAAATAATAAATTTCTGCAAGGGCAAGTACACGCCACTTTTACAGGCATGATCTTCAATTTACAACATACACTGGTTCACAGTATGCATCCCAAGCAAGGTTGTTTAGTAAATATAATCTATAAAAGTTGATAGCAGTTCATTCGTTCAAATACAATGTGTTTTCTTCAAAATATTTTCCAAAGCTGCTCCGCATCCACGTCACATACCGAATCCAATCTCGATGAGAACTGTATTAGGGTTTTGGTCATGCTAAGTATTTATGTAATGCAGTTTTTAAGTTTATAGTTAATATAAAGTAGACTTGTGGAGCGCCTGGTGCGAACTATGACTTTGGGAGTACGTCAAGCTTGTTCCAGATGTCACAAGTAACATAGCTTCACCCCGAGAGCAAGATTATGAAGAGAAAAAAAGAAACCGAGGAGCAGCAGGGCATTTGAATATGAACGATAACTGATGCTTAACATTTAGTAATGGAACAGATGGAAGTATGTTAAATTATTAGATTAAATCGATACCAGCTCATGTTGCTAGAGTGAAATGTGATCAGGTCCTCCAGATGAGAGAGTGCAGTAATAAAGTACAATGAGTTGTGATATTTATCAAGGTGGAGTAGGTTCGAATGAAGGAAGGGAAGTCAAGATTGGAATGAGGAAGACTGTTTATTAGAACAGAGAGTGCATATAGAGAGTAGAGTGTTAGGCAAAATAACAACCATATCCTTTACAGTCTGTTTTTTTTCATCGTCCGATGAAGAGGAGATCCCCACGGGCTGTTTGAAGGCCGAATGATTCCTGAATTTATCATGTAATCGAACACGATTTTAGCCAACTCCAGCTTTTCGTGAGCCAGTCGGAGTGCTTTCGAGAATAAATGTGGTCCTAATGTGATGTGTAATATTGTTGGTTACACACGGCAACTTCGGTTGCGGTTGATATATCTCAGGATATTTATCAAATATTAGTTGGTAGTACGGTTCGGTCGTGTGCCTTACAGTGACTATAGATAATCTGCAACCAGAAAAAGAAGTGACACGACAGATAAATCATTGTTGCCGTCTACTAACCTCCGTCGATGAGTAAAATTATGATGTAACAGGTCTATACCAATGATTGGCATAGAAACATTTGCAATAAAAAAATCCAGTGGATAGATTTGTGTAGACCCACGTTAAGATAGACATACCTTTTACTATCTGTGGCGATAGGTTTTCTATTTGACGCCTGTGTATTTTAAGACCTGTCCGTGCAGTCGGTCATTGGAGTTTGCTAGAAAGATGCTAACTTCTGCACAAGTGTCGACGAGGTGGCGAAATTCCGTCATCAAATCAGTAACGTATAACAGACGGCTATGTTCGCCGGCTACGGTTGCCGTCAACACGTGTTGGCTGGAGAGTTTCCCGGAACACTTTTCGTCTCGATCGGTTTGGAGTTTGAAAAATATCCAGGTTTTCTTCAATTTCAAAATGTTCTTCCTCTATGATTATGATATCAGCACCAGTCATGGTTATCTGTCTGTCGTGGTCTGGAGACAGATCGTTTGCGTGAAGAACTCCTTTGAGGGGTTTGTGATCGTTTACGGTTATCACAAGTACGAAGATAATGTGTCAGCATATCACATAGATCCGGAATGTCATTCCGTGTCGTTTGAAGCTTTTCTTTGACTGAAAGAACCTCAGGGTTAGAAGGTTTAGTGATATCTAAAATACGGTTGGCAGGGGAAACCAGTTCATCTGCGGCGTTGTATTGAAACGAATTAAATACTACTTGCACCTGTTGCGGAAGTTTAGACAAGAAAGGTTGTCCATACAGACCATCGTCGGAAGTTCTCTGACCAATTACTTCACTTATCCGTAACAACATGTCTGATACTGAACCATGTTTCAGATCGAAGTTATTAAGTAGTTGGTCTAACCTTTGTCGATCGGTTAGATCTCCGCGTTTCAGAATCGACCGTTCTAGAGTTTTAAAGGCTCCAAAACATCACTAGTAGACATATTAGGTGTGACGTACCTGATGAATTCGCGCGATAGTGTCTTTACTAACACGAAGAATTGTGCAGGTGCATCGGTCACGCCGTGTTCGTAGAAGTTGACCTCTGCATAGCAGGTCCAAGCTTCGGCACTGTCCGACCAAAAAGGCATTAGCTGCAACGAGGGTGGTATAAGAGTTTTGATCTTAAGTAGCTTAAAAGTCCGTTCTGTCACGGCGAATATAAAGTACAGGGATGAACGAGAGAAAAATATATCACGATATATAAAAAGGAACAGAATCACAGTTTATGGGTTGGTGTGCCATATCACTTTAGGCTCACTAATGATGATGCCACAGGCATTGTAGTTTGACAACACCTTTTATAATTGATTCGTACCCACCCACTGAAATCAAAAGTCAGCAGCGAGGAGGTTGGAAGATGTATTTGACAGATTATCAATATATCGAGAAGTGGTTGATTTAAACTGCCTAGCGATTGCAGAAGTTGAGAATGGCGTCCCTACTTGTGATCTTGTGTGGATGCATGACCGAATGCCTTCAGCTAGGTGAATCGATTAAAACTTGTCGGGTCAGCATCAAATTTCCGAAACATACAAAACTATTGATTCCGGGGATTTATTAAACGTTATACTATTTAGTGATTATTGTCACGCAACATTTCACCGACCACAATGAATGTCAAAGTCACGTCGTGACAAAACAAGAAGTCCGGAACATTGCCACTTTTTGGCAAGTACATACTCCTTTGCTAGCCGTGAGTTTCTAAGCATTTAAACTTGTTTTCGAAGGATATTATTCTAATGTGCCCCTAGCCATGTTTAGCAAGTTTAAATGATTGTAGACAAATTTACATTTGGATACAAAGATAGTGACTATGGCAAAGGACCCATTCATAATGTTTTCAGTTGGATCAGGATTGTTAGTCACCATAGGTAGTAACTTACAGTCATACGCATGTACACTACACATCAAGTTATTAGCTGGAGCACTATATATGACTATTCTCATTTTTCTAGATGTGTATCCAACTGCCGCTACCTAATTTGGGCTGGTATCGAAATAAGCTTAGCATATACATTATAAAAAGAATTAAAAGATGCTGTCAAATAAGAACAAACTTTGCTGTTATCATATTCTTAATATGACACGTCTACTCCTGCAATTTGCCCGTCAATCCAAGCTACCGTAGGATTGAATGTCCCTGGCCAGCGTCTGGATTACGGAAGATGAATACGCCCTCACAAGGAATAACCGTTTGTCTGCAAGACGTCTAGTGAACCGTTTCGAGGACAGTCAACGACACTTGTGACGTTCATCGTCTCATCTTGGTGACGCTAACAGTCCTACACTGTCTTTTAAGGAGCGAATGTGTAAGGACGGGTACTGCAGCGCTTAATAAGATATTGTCTCTCTGTGAACTGGACGATTCATTGTTCGCACGTTTTGTTTCAGGGTTAATAAGACTTGGACCGTGTACAGGGCATGTCTCTGAAACAGGTAGTACTGGGCTGATCATGTATAACTGCTGCGCTTAAATTATTACTTTGTATGGATTCATTGAGGCTTTCGCCGGCATATTCATTAGTTCTGTAATCGTTTTCTAGCTCTGTACGCAATTTTGAAATTATTGCGTCAACTTCCGTTTCACCCCCAAAGCATGGGTGATTCAGCAGCTTCGCGTGTAATTTGTCAATGAAATCCAATTGACTCTTTCTAAAGCACTGCTCTTGTCGCTGGATTAGCAACTGAAATTGGTCGGAAGTTAAGGCCATTTTTTTAATGCAAATAATAATAATAAATCCAAAAAAACACCGGCAATTATTATGGATTATTTAATTCCGAAATGACGTCAGCGGCTGCTGTATTTTTCTTTCCAGAATCCCCGTCGCCAATTGTTGTAACGTATAGATTTCTGGCCTCTTAATATATATGTCCAATGATACAGAAAATACGTACGAGCAGTCTTGGGTGCTATTCGGTCCTTCCTATCTGCCTAGCCCAGCCGTTAAGTCCAGAACACAAATAACAGCCTCAGCAATATGAATCATTATTCACAAGCATACTGGGTTATATATACTAACCAAACAGACCACATATATCAAAAATAGAAAAATAACATTTGTACAGTAATTGGCCAATGTGGCTGTAGCTAGGGGGAAAGTAATCAATAATAATAGTTCCAAGGTCAAAATAAAGGTTATGATAAGAGGAACACGGAAACGATTAGGTCACTTATTTAACAACTATCCAATAGGAATAGGCGTATTACATTTGTCCATAAATGGACCTCAGATTTATGATTCATAATTCGCCAGGGGATACAACACCTCCCCTTTTTGAGAAATCCGGAGTTGATATCCAGATTTTTAATTTTCTCGAATTCACCCTCCCCCACGAAAGACTGTTGGATCCTCATATAGCCAAGTTACTATTAATGCGATATGTTTGTCACATTTAACAGGGAATGCATTAGAACTGAAGAGATCATGAGGATCGACGACATTTGATTCGAGGTCACCAACACTTGATTCTTCTGAAATAGTTTCCTTGAATTTCCTCGGAACCTCATTAGTAGATAATGAATCATTAGGATAATCAGTATCTTTGAGAGTTGTATTGGATTCTTGATTATCATTTAATGCATCCGATATTTTTCTCACATTTTTATAAGAGATTTGAACAGGAACATATGAATCAGCGAAATAATCGGGATCCGACAGAACAATTAGATAATTTTGATCATTAGGAACATTTTCCGTGTCATGATTAATTTCATTTGGCGCCTCTGTATTCAATACACTGCTCGATTTGTTTTCCGTTTCTTCAAGGACGGCCCGTCGGTAGACTCTAGAAAACCCTAGGAAGCCCAGGAAGAGCCGTAGACATTCCACCCAATCACGGCTAGGGGAATGTTCTAGAAATGCCAACGTGGAGCTTCTCCATTGGATGGACTAGTTTGATACCTATGTGCTTATTGGTTGACCTAAATGATAATTTATTTTCAGCCAATAACTATAAATACACGAGATTTATGTGCTATATTTTGACATTGTTCGGGGCAATAAACTTCCTGCTTACCAGTCTTTGTCTTCTCTCTTTGCGACGTTGCGGGTTCTATCGTTCAAGTAGTCAAGTAGTTCGCGGCATATTAAGAATCAAGGCTCTAGATATAACAGAATGTCAGCCCAGAAATCCTTGAGGGCACTAGATAAAATGACATGTGATTTATTATTTTTGTGTATCTCATTACCAAGCACGTAACGATACCAACAACCCTACTGACTTGTAAACTAATGTGGTAAGATTTAAAAGCTATATGTATATCCCATACAGACGGAATTTAACGCAACCCCAAGGTAATATCAAGTTTTATTTTAAAAAGTCACTGAAAATAAATTAGACCTATATGGCATAGCAAATATCATTTTTTCTTCGCTTGAAGACCGGCACCAGCATTGAACTTAAACAATATAATATCCCCATCTTCAACAACATATTCCCGTCCCTTTTGTTTGTATTTGCCAGCAGCCTAACAAAACAATAGAGTAGAGAACAAATTGACCAAAGGGCGAAATTGAACAACAACAACAACAGTAAAACAGTCTAATATATAACGAAAATTGAAGTCTGTATAGTGTTCACTTGGATTTCGATACGGGAAGTTTGATTAATGTCTAGAATACAATTCGAATCAGAACAAAAGATCTTACCTCGTGTATTCTTTTCTGTCACGTTACTTGATAATGGTAGTATATATTCTTTTTCTATAAAGCCTTGTAGGTTTAGCAACTATATGAAAGTGGTTTTTACAAATATAGTTACTAAGCTAATTATAGTTACTAAGATCTTTTGAATTTCACTCATAAAAATACCCAAAGTCGTTGTTTTCACTCTGATTAGTTTGGCCGTATAATGTAACAACCCATATTGATTAATCAAAAATATATAAATATAATGTTCGCTAAACGGAAAATTCAATCATAGAAAACCAATAAAGTACTCGAAAAAACATCATGCAGAATTACTTTGACAGCAGCCTCAGAACCTTCTGTTTTGAAATCTTCATATGACATCACTTCAGCCATGATGAAACCTTTTTCCATATCCGTATGAATTCGGCCAGCAGCTTGAGGAGCTTTTGAGCCTTTCTAGAATAGTAAAATATAGCGACAATTATTTAGTTGATTTAACTTATTGTTAACAATAAAGTGAATAGAAAATAAGATTAAGGACAAATAGAAATGAATACATTTTCGGCCTAGCAAAACGAAATCATTTAAAGCTTTATAATAATGAAATAGATAAGAAGGAGTTTTGTGGAGTCTATTATTTTCATAGTTGAAATCATAAGACAATTGAAGCAAGACCACCATGGAAAACTTGGAAGCACTGGACGGCAGTTTCGTCCTATTACGGGACTTCTCAGCAGTGCACACCCACGATCCCGCACTCGCGAGATTCGAACCCAGGATTTATCGGTTGACTCATGATTTTAACTATGAAAATAAATTACACTCTGACACAAAAGACACTAAGTTTTGCTTAGTATACAAATTAATAGAGGATCCAAATAATCTGATTTATAAGGTTTTTTTTAAGTTATTACATTTGTTGATAGCCTTGACTGAGTTGTGATCAACAGATACATACAAGTAGGCTGGTTTTAAGTTACACTCTAAACGTAAAAGCTACTGATACCACCCGTTTTCTTAAACCAAATCAAGTGGAGAGGGATTCGAATTTTCAACTTAGTTGCTGAAAATTGAGTGCCATAACCATTGAGAAACATCTTTGTCTAGTGGAGTGATTGATACCTTGTTGTCTACTATTTATTAATGGTAGAATTCAATCGGTCAACTTGCAAGCTAGTCATTAAATATTATGACTGCATTGCAATTTGATCGATGGAATTTGATCTACATTGGGAATAAAACGAACATGATATTGGTTAGTACTACTCAGTGATTAGCTGGTGTAGATATTTCAGTCCTACATGTTACGCGTTATGTCTAAGATCATATTACTAGATGACAAAAGTAGTAACAATTCCTTTGAAATTGAAGATATGCTTTTTGGATGAATGTCAATCAAGACGATACAAAGGTTTAAAAATTGCATTGACTGCTTTTAAACATTCCAGAGAATTAAAAACTGGTCAATAACGTACTACACAGTGCTATATAACAACGATTACTGAATTGCTGTCTTAAACACATATTGTCAACTACAAAACTGATATTTTTTCCGGCGAAATCCTTGTGTAACAAACCTGTATAGTCCACGCCTTGACTTCATCTTTACCACATGTGAAGAAGTACTGTAAGTGTAATGTTTGATAACCGACACGAATAATTTTTGGCAACATGGTAGTGAATTCATTTTCTTTCATATAAGCCGTAGCTTCTTCTAGTGACATTTCACTGAGTTTTTGTTCAAGATCAGCAGAGAAAGGAATAATTGCTGCACCAGAATCATGCTCATCAACCCATTCCTTAATTTTTGGTAGCCTGTTGAGAGGAAAAAGCCAGAGAAATAGACAGCATAGCATATCAGTAATAAAATTAATAATACTTTCACGGTATAAAATTAATAGCTTATGTTTTACGCAAGAGAAGCATAGAGTTAATATATCAGTCAACACAGAATAAGAAACATTACAAAAAAGGATAACAGTTTAGTTTGTTAAAAGAATCACCGACCAATAATAAATAGTAAATAATGCAGTCAGCTAGTAATTATATTGTCGAATTCGGACCCGGATATCTAGAGACAGAATAAATTCCCCAACTGTATTTGTTACTTTATCGTAGTGAACAAGTTAATCTTTTGTGATTAACTAGTTTAGCTATTTGACTTGTGTACTTTTTCCGTGAGGTTTTACTCAGATCGACAGATTGGCTGTAGAGCTGTACGATTAAAGACATACAACTATGATAAAGTGCAGTGTTCTCCACGAATAAACAATAACACCAGTGACGCTATCATTCCGAAAAGGAAATAGAAAATGTCAGCATTAAAATGACCATATTTAGATTTTCCCCAATGATCTTCAAGGAAAGGGGTTAATGTTTGAAAAGGGTAAGGATAAGGCAACCACAGTCGTTCACCGAAATTGCCACCTATCATTTTTCTTGAAATTCCACGTTAGCAAAACTTTCAATACTGATATAGTGTCATGACCTGATGAAACGACTATGGGGTTTCCAGGCTGGCAGATAGTGAATTTTATTTACGACCAACTGAAAAGCTAATACGGACGAGAACGCAAGTGAACTTGGATACAACGGACGTCTGATACACGATATTTCAACGTCATTAGTCTAAATGCTAATATGAAATAGGAAAGATGAGACTTCTAAGATAGCGTTATATTATAAACAGAAGTCAAAAATGTAAAGGGAACAACTCTGCTTATAAAGCAACATACCATGACCATGAGGTACATCAAGCTAGCAAATTAAAAGAGATCGCAACAACACTATTACTTAGAAAAATGTCACCAAAGTTATTACTTTAAGAGAGAACAGAGAGTTAATAATAAAAACTAGACAACTTGAGCTATACTAAGCATACGGTCACTTATTTAAGCCTACATAGAATAAATACCCTTTTAATATGTACAGTAAGAAGTGCTTTCCATCTGCACACAGCTTAAAAGTAATCCACTCACTGAAAACGAATGGTAATTTGAATTATTTTTAGAAAATATAAAGTTTAAAAATGTAAATAAAATCTGCCAAGGATAAAAATGTATTTGATGTGAGTATATATATGTGTATGAACTGGTGCCCCCAAATGCCCTGGTACGGCCGAGAGTGGGGAGAGTCACCTCTCCCTCTCGAAATGCTCTCATATGGCCAGCAAATATATAGCCTCTGCCACGAAAGTCCTACTAACTGCCTTCTCGTGGCGGGGGTGTTGTTAACGAAAGTGAGAGGACGAAAAGCGAATGTCCGGCACGTTAACCGGGTTGGTGGACATGGAAAGTTCACCTAGGGGAGTTGGAAAACTCTGATTCCAAACCAGTGGTGCACATGGGATCCAGTATCCTGAGGGAACAAATGGCGTACGAATCAACCGTTGATCACCGGCTACCATGGGACTGCATCTCCTAACGATGCTCCATTGCCTTGTGGATCAGACATTCAGGTCAAAGGCTCCGAGTGTGGCCCCCCAAGAAAACCACATGCTTCAGTTTGGGCACCTGGACAGTATCACAGCCCTCACACAAATCGAATGATATTTGCGAGGCGCATATTTATCTGGTGCTTCCTTGTACCAATATTTATGTGTTTAAATAAATAAATAAATAAAATATATAAACTGGTAGCCTGTTGATCAATGGACACAAATATCAACCACCACATTTTGAGTTCGAACTCTTCATCATTACCTTGATTTGGATAGCCGAGTGATACCATTAGCTATTTTATGTATGAGGTTATGAATCTTCATCGACTGAGATGGTTGGGCTACGTGTTACGTATGCCTGAACACCGATTACCACGACGCGCAATGCTGACTAGTATTAGGAATGGTTAGAAGAGAGTTAGGGGCGGCAAAACCAAAACATGACATCAGTGCTTGAAGTCACTAAATTCTAGTCTGAGCCATGTTGGCAGATGCAGACTACTTGGTTGGGGTCCGCGTGACTATCGTAACCAGTGGTTGGAGACTCTAGGTGATATGGCTCAGAATCGATCACAATGGGGTAGGTGTATACACTCTTTATCTTCCCTTAAACCTTGAGATTAAAATTGCTCCATAACTTTTTTCCTTCCTATACTATATCCTTATATACAGCCTTTCTTTTATATACTACCACCACTAAATTAGCTACTATGAATCCGGTGTTCATCTTGTTGTGCTAACGAGTTATAGCAACTTGGACCGATGCATATGTGTAGCGGACTGATTGAATAGTTCAAATAAAATATTATAATAAAGGGGATATTAATATACATATAATATAGTTACTTAATATTCAAGTAATAAGAATATTCGTATAATATTAGTCCATAAATAATTACTAACAGCTACTAATCATTTATTCTCGTTCGAATATAACAAAATGTATATAACTTTATTTATTTATCTGAACACATAAATATTGGTACAAGGGGGCACCAGATATATATGGGCCGCACAGTCATTCAGTCAGTCAGTCACAACGTAGAACTTCGTACGTACCTAAGGACATCAGTTCGAGTTGTCATACCACATTAGCACAGAGATCCAGTTGTCGATTGAAATCCCATAGTGGTAGAAGTAGTAAGAGTATAAGCAGTAATCCGCAAGATCAGGGATTGAAGATGTTATTTAAGGAGTATAATCTAGTGAAATAAATCTGGGAAGAGAAAAAGGATAGGGTGACTAAGAATTCAGAAGATTAGAATTTGGCAGAACACAAAGAGTGGATGCACCTTCGCCATTGCAAATGATTTTGAGCCATGTCATTTAAGGTCTCTAACCATCGATTGTTATCATCTCGCGGGCCGCACAAATCTCATTTGATTTGTGTGAGGCTTATGATACTGCCCATGTATATAAACTCTAACGTTTTTACTACTGTATCTTTATTGTTCATCCTGTTGGAATATACTCTATATACAGAGAGAGAAAATCATTTAGTACCAACTAACCATTTACTTTTCTTCTTTAAAAACGCCTTCTCTGACATATTAACCAAATAAATCACAGGTTTCGATGTGATAAATAAATGTTCGTTAAGAATCTCCACCTAGAGATGAGAGAAAAACGGAAACAAAGAGTGACAAAACAATCAAATGGTTTATTATTATTTGGATTATTTAAAGAAATTTTTACAAATTGTTGAATATTCTGCTCAAATACTATTGGATGGTGGGTCAGTCAGCTACAACTTAAAACCAGGCACATATATGCATCGGTCCAAGTTGTCATACCTTGTTAGCACAACAAAATGAACAGGATAGGGCGAACTGCTGCGCAGTATACTCATCCCTTAATTGATAGACGGATATCTCATCTTCGCCGTAGGTGACGTAAGTTTGCAAAAGCCAAACGAGCTTTTTGAATCCGTGCTGAAATTTCGTCAGACACCAACCCATTAGGGCGGACCACTTCTAAAGCAATTTCCTTTTCAGGTACCTCCAGAAGAACCCTTCCATGGTGTGGGCAACCGGGAAGTGATAAATGCCCTCATACCTCTAACAGCACTCAAGACCACTAGATGGTGGGTAATAACCTAATGTCATATGATTTAATTATGCAAAGTTTCAGATAAACTCTCTCGATTAGATTTGAAAACTGAAACCAAACTGTTCAACAACAAAAAAATGTAGTGTTACAAGTCATTTCACATTGGTTAATTAAGTGTAATCATAACAATGTACATTAGTAGGTAAAAAATAAAATGCTAGTCCATTATATTTATATAAGGTTGATTCCTGTTCAAATTGCAAACTGATAATGCCTTTGACCGTAAGTTTTTTTTATAGTTGAAATCATGAGTCCATTGAAGCTAGACCACCATGGAAAACTTGGAAGCACTGGACGGCCATTTTGTCCTATTATGAGACTCCTCAGCAGTGCGCATCCACTATCCCGCACCCGCGAGATTCGAACCCAGGACCTACCGGTCTCGCGCAGGAGCACTTAACCGGCATCCAACGGTGTTTTACAAATGTACTAATTATGAAAAAATACTATTTGTAATAAACCAAGATTTGATAAATGGATTTTCAGATTGTACAGTAAATAAGTTCAATGCTAATCTATAGATGAATCGTAATAGTAAAAATGTAATTGAGTGGTAGCTACTCATAGTATTTGGTGGAGGATCATGTACGCATTCATTTTGTTAAAGGAATATAAATTGAATTCAAGCACGTTCCACGGACGATTGTGTTGGTGTACGCTGATTGATTATTTCTTATACGATCAAAGCTAGCCGATACTTGGAGAAAATTTTCGAATCTTCACATATAAAAACTATAAATATGCTAACGTTTCTCTTATTGTGCTTTTTACTTTCATCTATCTTTGCTATTTGGAATATAATTTCGTTCATGTTCAACCGTATTTTGATTTGGGGACTTGTCGAGTGAATTAGTGCCCAAGAATGCTAAGCAACAGGAATAGCTGGGTCGTAATAAGAGAAATTATAACACCTTTAGAAGAGACTGATCTCATTTCCGTCGCCACTGTTATGGAATAGATTTTCTTAAATTTGATTTGACGAAAATTTTGATTGTTGACATTAATGAATACAGTGCTAACCGATATATGGTATAGTGTGATCGATTGGCGGCTACTCACAAGACTGTATTATTAGAAATCAAAGACAAAACAGGCAGCCAGATAGGTAGTTTTTACGTAATAAGATAACATGGCTATATATTTTATTTATTTATTTGAACACATAAATATTGGTACAAGGAGGCACCAGATATATATGCGCCACACAAATCTCATTTGATTTGTGTGAGGGCTGCGATACTACCCAGGTGTCCAGACCGAAGCAGATGGTTTTCTAAAGGGGCCACACCCGGAGCCTTTGACCTGAAAGCCTGATCCACAAGGCACTGGAGCATCGTTAGGAGATGTAGTCCCATGGTACCCGATGACTGATGATTGGTTCATACGCCATTTGTTCCCTCAGGATACTGGAACCCATTGGTTTACGATCAGAGTTTTCCAACTCCCCTAGGTGGACTTTCTGTGTTCACCAACACAGTTAAAGCGCCAGACATTCACACTCTCTCTCCCGTATATATATATATATATATATATATATATATATATATATATATGAGCATAACGTTCAAAAAACAATTATCTAGATAGATTCTTAGATATAGATGACAATTTACAAAATCTCATATATACAATTATCCTGCCCAACAAGGAAGTTAGAATTTTCACAAATTTGGATTTGCTGTACAAAAAAAAAATTAGACACAAGCACAACCAAGCTTACTTCAGTTGGATTCCAATCACCGAAACGGACATTTCGTTTATCATTGATCAACATATTTTTAACTTTTGTAAGACATTCATAAGCAGGCATTTGTTTTTTATCATTGCCTCGAATAACTACTTTTTCACATTTCTCCCATTCTTTAGTGACATATTCAATGTCTTTAAGGCGTAACTCTTCATCAATGATATCTAAATCACGTACAGGATCAATATCACCTTCAATATGAGTGATGTCTTCATTTTCAAACAATCCTTTATTAGGAATAGATTTAAAATTTGTAAAAGCTTGTGAAATGATCATTGTGTATACTAAAGGACAATTAAAATTTTAGAATTTTTTGGACAAGTCAAATCTAATCGACAGTGGGATGTGGAATTAAATACTTATACGTTATCAAATTCCCTCTTTGAAAACTGTCCCTTTTAAGGAGCTGGAGTCAATGAGCATTTGTAAATGTTTACAACTCAAAACACGAAATGAGTTTATAATACAACACTTTCAAACACTTATACGTCGCGTACCTTAATTTGTAATCCATAATACGAACATTAACCTAGAGTCAGGAAAAACTACGTTTTAGGATGTCACTAAAAACAAATGTAGCAATGTTGACCCCATCATCCAATGAGCCTAATTACTATTTATACACATTTCTATTCCTATGCCCTGCTTCGGTCTGGGCACTCGGGCAGTATCCCAGCCCTCACACAAATTGAATGATTTATGTGGCGCATATATATTTGGTGCCCACTTGTACCAATGTTTTTGTTTGAATGAGTATTTCTATGCAACACGTTTTCATGCTTCTGGTATTCTGTTTAACATGTATAAAATGCAGTCCACTGATTATAACCTATGAAAATTGATAAAACTATTTATAATCCATATCTGACTTCTTATTGAAGTTAAAACTAAATATAAGTATACTTAGACGGTCGGATACCACATACTCGTACTACTTACAAGCCAGAATAACAAGAACTACTATGCAGCAGTATTGGACTCTACTATTTGAATAGATACCTGCAATAAGTGGATAGGAGGAGTCATCAAACACAAACTAAATTTCTTGCAATCCGAAATGACATTAGTTAATCACTTCATAGGTTCAAATCATCAACCATTTCGCACTTTTCTCGCGACATGAGTGAGATGGATTTAAAAACTTAAACTTGATAAAACGGTACATTCATCGAGAACCTGGCAAATTTAACTATAAGTATACTACTTTGCACTACAAACGAAATATACAAACAACGGATTTTAGGAAATAAATGAATGTCTATCGCATATATTGAGAATAGTCTCAGAAGTAAATCAACAATCTCACCAGTTACCATTTAAATTTACTTAGTGTAAATTGTCTTGCTTCTAGTATGAGCGAGAATAGCATCGTCAATAGAATACATCATTTCATTTATTTGTGTTAGGCAGGGTTGCTCGATCTCACCATTCCTCTTCAACTTTGCCATCGATGACATCCTGGAAACAGCTCTGATGGATGTAAGTAATGGCGGTGTGGATATGTTGCCTGGAGAACGACTTCTCGACCTCGAGTATGCGGATGATATTGTCTTACTGTGCGATAATGCCCAAGGCATGCAATCCACACTTAATCAGTTGGCAATCAGTTTCCGCAGGTACGGCATGTGCTTTGCACCCTCCAAGTGCAAAGTACTCCTACAAGACTGGCAGGATTCTCATCCTGTACTCACCCTGAAAGGTGGGCAGATTGAAGTAGTTGAGAAGTTCGTGTATCTAGGTAGCTATATAAGTGGTGGTGGTGGCGTGAGTGATGAGATTGATGCACGTATAAGGAAAGCCAGAGCGGCTTATGCCAATCTGGGCCATCTTTGGTGCCTTCGTGATGTTAGTCTGGCTGTAAAAGGTCGGATCTACAACGCGTCGGTGAGAGCAGTTTTGCTCTATGCTTGTGAAACCTGGCCTCTCCGAGTTGAGGATGTTAGACGTCTCTCTGTGTTCGATCATCAATGTCTCCGAAGGATTGCTGACATACAGTGGCAACACCATGTTAGTAATGCAGAGGTTCGGCATCGTGTGTTCGGGCGCAGAGACGACAACCCAATTGGTGTCACCATCTTGAAACACCGACTTCGGTGGCTTGGACATGTTTTACGAATGTCGTTCCAGAGACTCCCACGTCGTGCATTATTTGCCGACTCTGGGACTGGTTGGAAAAAGCAGAGAGAAGGTCAGTGTATGACATGGTGTCGTGGCATGAAAGAAATCTGCAAAGGGCTAGCTCCTGTTGGTCCTTCACGACTCCCTGGATGGGGTCCGAGAGATGGTGCAACACAGTGGCTAGAGACGTTATCAGATATGGCTCAGAATAGAAGCCAGTGGCGATCCTGCTGCAACCTTCTTTTACTTTCTACATAAAGAGTGGTTCTAACTTTCTTAACTGAAAGAGTCTTCTGGTTGTACATTCCAGTCCGCCTTATCTTTTCATCCCTTCTCTTCCTACTTTCATTATTTTGTGTGGCGCATATGTATCTGGTGCCCTATTGTACCAATATATATGTGTTTAAATAAATAAAAATTAAATTTACTTACTTAACATATGGAAAATTGCATCAACACCACGGATATGAGAAAGAAATGCATTTCCCAAACCTTGTCCTTCATGTGCACCTTTAACTAGACCAGCGATATCGACAACATTTAAGTAAGCTGGTACTCGACTAAGGTATACAAAAATGAAAAATGAAAATTGACTGATGAAAACTGGCTAGACTAAAAGGTGCTTACGAGTAGACAACTATGCAAAGAAGACAAATACATACTGGTGTCGATGAGTGTGCGAATTAATGAAAGTGGTTTTGTGATCTAGTTTAGTAAACTATTCTAACTATAAGCTTCGATTTGTTTGATTTGACTCCATTATTTTTCAACAACAACGTTGTCTTATTGATGAAAACAAACCGACTGACGTCTCAAGATGTGTATGCACGCTCAATGGTGGCTGTCGTTAAAGATGGGAGAAAGCCAAGAACAGTTTGAGTAAGAGGTAACAGCAGTTTACAGAGTCACCCTCAAATGTCCTGGTACGGCTGAGAGAAGGGAGAGTCCGCTCTCCCTCTCCAAATGCTCTCACATGGCCACGCGTATATAGCCTCTGTCAGGGAAGTCCTACTCACCGCCTTCTTGTGGAGAGGGTGTTCTTTACGATATTGAGAGGACAAAAAGCGAATGTCTGGCGCTTTAACCGGGTTGGTGGACAAGGCGACTCCACATTGGGAAGTTGGAAAACCCTGATTCCAAACCAATGGTGCACGTGGGCTCCAGTATCCTGAAGGAACAAATGGTGTATGAATCAAGCGTCGGTTATCGGCTACCATGGGACTGCATCTCCTCACGATGCTCCAATGCCTTTTGGATCAGACCTTTAGGTCAAAGGCTCCGGGTGTGGCCACTTAAGAAAACTACCTGTTTCTGTTTGGGCACCTGAGCAGTATCACAGCTCTCACACAAATCAAATGAGATTTGTGTGGCGCACATATATTTGGTGCCGCTTTGTACCAATATCAGTGTTTAAATAAAAGAAATAAAGAAAAAATAAGTTCACAGAGTCACTGACTGCTGATAGAATGGTTTTTAATCGAAAACTATCTGATTAATTCCCGTATATTTCTAATTAATAGTTGGATAACTCATTAAGCTAATGCGCAGTGTTAATTTGTGTCGATGTACATTTATATCATCTGTTAATTGTAATTGCATGGCATGTAATATACCCGTGTCCTTTACCATAATAGTCTACGCATGACGGTCATAGATTAACTAGATTTGGCGCACAGTAATAAGCTTTTTTGGTTGTAAGACTGATATCTCGTCAATTATGCACACATATCAATAACTCGACTTACCAGTTTTAACAAATAACTGCATATTTCTTATACCTAGTTACGTTTGTTACCCCTCATGGAGGATCATAGACTGCTCACCAGTATTCTCTATCCAACACTATCCTGGACAATCTTTTTCAGTTGCTATACACCCTTCTTATGTCTGTTTCCAATTCTCGGCAGTGATTTTTGACCTTTCTCTTTTTCCTTTCCCTTCAGGATTTCATGTTAGCGCTAGCTTGATGATGCAATTTCATGATTTTCTCACTGTATTTTATCCACATCTAGCGTTTTTTCCTAATTTTCTCCTCAGATGGAAGGGGGTTTGTTACCTCCAACAGTAGGCTGTTGCTGATGGTATTCAGCCAATAGACATTCAGTCAGTCACAACGTAGAACTTCGTACGTACGTACATCAGTTCGAGTTGCCATACCACATTAGCACAGAGATGCAGTTGTCAATTCAAATCCCATAGTGGTAGAAGTAGTAGGAGTATAATCAGAAATCCAAAAGATTAGGGTTTGAAGAAATTATTGAAGGAGTATAGTACAGTGAAATAAATTTGGAAAGAGAAAAAGATAAAGACATGAGGAATTCAGAAGATTAGAATTTGGTAGAACACAAAGAGTGGATGCACCTTCGCCATTGCAAACGATTTTGAGCCATGTCAATCAAGGTCTCTAACCATCGGTTGCTGTCGTCACGCGAATCCCAAGTAGGTAGTCTACACCTACCAACATGGCCCAGTCCACTTGTCAGTGACTTCATTGATTTGTGCCACGTTTTGGTCTGGCCACCCCTAGCTTTCTTCCAACCTACTCCTACACCATAAAACATTGCACGTCGGGGCAGTCGGTGGTCGGGCATACGTAACACATGTCCCAGCCATCTCAACTGATGAAGTTTCACTACTTCATCAATCGATTTGCCATCCCTACCTAGTACTCGTTTCCTAACAACTGCATTGCTTACCCGGTGATCCCAGGATATACGAGCAATGCTTCGAAGACACCTATGATCGAACACTAGTAGCCTACGAATATCCTCTACTCTTATTGGCCATGTTTCACTGCCATAAAGTAGGACGAAGCGAACTGCTGCACAGTAAACCCGTCCTTTGGTTGCTAGACGGATATCTCGCCTACGCCATAAATGACGCAAGTTGGCGAAAGCTAGACGAGCCTTCTGTATCCGTGCTGAGATTTCGTCACATACCAGATCACAAGGGCTGATGAGACTACCAAGATAAGTGAAGTGGTTAACACGCTCAACTACTTCACTCCCTATCATTAGTTCAGGTGTCGCTGCAACTCAATCCTGAAGTAACATTTTGCACTTCGAGGGAGAGAATCGCATCCCGAACATGCCTGCATAGTTGCTTATAGTGGTCAGAAGACTCTGCATGTTGTCAGCGTCTTCACCGAGTAAAACTATGTCGTCGGCGTATTCTAAGTCAACAAGTGAGCCTCCTGGTAAAAATTCAACTTCTGGAGGTTTAGCTGATGAAAGTGCTATCTCTAAAAGTATGTCAATGACAAAGTTAAACAAGAATGGGGAGAGTGGACAGCCCTGACGAACGCCACTTGTGGTAATCAGTTCTGATGACAGTTCGCCGTAGGCTCTAACTCGACCAGTTGTGTTCGAGTAGAGAGCCTTTATGAGGTTAATGTACTTATTTGGCACTCCTTTCACTGACAAACACTGCCATAGAACCTCACGATCAACGGAGTCAAATGCCGCCTTAAGGTCAAGAAATACTACTATTGTGGGACGTCTGAATTTGTGTCTATGTTCTAGAACCTGACGTAGGGTGAATATCTGGTCTATGCAACCACGTCCAGGTCGAAAACCAGCCTGGTTTTCTCTAGTCTGCTCTTCACGTGCTTTGGTTAGGCGACCTAGTATTATTGAAGCTAATATTTTAGACACTATATTAGTCAAACTGATCCCTCTGTGATTGTCACAGGAGGACTTTTGTCCTTTCTTATAGACTGGCACAATCAGTGATTGGGACCAGTCAGATGGAATTACGTCCAGTTCCCAGATTCTACCTAAGACCTCAGTCAATCTCACTGCTAGTACTGGACCACCATCCTTAAAAATCTCAAAGGTCAACCTGTCAGGGCCTGCTGCTTTCCCTCGCTTCAGATTTACTATAGCTTTTTCAACCTCACAGAGCGTTGAAGGACTTACATCAATTTGCCATTTAGGACGACTGGGGATCGTGGGTAACTGAAGTGTGGCTGAAGGCCAGTTGAACTGATCCCTAAAGTGTTCTGCCCATCGATCCAATCTCCTGGATTGAGAATGAATAATATGCCCATCTTTATCTGAGATGGTTTCACTGATATTCGCGTTCCTAATACCGGTTTCTTTAACGAGTCTGAATAGCTGCCTACTGTTACCTATTGCCGCTGCCTTTTCCATCTCTCTTGCTTTCGCTACCCACCACTGTTCACGATCATTACATAGGCTTCTTATAAGCCTGCGCTTAAGTTGACTCCGCTCTTTGTTATGCTCAGAGCCAGGTGGGATGAGTTTACGAGCATCTATCAGTGCGGTAGATGCAGCCGAGATCCATTGTTTCTCCCTAACGTTATGGTTTACCTTACTAGCGGATATCACTGCTGTTTCCACAGCTTTTCGGATGTCATTCCACGCTGCCTCGGGGTGGACACAACTTACATGACTGCCTAACTGTTTTTCTAGTTGTTCCTGAAATATATTCTTAGCTTGCCTATCATTAAGTAGAACCCTTAGAGGCTTCCCTGCAGTGTCTTTCCTACGCCCAGTAAGACGCAGACAGATACGTGCTCGCACTAGAGCATGATCTGAATCTAAACATGTGCCCCAGAATGAGCGACAGTCTTCTATCGAGCCCCTCCATCGGTAGCTGATAGCGATGTGATCTAATTGGGTCCAACGTTGGGACGAATTCGGGGGTCGCCATGTCAAAAGATGTTTTTCCTTATGCTTAAAGTTAGTATTTGCAAGAAATAGGCGGTTATCTGAGCATAGCTGCAACAGACGGTCGCCATTACCTGTTCTTTTCGCCATGACACCATAAGATCCACCCAGGTGTCTTTCCCTTTCACTTAGTTTACCTACTTGAGCATTAAAGTCACCTGCTACTATTACTACATCAGAACGCCTAGCTTCTCGGAGAAGGTCAGAAAGTTTCCTGTAGAACTCATCTTTTATATCGTCTGAGCTGCAGTCAGTGGGAGAGTAGGCAGAGACGACGAAGAGGCAACGACGAGTTACCCTATCTTTCCGGGTCCTTACTGATCCGTTTAGTCGGACAGCGCATAGACGACTGTCTACTGGGATCCAGTCTAAGAGAGCTAGTTCTGCCCTAGGACTTAATGCTATACCTACTCCAGCGAGGCCACGGGAAGCAATAGACATTCAGTAACTTACGTGGACAATTGTTTATAAATACTTGTACCTCTTTGATGATTGTGGTAGTCCTCTAAGTTCCAGCTCCGTACAGTAGAACTGTCTTGACGTTCGTATTGGAGATTGTGACTTAGATATAAGCTGACAGTTGTTTTGAGTTCTATATGTTCTTCAACTGTGGATGTCTTGCTAGCCTACACGTAAAAACTATTTCTATGCATTATTAACTCTAAAATATTTTCTTAACATGGGCTTGATGATTGTATCCCTGAAATGAGTAGCAGAACTCTTTATATGACTTAGTGTTTTTTTGAGTGCATATAACGATGCTTGAGAATTATTGAGTTGTAAATGATCTTTAAATGGCTTTTAATATCTGAAGACGATATGACATAATTGAATTGATAAATAACAAATGGTTGTTGCAAAGCATCTGTATGAAATAAATACTGAGAAGTCACCTTCAGTAGATCTCCTGAACTACCTTATTTGATAAAGTCATTTGATAACGTTACTAAATCTTTAAATTTAGCCCCACGAAGGGTAACTCATACATTCAACTTTGATCCTAACAGCAGTCCATTACTGAGTAGGCATGAACTACAATTAGCTTTTCTCATGCTTGAAACACTGTCTCTCTTGCGAAACTTTTCATCCAGACAAGGCCTAAATGATTGTTACTTACTAATGAGTCAAGAAGTGATACTTCCTTAGGCTTGTTTAAACAACTGCGTAACCAACATGTTAGTTCTAGCGAACTGTGCATTGCCGTAAGTGCAGAAATCAAATAAGTCGAAGAGAATATTTTAAGGATTGACAGTGGAAGGTAGACAGGAACTAATTAGCCCTATATTTGCATTGAGTCAAACAGTGGATGATGTACAATAACAAAAGCAAACGAATAAAAAGTGACTGCGTGCAGTTTAAACATTTTTAAACCGCATATTTTCATATTTTAACAGTTTAAATGTATGACGAAAGAAACCCACCTAACAGGTTGGTGATATTCACAAAGCCAATCGAATCTTTCATCTGGCACTGCAACACGACCTTAAATACTTTACTTGACTTATTCACCTTATTAAACTCACTTTCATTAGGATTAATAGTGCAAAATGGAAAATTCTCGGCAGGGACTTGACTTTTAGTGAGAATATTGAAGAATGTAGATTTCCTAATTTACATTGAAAGTAAATTAAGGGTGACTAACCCAACGTTCGGGAGGCCTACAACACCGCATTTCAGATTAGTACCGATTCTTCCAATCAAAACAGTTTTCTTTGGCACATCGCCTTTCTTCTTAGACATTGGTCTGAGGGTTAAATAAGCGCCAACACCTTCAAGGCCGGCGTGAATCTAGTTCGAATTGCCCACCAGTGTTTAGTGGATAAAGCAGAACGTAAAATGGGTTAATCCTTGAGATTTATAGCGCCTAAAAGGATGTATCTCTTTTTGAACGCATGGAAAGAGTTTTTTTTATTGTGGTTCAGGACTCGATGGAAGACAAGGTACTCCAGTAATAATGTGATCTTGCAAATAAATTAATGTAAAATAGGTCTATATACAGTACTTCGGTAACGGAAGAGAGCAAAACTTGAACGTAACACAATGATTGTAGAAAATTTGGACATTCTTTGTCATCTTGTGCCTCACTACTTTCGACGAATGTAGTACCAAGTTTAATGACCAAATAATCAAATCCCAATCTCATGTTACTTGTAAATAACACAACCTACTGCATCTTGACCGGATCACGGAATTGAAACTTGCTGGCCAGCTACTCTATGTCCAGCAATATTCATATTCTCATGCAATCCACAAAAACTGAAACAGAATTTCGCCAATATTTTTCAAAATGATCTTGGATGCTGTACGAAAGCAAAAGCCAAACTATATTTGAAACTAAATACAAAGCCACTTTTTCAATCAAAACATACAGTGCCTAATGCAGCACAATATTTGTTTGACAGAGAGCCAGATGAATCAGAAGTTTTTGGCTTTCTGAAGCTAGGTAGTTGATCGTCATGGGCATAACCAATTAGAGCGGTGAAACTAATGCTTTAATTCCAATGTGTTCTGATTTTCGACTGGATTAAACGATTTTCAAGAAGCATATTGCTAAAATGATGCAGATGTTTAGCAAAGGTTGACATCGCTGACGCATATCTGTTTATATAAGTTAAGGAATCACCCAGAGAGCTTATTACCATTATTACACATCGATGTATCTATCATCTCTTTATCTATTGCCTCCCGTTTGTAGTCGAATCAGCTCCGGTTGTATTCCAGAGGATAATGAACGCAATACTTACTGGTGTTCAGGGTGCCTCGACTTATATGGATGATATTGTCGTTTTTGACACAATCACAGAAGAATTATTTAAACGTTTAGATATGGTTTTCTTGAGTAATAAAAATTATGGTCTCAAACTAAAACAGGAGAAATGTATCTTCTTTATGACTTCAACAAAGTACCTCGGATTGATGGTCAATCGCTACTGACAACACTCAAGAAAATATTGTCACCAGATATACTGCAATCACGTTTCTACCTTAATTGCTAAATGGTCGTCGAATCACGAACTCAAAGCTCTCATTTCATACATTTTTCCGCACGATTTGCAGAATACTAATGCGCATGCATACAGAACACTATCTTATTCCAACAAAAGCTACAGTTAAATAAAAAAGGAACTCTGGTAATTGTCTCTGGAGTCAGAAAGGTTAATAAGATGATCCGTGGACAACATTTCACCCTCTTAGCAGACCGACAGAACATTCTGTCCTTTTTAATCTCACAGAAGTGCATTTTACTATGCACTGCTAAATTCCTCCATGGTTGTGATTTTGCTGTCAAATAAACGACGACGACCAGTCTTGGAAAGACTGATGCGTTGTCGAGAGTATTCAGCTCAAACCGACTAATCTATGAGGATTGCGTCGTTGCAGCAGTATAAACTGCTGCATAAATGAAATGGGTTGCGCCAAGTGGGATCCAAGTCTTGGCATTAACGTTTAATATGGTTCAGGATGCAACTCTATCAGATTATGAACTTCAGCGGGTCGCAAAGTACGAGCATGACGGTTGACCAAACAAGGCCCACGATGTTTTCATAGACTATCTATGCCGACGTGCATGCCTGTTACCAGTTCGTGTATGTATTTTGGGGAACGCCTAGTCATCCCAACTACTCCCGGATCCCGAGTACTGAAACAACTCCACTCAGGTCACCTCAGTGTCCAGCATATGAGGTCACCGGTACACAGCTACGTGTATTGATCACTGTTGGATAAGGATATTGCATGTATCCTTAAAATTGTCCTCAGTGCGCACAGATCGCAGTACTGCCACCGACAATACAGAAATCCCTATGGTCAAGTGCAGGAAAGCCACGGTTCCATGTCCATGCTAATTGTGATGGACCAGTAAATGTTCAACATTTTCCTAATACCATCAATTCATCTAAAAAATGGCCAGAAATTTATTTCATGCCTCGTACCTCGTCGATATCGACGATAGAGGTGACGAATAGGCTTTTCGGGAAGTTCGGTTTGCCTAAAGCAGTAGTTGCAAATAGTGAATCTCAGTTAATTTGGGAACTATTCTATAACTGCCGCTCAAAGAATGCAGTTAAAATCATTAAGTCATCACCCCACTATCCCCACTCAAACGGTCAAGCTGAGCGTCTTGTCGATACTTTCAAGTAAGCTCTCATCAAGTCGTGAGGGCATGACACGATAGAGCAGGTCATTCATAGTTTCCCGCGAGCTTACGGAACAACCCCGACTCATCCGACAGTGTCTCCCCTGCTGAGTCAGGGTACGATAAGAGGTCTCGGACACTGTGTGCATCCTTAAACAAGAAGAAGATATTAAAAAGCCAAGGCGATTGAAATCGAGTATCATTTTTTTATTGGGTTACAAGTGTATGTATGAAACTTTCAACAATGGGGGCCTGTGTGGTAGCGGGTGTTATCGCAAGAACAGTTGATGATGTGATGTACGAAACTAATGTTTGAGGTTAATGCCTGATGTGACGTGTAAATCACATAAGAGGTGTACAACTTAATACAGATGAAGACCTCTCTAGCTTGAACTTACCAGTCAGTCTTCAGAGATAAGATAGGCTCAGAAGAAGTGATGGTCAAACTCCAATAAAATTATTAAGACCCCTTTACCATTGTGCGAATAGCTCGCTTGCTCACATCTCTGTATTTATAAAGAGGTTGAAAGCGAACATTTGTTACAAAGAACATTTCAATTATACATTCCAATTGTTAGTTGAAAACTAAAATCATTACTAACTGGAATACAATACAATACGAGGTCATAACCACTGGTTATTTTGAAAGTGGAAGTAACGAAAATCAATGACACCACATATATATTAAGGAAGTATACGGTCAAATGAAGAAAGTTTTACATAAACTAGACGGGATGGAAAATTGATAGGACAGAATTACGAAATTGGTAAAAGGGGGTACATAATGAATAAACGTTATTGTCAGGGTAAGTATAAGCAAAACAAAGATCTTTACATTATACGATATTGTTAAGTGGTCAGTTTTCAGCGGTAGGGATAGAATGTCAATCGACCGATATTATTCTTCAAAATTTTTGGCACAGTAAAGACCTAATCCCTCCTTATATATCAACAAGGGGTGTTATGACTACATTTTCCGACCGATAATCCCAGTGATTCACTATTCGGTTAGAGAAATCGGACTCCGTGCATAAGTGGTTCGACCTCGGTTTCGAACTTTACAAGAATATGCTATTAGATGATCAGTCCTAGACGGAGGGGAAATACGACATATTAATACCAAGATAATCGTTCATTTCATGATGAGCATGTTTTATATCACCTTGACAAGCTTCAAAAATCTTTCCTAAAACCATGTAGTTCCTTGGCTAAAAGATAATGTGTAGTGGCATTGGACTCTAATCACACGACTTTTGAAGCCGAGCATATAATTACTTAAAATACTTGTATTCGACAATTGAAACAAAAAGGATGTTAACTATGAAGAACGCGGAAACATTCAATATAATTCAATCAGGTGGCATGCTCAGCCTTGCAGGCGTGGTTTTTCTGTTTAACTTGTCTTTACTCACATTAAATATATTACCCTATCTTCAGCCTCAATATATTCTTTGCAAACTTCAGATGTCATGTTGTAAATTGTTATTATGCGATGAGTTATTTCAGGCAATGATGTGACTCCCACGTAGGATCTTACAAATTAATCAGTCACATCACGACATATCTACAGTTTTAACATTGGTTCTATTGTTAGAGCAATACTAGTAACGACCATAGTTCTATAATTTTACTTCCGTATATTTTGGAATAGCCTTCCCCCATTATTTTGACAAGTACACTGGTTAGGCTAACGAGTGTGTAGTTACTAACTAACTCTCTACTCGCCGCTTTATAATCCAGACTAATGATTGCGTGTTTCTAGTTTCTTTACAAAATAAACTGCCTTCACGGCATACCAAACTGTTTTCCAGAGGTTTAGCTTTCATAATCGTAGGATAAATATAGTCAGAACCACTGGTTTTATTTGGTTTGAGGTGTTTAAGTAATGGTAAGACAACTCCTTTATTACCAACTACAACATCCACCATCAAGCTGCTATTATCATAATAAATTGTTGGTCTTTCGAAACTATCGGTAGAAAATAATTTACGAAAATATGCCGACAAATCTTCGGCTTATGGAACATTATATCTTGCCAGTAGTAATGGATTTTCTTGTGCTAAAAGTGGCATGATCAGATCGCTCCTCTGTGTTCGCCTCTTCATATGAGAGATTAACCTTTTCAGATTATTTTCACAATACCTAGTCAATTGTTTTTACATGAAAGTCTAACCCTACTAATCAACTTTTTGTAAGCGTTCGCAGTCTTATAATGAAAGGACTGTTCGGAACCTGTAGGTACACATACTCCAAACAAACTGTAGGTACCAAATAAACGAATTCAAAAACTTCAATTAGTAATATGAAATCTGAGAAAAATTCAATCACAATCGCTGTTTACATCATTGGTAAGCATTATTTAGATATTACTCACCAATATGTATTAGAACTTTGTTAAGAATTTGGCCAGTAATTGCGGATTCTGTTTACAGAAATTTATTCCATAACCCTATAACTACGACATGGTTTAGTTACCATGCTCGAAACAAACACGCATCGCTTTACTTATGAAGAATATGTGATTTATAAATGTGGCGCTTACAGTAATATTATACATAGATCCTGTATATTTTCAGAAAAAGGGAAGAAAAGCCTATCAATGTTAATTGTTACTCATATAATTTTTTTCAGATACATTACATAAAAATATGTCAGTTCAGTAGAAAACGATGATACTTATGATGGATAGAACTGTTTATGGCTGTACATTAGTAAGTTATATAATATTAATAAATAATTTAAAGCTTGCTTCGACCTACATTTTATGAACAGTTACCAACATTCATGTTCATCAAAATAATTAGGGAGGTGAATAAAATGTAAAAGGTTTGGAAGCTTATTTTCGCTCAAAACTCTGATTGCGGTCTATTTTTGACTAGATAAATAGTGAATTTCATTTGTATGAGTTTACATTACGACAATAATCACATTAGGCTGACTAAACATTCACCCAGGTTGTGAGCAACAGCTAAGTCAAACTACTAATAAACTGGAATAAAAGCTGTATAACAAGCACAAACATTACGAAAATTGACGTATGACGGAAAAATGCAGTTAATAACTGATAAATAATGACATGCAAAATCATCGACAACACGTAGCATGTACGCGAAAAACCATGACTTAACATCTTGGCCGTCCCAACATTATCAGTGTTTTCTTAGTTCATGATCACATGAAAGATGTGGCGAGACTATAAGTTATGAACGAATCAATCATATATAAGGCGAAGCTAATTCACCAACTAAATTCAAAGAATAGTTTAATTTCATATAGAAAAAACTCGATGACCAGTACTGGATGCATTCCATTTGAACTTAAATCAGCCGCGGAGCAAATTACGAAAGAATTTTCAATGAATACAAATACTACAAAAACATGATTTATCGTGATACACCAACATGTGTGATATGACACAGTCGTTTCAGTTTACGACTATGATTCAAGTACTGGTAAAAATCTCCTAGGTTGAAAAGCGACAAAAAGCACAGTCAAAACCTAAATTGTTCAAATAATTGTGGGAGGCACATAAGATTCTGCGTAGCGAGCTCCTGTATTAAATCAGTTTTAGTTTGGGAAAGACAGGATGCTTGATGGCCTGTGGCAGTCCTGGCAATGATGGTCTCTTAGCTGATATACCTTTCTTTGGAAAGATTCGACAGATGGAGCCTCAACCACGTGCTCAGGTAATGAATTCCACTCTTGGTGATTCGATGGGAAAGTCGGTAGTCAGCTGGTAAGCAATTCGTTCTGGGCTTGTAAACGTTTTTGGAGTAACCTCGTAAATTTTCTGCTTTGGAAGACAAGAAAAATGAGGGCATATCCGGTGCAAATTTATCACTAAGCAATTTGAAAACCGTGATCAAGCCACCACTAGTTCCTCGATATGACAACGGGAATACGCTTAGTATAGCCAGTAGAGCGTCATACGGGAGCTTCGCTATTCCAGGAATCAACCTAGTTGTTGTTCTCTGGATCCTTTTCGAAATCTCACTGTCTCTTTTTAGGCAGGGGCTAGCCGCTTGTATGCAGTACTCAAGTTTAGGACGCACGAACCCTGTATATAAAGTCAAAAACTTTTTAGCGTCTATATGACTAAAAGCCCTACATATTGACCATAAAGTTCTAAAACCTTTGACAGCTATTGCACGGAAGTTTGCAGTAGTCTTTAAGTCCTGGAAAACGATGACTCTTAAATCCTTGTGTGTCTGGACAATAGGTAGTTCAGTGTCATTCATCGTGCATGTATCTGTACCTTGATGACCGATATGCATCACAATACACTTGGAAGTATTTATCGGCAACTGCCAAGTTTGGGACCATTCAAATAATTTCCCCAGGTCGTTTGGGAGTTCTAAGCTATCACCCTTACCTTTATCACTCTCCAATTCATGACATCCCCAGCATGTAGCAAGACCGATGACGATAGTAGACGAGGTAGGACATCTGCGTACAAGAGGAATAACACTGGCCCCAAAACTGTGCCCTGGGGGACTCTACTAAGCACAGTTTCCCAGCTAGACAACTTGGAGTCCACCCGTACTCTTTGTTGACGCCCAACTAGGAAGCCTTTTATCCACATCAATAGATTGCCTCCAATCCCGACATTCCTTAGCTTATATAACAGCCGGTTGTGCGGAACTTTGTCAAAAGCTTTGCTGGAATCTATGTAGGCTACGTCTACAGGTAAATTTTGGTCCTCAAGAGCGCACCAGCTTTCACGAGCGACTAATAAGTTAGTGAGACAAGAACAACCTGTTCTAAAACCATGCTGCTTCTCCGAGAGGATCCGGTTTTCATCGAGGTACTTAAATAGCTCCTTCCTAATATTCTTTTCTAAACTTTTAGCAAACACACTAGTTAAGCTAATGGGTCGGTAATTCTGAGGTTTATGTTTCGTACCTGTTTTGAAGACAGGACTTGCTATGGCGTTCTTCCAGTCTTTCGGTAAACGACCCTGGGTTACGGGTAGATTAAAACATATACTTTAAGGATTCACAACAAAGGGTGTGGCCCCCTAAGAAAACCACCTTCACTTTGGGCACCTGGGCGGTATCACAGCCCTCACACAAATCGAATGAGATTTGTGAGGCGCATATTTATCTGGTGCATCCTTGTACCAATATTTATGTGTTTAAATAATAATAATAGCTAATTCCTTCAGTAACCTAGGATGCAGTTCATCGGGTATGTGGATTTACCTATGTCGAGCTTAATAAGCAGACCAACGACATCGATTCTTTAATGGTCACGCTGTCCAGTGTATGTGTGAGGGCATTTTTATGAACTGGTGGGAAGGGTGTTTCCATGGTATATGCATTGCTAAAGTATTTTGAGAATAATTGAACTTTGCCAAAGTCTTCTTACACTAATGATGAGGCAGTACTGTCTCCCCATTGTGCGGGAATATTTCTTCTTTTTGTCCTTTGGTTTATAAAGGATTAAGAACGTTTAGGACATTCTATGGATTCCTTAACAATTTTCTCTTCGTACAGCTTTCTAGACTTCTATCCCACATTTTCCTTTTTTTGCGGAGAAGGATACGAACCTCCCTTCTGAACCATGATGCGGAGTTTCTCGATCCCTTAGGTGCAGTCCAAGGGATGTGGGGGTGGTAAATTTTAAGTATAAACTTCGAAATACGTCCCAAGCCGTTTCGATTGATGACTCTTGGTCTGTTTTCCAATATATTGACGATTCTGTGTGCATGATGTCTTGTATATTTGCTTTCCAGACTTTAGGTCTGGATTCAGCTGGCGTGTGCCCGTCATTAACAGTTATGTCGAAGTCAAAGGTTAAAACTGCATGATCACTTCTACTTATTGGTGGCATGTAATCCAGGTTCGCAACGTCATGCTCATAGTGAGTCAATGTAGGATCTAGTAAGGATGATTCAAAGCCCGGATGTACCTAGTCGCTTCTTTCACATGTTGCACTAGGGCATATGTGATAACCACACCAACTAGTTCATGCTCGGAGGAATCATCTGGCGATTCAATTCGCAGATTTTCCCAGTCTACTGTGGTGCATTGAAGTCCCCTGGGATTAGACATTGACCACTTTGTGACCAAGTGCTGAGACTGCCTAGCAGGACCTCATTTGCCTCACAGCTTGGACCGCGATAGACCAAACCAATAAAAAGCTCTTGTCCCTTGCATTTCAAGCGGCAAATAACTAATTCACACGTCCCACTCCCATGGGATACACTGCTGATAATGTCAAATGGAATAGCATTCTAATGAATAGAGCTACTCTCCCACCTTTGCGCTTTTGTATTCTGTCAGCCCCTACTAATGTAAAACCCTCAAGATCAAGTTCCCTACTATCTATGGACTGTGTCAGCCAGGTTTCTGCGACTGCGATTATGTCTTGCTTGAAGAGTCAATCTGTACATCTAATTTCGATCGCTTATTGAACAGGCTTCAAGCATTGGTGCAACAGATCCTAATCTTATTTTAATGGCCTCGTGCTTCACATAAAGAGGCTTCGGCATCATTCTCAGTAGAAGCCTCACAATAGTGCTGAATACCTCTGATTTCAGGTTTAAAAAAAAGTGAAATTTAATTAAACTAGTACAAGGGGTTGTTGGTCAAAGTGGTTCTTTGTTGATATACAAATACGGAAACGAAGTTACTTTATACCAATATTACAGTTACCCAATTTCTAAGGCATGTGGCAATTTGACTTCTAGGTCAGACCAGTCAGTTTGCACCCAGTGTGTTGCAAATCCTTTGTCACATCCTACGAGTTCTCAGTTTTCGTCCCATTAAAATGTGTTCTGGTCGTCGTGTATCCCTAGATATAGCACCGCTTGCTAGCTGGGGTTAGTCTAAATTTAGATATTATTGATTTTCGTAGATTCTTGTTCCGGTGATGAGAAAACGGTTGTTGTGTTAGTCGGTCTGCCTGCTCGCGGGAAGTCATACATATCTACCAAGCTCTCAAGGTACCTTAATTGGGTTGGAATTAATACACGAGGTATGATGAGTCATCGTTTTTATGCATTTTTTCCCTAGTTTTCAATGTTGGAGCTTATCGTCGACTTCAAATGAAAGATTACAATGACCATAGTTATTTTTCCGATGAAAATAATGAAGGCGTAGCACTCAGACAGTATAGTTTACCGTTTTTGAACCTTATTTTGCCCAATAATTACTTTTGCTTAATATTTTATAAATACGAGCCGAAAAACTTAATATTCTGTTCTCACGTAATGTTCAGTCTTTGGTAGGTTTTTATCTCGCTTAAAGATGCTTTGTGTACTGAAGAAGTTTAGGGAGCAGTGTTTCAGATTATCTGAAAGAAAAATAAAGAAGTGAGCCGACAAATTTGAGCGCATATAATCCATTTACATTTAAAGGGAAAAGCAACTGACAACAATAAGAAATAGCATAGGCGTGCGGCAAGGACGATCTGATAATCGATTCTAGAAGTCGATGGCGTAAGTTGTTGAATGTTTTACTCCCAATCAATGTGAGACTGACAAACCATCCTTGGTGAACCAGTTGGTAGCTATATCACGTATTTCCTAGATGTTTAGTCCAGATCTTTGTCTCAAACCTAAAATATGCTGGGTTTTTGACTGTCCGTTTTGCTAAGTTAACTTGCTTATTTGATTTTTCCTCATGAAATGTCATGGGAACTGGCAATCAACATTTTGAAGTGTTGTTTTGTTGTGCTTTGTTCATCACTATGCACAGCTAGTAGGATTTCACATGGTGGAGTTAACCCCAGTGAAAAGTTTAGCTGTCTCATTTCACTCTTAACCTTGGAAGTTTCAAGTTGCATCACTAAAAACCACAGGTAAAGTTAACATGCATTATTTGAATAATGCTTCTTACAAAAGGAACAATTTATTCCTACTAATTATCTGACAGCTTGTGGTTTGCTAGAATTTATAAAACACTATATTGAAGTAACTTTAGAGTATGATTTGTTAAACAACCACCATAAATCAGTAACTCAGACAATATTATTGCCTATTCAATCTTTTGGACTGATAGAATTCTTCGAATAGAGTTTTATTACCATTCTGTGCGATTCTGTTTATACTAATCTCCTTGTATATTAGCTCCCGAATATAGTTTCACGTCCTTATTCAAGAACTGTTTGAAGGCGAGTCCCAGACTAATAAGTTTGGACTGATTAAAGCAGTCAGTTTAAACAACAGTCCTGAGGTACTCCCAATTGATATTTAGATTGGCGTATAGCATCATTAAGCTGAAATTAATAGATTAATGTATAAACACATATTTAACCGATAAGTTTTATTTTGTTGGTAATACCATATAATCTGTAGTTTCCAGTTATTTAGCTGCCCGACTTTTAATTGTTTCTCTTCTTTTTTATTGAAGATTTTCAGTTGCAACCATGTTAAATGTAATAGTTTTTAATATCTGATTTACATTACCACATATATCACATTAAAAAAGAGCAATTTTTCAATATATGCTCATTTTCTATGCGTAGTGTAAGGGATAAGTCAGTTGTCAGATAGTGTTAAACATAGTAAACATCTGTCGGTTTGGAAAATCTTTAAAATCGTATGTAGTGAAAATCCTCAAGTATCTCAGTTTAGCCTTCAGTGGATCTGTTATTATTGTTTTTTTTTAATCTCATAGAAAAATTGCATCAGAAGCATTAGATGACTTAATCTCCTGGTTAACATCAGAAGTTGGCAAGATTGCCGTTTTCGATGCGACAAATACAACACGAGAACGTCGATTGTGGATAATGGAACGATGTAAAGCACATAATTTTCAAGTTATATTTGTCGAGTCGATTTGTAAAGATAAAAACTTGATTCAGGAGAATGTTTTGGTACGATCATGTTTTTATTTTTTAAATTAAGCTTTTTCGTTTACATTGTCAGACTTCTAAAGCAATATATTGTAATTCGCTCCACTTACCACCACCGGACAAATAAATTATAGTGGTGCTGAAACCTGTAATCTATTGGTTGACAGCCAACTATTATGAATACTGAAGTTCTACTTCTGTTGTTAATTGTCTTTCACTTAAATTGCTAGATTTTATCCGGATTGTTTTGTAATCTTCATGTTAACATGAAAAAAGAAAAATATACTTGTCTTTAAATCACAGATTTGTATGACTAAGGTTTACGACACCTCTTAGTTGACCAAATTGAAGCGGGTTGACAAAGATTTAAATTCATGACTTAGTAGTTGAGATTTGACTGCAAGTCTTCGTTTCTTTTATTGATTTCAATATCAGTTCGTCTTTGTTGAATCGCTTTTTTGAGCAGCTGCAAAATGACAACTTGAAAGAATACATTTCTGTAAAAGGTTCTACATTAAAGTCCGTGTACGATCGATTGAATGATAGACTTTATTTGCGTGTAAAAGCATAAGGTTGGCATATCTTTTCCTCACTCATTGTGACTTGCCTATACAGCCAAACAGGCACAAATAAATCGGTAGGTAGTCTCGAAATTAAGATAATGCAAAGTTTATTTCTAGTTAATACAAAAGGATAAAATCAACTAAACCAAAAGGATATAAAGATTGCGAAGAAATATGAATAAACGAAGAAAATATTTATATTTTAAAGGATAATCTGCAAACACACAATTCATTATGACTTTATTTATTTATTTAAACACATAAATATTAGTACAAGGAAGCACCAGATACATATGCGCCATACAAATCGAATGAGATTTGTGTGACGGCTGTGATACTGCCCAGGTGTCCGAACTGAAGCAGGTGGTTTTCTTAGGGAACCACATCCGGAGCCTTTGACCTAAAGGTCTGATCCACAAGGCAGTGGAACATCGTGAGGAGATGCAGTCCCATGGTAGCCGGTGATCAACGATTGATTCATACGCCATTTGTTCCCTCAGGATACTGGAGCCAGTCCATGTTCACCATTGGTTTGGAATCAGGGTTTTCCAACTCCCCTAGGTGGACTCGCCTTGTCCACCAACCCGGTTAAAGCGCCGGACATTCGCTTTTCGTCCTCTCACTTTTGTAAACAACACCCCCGCCACTGTGAGAAGGCAGTGAGTAGGGCTTCCCTAACAAAGGCTATATATTCGCTGGCCATGTGAGAGCATTTGGAGAGGGAGAGCGGACTCTCCCCACTCTCAGCCGTACCAGGGCATTTGGGGGCTTATTATGACTTAGAGTTCAAAATAACTTATTTTTATCTTCCGTGGTGGTCATTAGATACAACATTCACATTTGTATTCTCTTGAACTCAGTAGATAATCTGTTAATGTCGTTTTAAGTCGTTGGTATAACCCTTCAACTGTAAATTATCACTTCAGGGCTGTTCTGCATTGGGATGTATATATATATATATATATCAGGTTCTACGTTGTTTATGGCTAACTGACTGACATTTATATTTATTTGAACACATAAATATTGGTACAAAGGGGCACCGAATACATATGCGCCACACAACTCACTTGATTTTCAGTATGCATTAATCTTGTTAATGTTTCAGGGAAATTTTGAAAACTGTATGGTTAGAACTGTTCAGCTCAATCAAAATAATTTCAGGTGAGTCGCATCCCGTGAGCTGAGCTATAGGATACTTTCTTCCTTGATACCATAATCTCAAACCCCTTCCTTTTTTCATTTATGCCAATTGTATTGTTTCCTATTCTACTTTTCTCCTTTTGTTTTCAAGGAAGTAAAAGTCAACAGTCCTGACTACAAAAGTATCGATAAAGAAGAAGCGTTAAAAGATTTTCTTAAACGTATCGAACATTATGAAAAACGTTACGAATCAATTGATGATGATCTGGATAAGGATTGGTCGTATATTAAAATATTTGATCAAGGCAGACGATATCTAGCTAATCGTATAGAAGGTAGGTTCTTTCTATTCTGTTTTGATGAATAAATTATCAAACTCTTTAGTTAGCTAGTTGGTTGGTGGACTTACTTACGCCTGGTACCCCCAACAGAGCATAGGCCGCCGACCAGCATTCTCTCACTCTGTTCTGGGTCTTCCTTTCTAGTTCTATTCAGTTGTTATTCATTCTTCTCATATGTTCCCACTTCTCGAAGTTATGTGTTCTTTGGTTTTCCTCTTTTCCTTTGGCCTTGAGGATTCCATATGAGGGCCTGCCTTGTAACGCAGTTGAGTGCTTTCCTCAATGTGTTCTATCACTTCCAGTGCTTCTTCCTGATTTCTTCCTCCACTGGAATCTGGTTTGTCCTCTCCCACAGTAGGTTGTTACTGATAGTGTATGGCCAACGGATCCGAAATATTTTGCGTAGACAGCCGTTAATAAACACTTGTGTCTTCTGGATGATGGCTTTCGTAGTTCTTCAAGTTTCCGCCCCATACAGTAGAACTGTCTTCACATTTGTACTGAAAATTCTGACTGATGTTGATCGACAGTTATTTTGAGTTCCCGTTCAATTTTAGATATGCTGCTCTTGATTTGCTGATCCACGCCTTCATATCTGCATCAGATCCACCGTGCTCATCAATGATGTTGCCCTGGTATGTAAAGGTTTTCACATCCTCCTAAGCTTCTCCGTCAAGTGTGATTTGATTGGTGCATGATGTCTTGTATCTCAATCTTGCTTTTTCTTTTGCGTATGTTGAGATCTACTGCTGCTGATACACTGGTTATCTTCTCCTGAGTTTGTTGTTGCGTGTGCGATAAAAGAGCCAGGTCGTCTGTGAAGTCTAGGTCGTCCAACTGCATCCTAGCTGTCCACTGTATTCCGTAATTCCCCCAGATGTTGACGTCTTCATAATCCAGTCGATCACCAGGAGGGAGAGAAGGGGTGACAGTAAGCGACCTCACCTGAGACCGATCTTAACCTCGAATGAGTCAGTGAGTTGTCCTTCATGAACGATTTTACATTTTAATCCATCATTGGAATTCTGTATGATGTTGACTATCTTCTCAGACACGCCTCCATAGTGTTGTCCTGTCCACGCTATCAAATGCTTTCTCGTAGTCAATAAAGTTGATGTAGAGTGATGAATTCCGTCCAATTGATTGTTCCACAATGATCCGTAGTGTTACGATTTGGTCTGTACACGATCGATCCTTACGGAATCCAACCTGTTGGTCTCGATGTTGGGCATCTACGGAATCCTTCATTCTGTTTGACAACTCCGTGTTGAAGACTTTTCCTGGTATTGAGAGAAGAGTGATTCCTCTGTAGTTATCACACTTGCTAAGGTTGCCTTTCTTTGGTATCTTGATCAGAAGTCTTTTCCAGTTTGTTGGTACTTGTTCTTCATCCCAAATCTTACTGAAGAGAATGTGGAATATCTTGGCAGTTGCTGCTACATTTGCTTTCAGTGCCTCTGCTAGGATGTTGTCTGGTCCCGATGTTTTGTCGCTCTTGATTTGTCTGATGACCATGCTGATCTCTTCAATTGTTGGTGGGCCAACATCGATTGTGAGGTCCGTGGGTTCTGCTTCGATGTTGGGTGGGTTCAGTGGAGCTGGTCGATTCAAGAGTTCTTTGAAGTGTTCTACCCATCTGTTCCGTTGTTCTTCAATGTTGGTGATTACCTTGCCTTCCTTGCTTCTCACTGGTCGTTCTGGTTTACGGTAATTTACTGCGAGTTTCTTTGTTGTATCATACTATTGTCTCATGTTTCCTTCTCATGCAGCCTTTTCCGCTGTCATTGCTAAATCTTCCACGTATTTACGTTTGCCGACTCTGAAGCTCCTCTTCGCTTGCTTGTTTACTTCTGTATATTCGGCTTGTGCCTTGACTATTTGAATTTAAGTGACAATTCAAGACTTTTTAGTGGTGTACATAAATACACAACTTTACTACGAATTAAATCTAGGGGATTATGCAAAGATGGATAGTGGCTAGCAATGGAATCCAGGACGCGCGTTTCGTTTCATTTGGGACTCGTCAGCTGAATTTACCTGCATCACAGAGTTGATGTCCATTCTGGGACTCGAACCCAGTAACTCTCGCTTGAAACGCCATCGCGTTATCCACTCGGCCACTGAGTCCTGATAGCCACTCGCTTGTGCAATGGGGTGAAGTTGAAATTTACTTAGTATTGTTTGTTTGGATCTTCCCATTGATGTTTTTAGGACAGCAACTGGTCAGTCTGTAATTGGCATATGTGCATACTGTGCGTATTGCCTCGATATAGCCTAAATTCACAAGCATGGACTCAGTGGCCGAATGTATAACGCGATGGCGTTTGAAGCGAAAGGTACTGGGTTCGAGTCCCAGAGTGAACATCAACTCTGAGATGCAGGTACATCTAGCTGACGTGTCCCAAATAGGACGAAACGCGCTTCAAACTGAACTCCACTGCTAGCCACTATCCATCTTTGCTAACAATCTAAACAGTTCATAATAATTCATTACTTTTCAATTGTTTTTCTATTCAATTTCGGTTGTTCCCAATATCTTCTTCTTATAATCTCTTAGGTAATATCAACAGTCGAATTGTCTATTATTTAATGAATATTCGTGTAAACAAACGTACCATTTATTTGACACGAGTAAGTTTTTTTCTTTTTCTTGTGAATTATCTACCATCTTATGTGATTTATGATTTACTCATTTCTTTTACTTTTGAGTAAATCTGTCAGTCAGTCAGTCACAGCGTAGAACTTCGTACGTACGTACATCAGTTCGAGCTGCCATACCACATTAGCACAGAGATGCAGTTGTCGATTCAAAACCCATAGTGGTAGAAGTAGTAAGAGTATAAGCAGTAATCCGAAAAATTAGGGTTTGAAGAAATTATTGAAGGAGTATAATCCAGTGAAATAAATTTGTAAAGAGAAAAAAGATAGAGACATTAAGAATTCAGAAGTTTAGAATTTAGCAGAACACAAAGAATGGATGCACATTTGCCATTGCAAACGATTTTGAACCATGTCATTCAAGGTTTCTAACCATCGGTTGCTATCATCTCGCGAATCCCAAGTAGGTAGTCTACACCTACCAACATGGCTCAATCCACTTGTCAATGACTTCATTGATTTGTGCCACGTTTTGGGTCTGGCCGCCCCTAGCTTTCTTCCAACCTACTCCTACACCATAAAACATTGCAATTCGGAGCAGTTAGTGGTTGGGCATACGTAACACATGTCCCAGCCATCTCAACTGATGAAGTTTCACTACTTCATCAATCGATTTGCCATCCTTATCTAGTATCCGTTTCCTAACAATTGCATTCCCGATCGTTACTGCTACCTTGACGTGGTGGTCGGGCTTGCCTCTCGTGATGATTCAATCGAGCTATACTGGCTGGAACAATCGTTCCTCAAGGTCCTACCATGCCAGGCAGGTCGTTTGAAGAGCGGTGAGACTAAAAGCAGCAAAACCAAGGTCCAAAGGCGAAGTCGTACTGCTGACTGTACAGAGGTGTGACAGCAGTAAGGTGTTTCCTTCAGACAACCAGCATGACAGCGATACTGCCTTCCCACAAGGAGGGGTGGGGTTAGAAAAGGTCGACCCTAAAAATGCACACCTCGCCTTATCCCACGGATATCCGTCTCCGGCGGTAAGGTTTTTTTTGAAGAACGGAGCTAACACAAAAACTACCCACAAAAAGGTCGTGTGTGACCGACCTCAAGCAGTTGTCCCTTGGGCACTGCGGTCACGCTCTCAGGTCATTAAGACCACTCCTAACCCAATTTCCTTTTCAGGTACCCCTAGAAGAACCCTTCCACGGTGTGAGCAACCGGGAAGTGATACTTGCCCTCATACCTCTAACAGCACTCAAGACCACCGTATTCATAATCAATCTCCTTCAATTCCTACTATTCCTTTTACCTTGACTTTCAACACTAAACTTCCTGTTCCGGTTTCCTCCTCAAGTGTCACTATGGCCAACGATTCTAGTGCGCGAAACACTGTCCCAGGTCTACTTAAACCTCGCTCCAAACTACACATTGGAGCCTTCAACGTACGTACCCTATGCCAAATCGGTCAACAGGCCTCCTTAGCTAAAACCCTAGAATCTCGTACCATTGATGTGTGCTGTGTCTCCGAAACACGCATACAGGATCCCAGTGTGGTCATTCACTTGACCTCACCTCGCCAAAATGGACAGTCAACGAAATACACCCTCCGTGTATCTGGCGACCCGTTGGCTAGTTCTCGTGGACTTGCAGGTGTAGGCATAGCACTAAGTGCAAGGGCAGAACAGGCACTACTAGAATGGATCCTTGTTAACAGTCGCCTGTGTGCTGTCCGGCTAAATGGCTCCATAAGAACTCGGAAGGATAGGGACACACGTCGTTGCCTTCTCGTCGTTTCTTCCTACGCTCCCACTGACTGCAGCCATAATGAAGTGAAAGATGACTTTTACAGAAAGCTCTCTGAGCTTCTTCAGAAAGCTAAGCGCTCAGACATAGTAGTCGTAGCGGGTGACTTTAATGCCCAGGTAGGCAGCTTAAATCAAACAGAAAGACATTTAGGTGGGTGTTTTAGTATTCCGGCTTAAAGAACCGATAATGGTGATCGTCTGTTGCAACTATGCTCAGACAATCGTTTATTTCTAGCAAGCACTAATTTTAAGCATAAGGAGAGACATCGTCTAACATGGAGACCATCTGCCCCAAACCAACGATGGACTCAAATAGACCATATTGTCATCAGTCATCGTTGGAGAGGCTCAATAGAAGATTGTCACTCGTATTGGAATACTTGTTTAGACTCTGATCACGCTTTAATACGAGCTCGCATTTGTCTGCACCTCAATGGACGCAGGAAAAGTACACTAAGAAGACCCATTAGGATTGAAGTGGAGGACGAGAAAGCCAAATGCGAATTACAGAAACAACTGAGTTCACATCTAGGCAGTTCTGTAAACGAGACTGACCCAGATGCTACTTGGAAAGACACACGAACAGCTGTGGAAACAGCAGTAACATCTATTCGTTATTTAAACCATAAGGCTCCAAAAAACCAGTGGATTTCTTCTAAGTCTATTTCACTGATGGATTCGCGTAAACGCATCCCATCAGGCTCTGAACATGACGAAGAGCGTAAACAAATTAGATCTAGGTTAACTAAAAGTCTAAGGAACGATCGTAAGCAGTGGTGGGCAACGAAAGCGAAAGAGATGGAAAAGGCAGCGGCTGTAGGCAACACTAGGCAACTATTCAGACTAATAAAAGAAACCGGAATTAAGAAGTCAAGTGTAAGTGAGACAATCTCGGAAAAAGACGGAACCCTTATCTGCTCTCAACCCAAACGTTTAGAACGATGGGCGGAACACTTTAAGAAGCAGTTTAGCTGGCCTTCAGCTACTGCACAACTACCCACTATTCCCAGAAAACCTGAATGGAACATTGAAGTAGGCCCCCCGACCCTACTTGAAGTTCAAAAGGCTATAGGTAATCTGAAACGAGGAAGAGCAGCTGGTCCAGATGGATTGGCTCCAGAGGTCTTTAAATATGGTGGTCCAATTTTAGCGGTTAGGTTGACTAATATTCTGGCTAAAATCTGGGAGACGGATGTAATCCCATCCGACCGGTCACAATCTCTGATTGTCCCAATATATAAGAAGGGGCCAAAATCATCCTGTGATAACCGTAGAGGGATTAGTCTGACTAACATAGCATCTAAAATACTAGCCTCAATAATTATCGGGCGTCTAACTAAGACTTGTGAATTGCAAACACGAGAAAATCGGGCTGGCTTCAGACCTGGTCATAGCTGCATTGACCACATATTCACTATTCGTCAGGTTTTAGAGCACAGACATGTTTATCGGCGTCCGACAATGACAGTTTTTCTTGACTTAAATTAGCATTTGACTCTGTAGACCGAGAGGTTCTGTGGCAGTGTCTGTCATTGAAAGGTGTACCTCAGAAGTACATAAACCTTGTGAAGGGTCTTCATTCAAACACTACTAGTCGAGTGAGAGCTTATGGCGAACTGTCATATGATTTTACAACCTCAAGTGGTGTCCGTCAAGACTGTCCACTATCCCCATTTTTGTTTAACTTCATTATAGACCTGTTGCTGGAAATAACAATCTCTTCGACTGAATTTTCAGGAATTGATCTACCAGGAGGTTCACTTATCGACTTAGAATACGCAGATGACATAGCCCTGTTTGGTGAAGACGCTGGCAAAATGCAGAATCTTCTGTTAGAACTGAGTAATAATGCCAGGATGTTTGAGATGCGTTTCTCCCCATCCAAATGTAAATTGTTACTTCAGGACTAGCTTGCGTCAACACCTGAACTAAGGATAGGGAGTGAAGAAGTCGAACGCGTCGACAACTTCACTCATCTTGGAAGTCTGATCAGCCCTAATGGGTTGGTGTCTGACGAAATCTCAGCACGGATTCAAAAAGCTCGTTTGGCTTTTGCCAACTTACGTCACCTATGGCGAATGGGAGATGTCCGTCTATCAATTAAGGGACGAGTGTACTGCTCAGCAGTTCGTTCTGTTCTACTTTACGGCTGTGAAACATGGCCATTAAGAGTAGAAGATACTCGTAGGTTACTAGTATTTGACCGCAGATGCCTTAGAAATATTGCTCGCATCTGCTGGGATAACCGGGTAAGTAATAGTGAGGTTAGGCACAGGGTATTAGGGAATGATGGTAAATCAGTTGATGAGGTCATGGATCTTCATCGACTGAGATGGTTGGGCCACGTGTTACGTATGCCTGAACATCGATTACCACGACGCGCAATGTTGACTAGTGTAGGGGATTGTTGGAAGAGAGTTAGGAGCGGCCAAACCAAAACATGGCATCAGTTCTTGAAGTCACTAACTTCTAGTCTGATCCATGTTGGTAGATGCAGACTACCTGGTTGGGGTCCGCGTGAATATCGTAACCAATGGTTGTAGACTCTGGGTGACATGGCTCAGGTGTATACACTCTTTATCTTCCCTTAAACCTTGAGATTAAAATTGCTTAATACCTTTCTTCCTATACCATATCCTTATATAAAATTTTTCTTTTATATACTACCACCACTAAATTAATTACTTCTATGAATCCGGTGTTCGTCTTGTTGTGCTAACGAGGTATGGCAACTTGGACCGATGCATATATGTGCCTGGTCCTGCGTTGTCGCTGACTGACTGACTGAACAATTGCATTACTTACTCGGTGGTCCCAGGATATACAAGCAATGCTTCGAAGACACCTATGATTGAACACATTCGGGGGCAGTATATATATTAGGAACATTAATTAACTGTTTTATGAAACACACTGGCTTATAATAATGTTGAAAGATTTCATCTCCTAGCCATTAGGTTACATTTCGTAATCGCAACAATCTGTTTTTGTTTAAGGTGGTAACTTAGTAGAATTACTAGATCCTGTATGTAAAAAGTGTAGTTTACAGCCAAGTTTATGAATCTGGACATTGCTAGTATGCTACTCAGTTTGTCACAGTCGTTGCATGACATATTAGAGAAGCTCATTGACTCAAGTTGTCTTCTAATGTTAAAAGTATAGTATAAGAATGCGCCAATTTAAATAAAAAAGAACTACCATGAATTTATGCTTGAAATTTAG